GGCATTTGCATGCATCGCGCAGTCTTATCCGATCGATCGATCGACAATTGGAAGCCAAGTGCGAAACATGTCGATAGAATCCGGGACTGGGGCTCATGCATCTGACGCTTCGGGCAACGATGAGTGCGATGAGGGGCTGCGCTCGGAAACGCATGCGCACCATTTGTCAATTCGGGGCATTGCGTCGTCGTCCTTCGCTGCATTGCGGGGCTTTGAGTCGGGGCGTCGGGGCGTACTGCGTGGATCGATAGAACCTTACCACGTCAAGTTTGTCACCTGGCCCCCGTTTGACCGGCGAAATTTGGTTGCTGATGTTAGACGGTCCTTCGTCAAGTGCTAGCCAGGCGTTGCTCCCGCCGGTCTTTCGCAGTTCACGTGTCCTTCCTCTTCCGTCGTACCTCGCTCGCTCCCCTCCCACCGTCCCATCAACGAAGCACGCACTTAGTCTACTGCGCTCATTTATCACCTACCATGTGACTTCTGAGCTTGTTCCACATTGTGCGGATTGATAGATCGTTATACTCAAATAAAATAAATAAATAAAAAAATTTTGGTCGAGTTGTAACTGATGGCTCGATGAACTAATTTCTATCGTCCGAATGTGTGTAAGTAGTATTCTTACTCTCTATTTAACACCTTACGCCATGAAGACTATTTAGAAGTTTGATATCGAGATTCAGTTCTTATTTTGACTACTTGATTTCAATCCTTTGAAACCAAGTATGACTTCGATGAGCCAATTCAAACTTTTGTATATATGTGTATTTTGATGTCAACAATATTCTTGAAGTGTGCACGAATTCGTCCGCTTAGTAACACTCGCTTTTTTGGAGGTTGTATTTTTTTGTTAAATTCACTCATGTATTTTGATTCTAAGGAGATTGATCCATATCATTCACTTCGTAATATACTTTCTTTTGTAGGTTCTCGAACATACCCATTCATACTATGCAAAGAGACGTTTATATAAAATTTTGGGTAATCTCAGATGTCAGAACCATATTCTTATCCAAGGCGCTCAAACTGAAACACATCAAAATACACCTATTTTTACAAAACATGAGAACGAATTTGATATAAGTTTCATGAGTTGAACTTTTTATGCAATACATTTCAATAGTTTTGCTTTCTTGCCAGGATTTCTATTCTTGATTATAAATTTCAGATTTTGTATCTCTTATTTTATCCTCAAATATAATTACATTAGGAAAAAAATATGCATAAAAAACAAACAGGTAGAATTTTCAAATTCACTCGCTGAATCAATGTATTATTCCTAAAAATATATAGTGGAAATAAACTTACAAAAAGGTGTCACAGTGTTGCAACAGGTATTTCTTTTTCAAGACACAAATAACGTGATGTCTTAATCAGTACGTTAATCATGAACTATACATTCATTTCGTAATTTTCACAATCAGATTACACGTGATTATGTTTTTAATTATGTATATATGACTTCAACCATCATGAAGTATGCTCTAAGTGATTGTCAACTTCAAATATGGGAAACTGTTTATAATCATGATAATCAATGCACAGATAGATTAAAATGTCAAATTATATCATTTCACCGCTTTTATGCTGTATTTTCTCTTCATAAGCGAATAAAATAGGTTCTAGGTTCACTTCATTGTAGTGTGTAGAAAGTTTCCTTTTCCATAAGCAAGCAGATGAAAAAATGAATTTAGACTATGATCTGAATTTTTTTGGAAAATAAAAAAACTAAAACTTAATCTCAAATTAAGAAATAAGATATTTTCTCTATGGATTACAAAATTTCATTCAATATTTTAAGGAGATTCTCAAAAGTACTTTAACGTGAATTTTTTAATATTGATAGTAATATAATCATTTAAAGAATAAATTTTTTTAAGTCCTCATTATCGGAACCTACTTCAAACAACTTATTTTCTGTCGTAAGAATCGATAAAATCATAGTTATATAAACAATGTTGACGCGATCTACAATGCGGTAGAAAAAATGCTACGTATTTATGTTATTTTTTTGGCCAAAAAAAATATACACTCTCGGATATTGAGCTCATAAAAGCAAGGATCAATGATTAGATGTACGATGATTTCAGGGCAAAGCCAAAGAATGCAGCAGTCGGACTTGAGATGACGTGTATTCGAGCGGGACAACAGATGTCGATGTTGGACATTCGGTTTCGCGGGGAAGAATGCAGAGAGCAGCAGCAGGCAGCCCTTTGAAGGCTCGCGCCTCCGTCCGTCCGTGCGTTTAGCGGCGCTCTGTGCCGTGCTGTGATACATTCCTCGAGCCTGGGGACAACAAAGATCGTCTTCCCCTTGCTCGAATCCACTTCCAGCCAACGGTGTCCCCTTCTGCAAAAGGCGACTGCGCACTGCGCACTGCGGACTGCCGACTACGCTGCGCAGTCGATCCATGTCCGACCCACAGACAGACGCGCAGTGCTGGCCCCCGGCCGGGTGACAATCATCCAGAGCCAAGAATCCGCCGGGTTCCGGCCCAGCAACGACGTCGGCTTTTGGCATGCCGGGATCGCGCCGTAAATATCCTCTCCGCAGTCTGCGAGTCGAACTGCAGTACGATGGATACGCCGTACAGTAACTATGCTGGTTGACCTGAGCACGTCGTACCCGTGTTACGCAACCATGTGGAGATTAATCATTAATGTTAAACGCCGTGACTGAGCTACGTGTACTTTTGTGGAAAACCTTTAGAATCAAACTCGTGCTCATCATACAACAATACAAAAATAAGCAAAAGGTTTTACATTACACTTGAGGTTCTATATAACATGGATAAGACAATGACTTTGATTGTCATTCTGTGGCACACTTCAGTACTTAGCGCTAATTACACATGAACATACCGAGATTAGTGCTATCAGGCCGTATTGTAGCGCACAATAATCAGATACTCAAGGTGTAGAGATATGTATAATATATGAACTCACACGTCCATATTTTGTGTGTTTTAAGCTGTTCACAGTGAACGAAAATGTGAATCGCTCTAGGGTGTAAGGGCGTCATCGTTCTGACGGGGAATATAGTGAATCGACACTACACCCAATTGGTGTGAAGATGTAAGAAAACTCAGGGATCTAGTCACTCGAGTCTGCTTACTTGGAAGATCATTTTGCATTTCGTTCTCTGTAATATAGATAATATATCTTAAGTCACTCTCATGGCAATAGTGGGATAACTCAGAATAAAATTGCTTCGGAAAGTTCTATTTTCTTCTCATTCCACTTGATTCAAACTTCGATATCATAAAGTGTCGGTTTCTAAGGTCGCAGGATCGAAAGTGTTTCGAATGATAAGGGCAGGCAGATGAAACTTTCGAAACTTCTTCCCCGTTTCTTTTTGAACTGAAAGTATTTCAAATGATTTGTGGAGACTGAAAAGCATTTGGGTACAGAGACTTTTTACGGAAGTGTGAGTAGTACACCGACACACAGAAATGTTCTATGGGATTGCGATCAACGCAGTTCAGAACAAGCGCCGCTGCAACGGTGGAGTGGCCTCGAGAAGATATTGCTCGAGATGAGGGTGGCCCTCATGACTGTACCGAACCAGATCTGATTCCAATCCTACACTCAAGTCAAGTGATATTTTCGATGCAGAACCTTTGGTTCGAGGCGCTCTGAATTCTTTCTGTGACTTGCCCATCCAGTCATAGGGCGACCATGTTTGCCCTCTCACTTGTAGAGCCCTCCTGAAGAGTTTTGTCAACTTCACCAGTGATGTAGCTCTTTACGTCTTTAAAGTCTCTCGAAACCTCGTATCCCTTCTGCATGGGAAATATTTTCAACGGTAACATCCATCTCAGACCTCATCTTTTACACGACAGGCATTGTTTGTATAGATTATATGAATATATTATATAACGAGGTTTATTAATCCATACTTGTAACTGTGTGTGTGTGAGTGTGACGCTAGTCACCATACGTGACCAGCGTGCGCAACTACCGAATCAATGTGTTCCCCGGTAAAAAAGGTGGTCAAAAAAGTGTATTCCATCCAAGAGCTGTAATATCCCGCTTTAGTAGGAACAAAGCTTGTGCCCCGTCATCATAAAATTCTATTTCGTTGATGATGTGAAAAGAACAAGTACTGGACTTACTGTCCACAACAATGTGTTACTATAGTTGGAATTGCTTGAGTCCAATTACATGGAGTTAGTGTGGATAACAGATTAATCAGATTATGAATCTCAAGCGAGTAATCACCAATCGGTAATGGGCCAGACAAAATCGAGGTGACCTTTGTCTGATAACGGACTCGAGGAATCGAGCCAGTCATTCCCAGTCGTACAGTTGTCGAAGTCCAGGATATTGAAAGCGAGCGAGACCCCGGGACTTCCAGTCTGCTCACGAGAGATTCGGCTTTATTAAGCACTCAGTCTCGAAGAAGTTCGGATCTTTTGAGCCTGGACACTGAACCAACGATCGATGGATCGATCTACCGAATGATATCTGCAGTACGTTGAATGTCTTCCAGCACCATCATGGCCACAACCAGCAGCAGACAGCACCACCGCCATCGGGCCAACCACGTAATGAAAATATCTCCGACGCCCCGTAACTGGTCGCCGATACACGCCACCGGCGACGGCAGACTTCGGAGCTGACTTCGGACGAGAGTTAGAGAGTTACAGAGTGAGAGAGTTACCGAGCCGCCAACCACGACCCGCGGAGATGCAGTAGACACTGATACCGAGTGAGTGAGAGAGAGAGAGAGAGAGAGAGAGAGTCAGTGTCGTTCTCTCTTTAAGGGTAGGCAGCGGGGGAGCCTGGGGAGGGAGCCATAACAGATCCGTTCCGTTGGGTCTTCCAATACAGTTAGGCGTGCCGGGGCTCCACGTGTCGGGCGAAGAAGCTTGACAGCCAACTGGGTTACAAGATGGTGACCTGGAAGCGCGCGTCAGACCCAGAACGGGGAGAGGAGAGGCCGACGAGACGAGTAAGGGAGTGAGGCAGCGAGCTCAGCTCGCACTGCACTTCACTGCACACACACTCTCGCTATCTATCTCTCTCTCTCTCTCTCTCTCTCTCTCTCTCTCTCTCTCTCGCGCGCGCCTTCTCTTATCTGCACACATTTGCATTGCCGTCCGTCTTCGTCTTCTGGCGCGACGCATGGTTTTCTCGAGCACGCAGCTGGGTCGAAGAGGTCTGGACCGAATTGGACCGCGCTGCGCTGGGGTTGCTGCGCGCTGGAGCGCAATCTGCTGATTCCCGGTGCCCATTCGCTGGTGTCCTCACGTTCGTCGTTGCTATCGTTGCTGCCGTTGCTGCCGCCGAAGAGCTCCGTATGCAGCAGACTCGTCGTTAGTGGAGCTTTGTGTTGCGGCTTTTCGATTATTAGGTTCGGTCGTTGTAGAACGGGGGTCTCGGGGCGGGGAAGTGAACGGAGCAGAGCTTCGTCGTCGCCATCAGGAGCACATTTGCCCGTGTCCAAGTAATGCATTCCAACGTTTGCCCATTCCAACGTTTTCTGATCTTACCTTACAGAAGTGCGTCCCTCTCACGCGGTTCCGCAAGCACTGGCAGAGTGCGAACGACGACCGAACGCACTCGGACCCTAATTGGAAGCAAGCGAGCGAGCGAGCAAGCGAGCAGCGAACGCACCAATAGGAGAGTCGAGTGAAACGCCCATGGCGGTAAGCACCGGAGAAGGAACCTTAGCATCACTTGAGCCTGCAGCACCTGGACACGTCACAAAGCGTACCTCGTAGACTATGATCAGTATTTTGCAGAGAGAAAGAGAAAGAGAGAAAAATCTTATCGTGTTGACCGATGCTTCTTGCTGACTGGTCGGTCCCAAGTGATGATTTTCTGTCATGTCCATAAATGCCGTAGTCCATGCATTCACAGACTCTTTGGGTCAGTTCGTTGCTCGAAAATTGCTGGCTCGAATGTCATCGTACATTTTTTATCGCTCTTCTGCAATCGTTCACCCACACTCTCGAACGCGCATTGAACGAAATCCGAGGTCATCGTCCGCTAGAGCCTCCATCTCACAGTCCAGATGGCTGGTCCGGAGCTTCAACTCTTGCAGGATGTCCTCTCATCTGAGCCCTGGGCATCCGCACGCTCACTCCGACCGTCGAGGGACTTGTGCAAGATGAAGCCGGGGATGGATGCTTCAGGTCCTGCTTCCCTCGGCGGAGCAAATGTGCCAACCCCGAGCCGCGTGATTTTCCGCGGAGAGTTGGCGCATGTCGGAGATGGACCGATGGACCGATTGATTGATGGATGGGCTAATTGATGGGCTGATTGATCGATGGATGGAATGATGGATGGATTGATTGATATGACGATTGATTGATGAATTGATGGCCTCGGTCGGGATCTGGGCGGTCGGGTGGGCGGGAGCAGAGAGAAGCTCACGGGGAAGGGGGTCGGGCATTGGGCGCAGTTGCAAGGCGCGGGCTCGAGCGGCGATCAGGAGAGTCGCAGGGCGCGGGCGGCGGACGTAATGCCGGCGGAGAGCGGCGCGACGGCGGCGGTGGTGAGCAGCCGCGCGACGAAGAACGACGCCAAGGCCATCGAGCAGGCGACGAAGGCGCTGATCACGTCGCAGATCCGCGCGCCCTTCTACGACGTGCACGAGGACATTCTGATGCTGCTCAAGCAGTGCCTGCTGGCGGACCAACGTGGCTTCTGCACCAGCGCCCTGAGCGGCCACGTGGACCACTTCGAGAGCCTGCACGACGACGACTTCGGGTGGGGCTGCGGCTGGCGCAACATTCAGATTATGTGCTCGTTCCTGCTCTCGCAGGACTGCGAGGCCAAGGACGCCTTGTTCCACGGCGCCGGATTCGTCCCCGACATTCCGGCGCTGCAGCGCTGGCTCGAGATCGCCTGGATGAAGGGCTTCGACACGTCGGGCGCCGAGTACTTCAACTGGCAGATTTCCGGCACCAAAAAGTGGATCGGAACCACCGAGTGCGCCGCGCTGCTCCGCTCCTTCGGCGTCCGCGCCATGATCGTCAGCTTCACGGGGCTCAGCGGCGAGCAGCCGGAACCCTCCTGCGGCGGTTTGTCGGTCTCCGGCGGCGGCGGCGGCGGCGACGGCAAGGAGCCGGATAAAGTGCTCAAGCGCCCGCTCCGCAAGTCGAATTCCGCCGACCTCCCGGACGACGAGACGCAAACCGTGGATCCGACCCTGACGGAACTGCAGAGATCCAGCATCGACTGCCAGGAATGCGGCGAGAGCTCCCCTCACGGGACCTCCCGCAAGAGCGTCCTCGACGAGGACTACGATCTGTGCTGCAATTGCATGGAGAAGGCTCGCATTGCGGACGACGACGATGGCGCTCCCTCCGATGGGGCGACGACGAAGAAGCGCGAGCAGGAGAAGCAGGAGAAGCAGGAGAAGAAGTCCGAGTGCCAGAAGGATTCGGTCGTGGTCTCCGCGTGCGCCGCCGAGCCCGAAGAGAAAGAGGAAGGAGAGGAATCCGAAATCGACTCGACGATGAACGAAATTCGCGACTCGTTCAACGACGACGTGCACTGGGGCATCAAATGCAGCGGCTGCGAAACGAAGCCCATTCGCGGCGCGCGGTACAGGAGCTTGGTGAACAAAGAGTGTGATTATTGCGGTGAGTGTCTGAAGGGCATTCTGGCCAAGGCCAACGGCGAGAACGGCACGCACGAGAATTTCATCACCGTGCAGAAGATTCCTGCCAGCCGACTTCCCGACGATTCCCCACCCCGAGGCGGGAAAGATGTGCAGAACAGGAAGAAGGCCGGAACCGGAGAAAATGAAAACAGTTGGCAGCTGGCTGACAAGAGCATCAACCATTATCATCTGATCGAGTGGGTGTGGAGCTACTTTTCCGGTGAATCGTCCTACCGTAGCACCCCGGACTCGCCGTATCCGAGACAGCCTGTTGTGATGAGCAATCGATCGTAAGTGATGCCTATGATCAATTCGTTTTTTATCAGAGGAAGCAATTTTTAGTGATAAACACGAATTGACGTGTAGGCAACGATTTGCGCATATGACTGCATTGAATTACTTGCGGGAACAATGTCAATTTCGAGCACGAATGTGTATATATATATATATAGCACGACAGTGTCTCCTCAGTAACAGTCTTCAGCTTCAGTTGTCTCGTCTGGTAACAACGAAGACATGTCTGTGTTCCACGAGACATGACGAGATATGTCAAGCGTCGTGGCGCAATTATTGTAGATTCACTTCAGAGCAGTAGAGTGTTTCGAACGTGCCGAATTGAGTTTAGTGCGGAGGTTCAAAATGTCTTGTTTTTATGGAGCAACGGTGATTCAAGAATGGCCACAGCTTCTGTGAAGCGCAGAGTCGTTGTCGGTGTAACCTAGTGGGTACTGACGGTACTGACGGTATGGATTTGACAACGTTCTAATGCATATGAAAATCCAGACCCCTGTACTTCCAGCATCGAGGCCATTCACGAACAATCGTAGGCATTGAGCACCGGCAACTGAGTGACAACTCAGAGGAAATCAATCTTCTCATTCTGGATCCTTCCCAGGTACTGTTATCGTCCCCGTGATATGAAACACGATAAGAAATCGATCTTTTATGACATGAAGAGCATTTGTCTGGTAGCCGTCTATGTCAAGTTCAGGTGTATTGCTTGTTCCTTTGACATTCGTAGTAGGTCTAGGGATATCCACTTCGACAAGGTGCAGTTGTGAGTAGAACAAGTATCACGTGATGGACTGCAGATTTGAGAGGAATCCGGAATGCCCGGAGCTTATTTTCGTGATTTGTTGGCGTATCAGCATCTCTTTCCCTGTCAGATGTTTTGCTTTCCAGAGATTGTTTACCGACCCTGGTTTTCTTTCTTGTAGAGCTCGGAGTACTTGGCCAAAACCCTGCGAGAGAAAAGGGGATGGAAGAAACTGATTGGACACGACGTGCATACTCTGAAACAATCTGAGTACCAGGTGATGAGATGAATCAATGAAGCATCGTATGTCTGAAATCTGGATTTATGAAATAGAGGCATTTTACGAGGCATCTTCTTTTTCCGCGTCACTCTCGGAAATCAGCGTTCGCGTGGTTGTCCACCGAAATAAGGACTTTGCGATTAGCCAACGAATTGATCGATTTCGATAGCGACGGATAATCTCTCTAGTTTGTGTAGCCTTGATTTCGTGAGATCTCGCGCAGCGTGATCTCACGAAATCAAGCTTGATCAGTTGATCAGCTGGAGGTACAGCTGGATCAGAGTTTGTGCTTTCCTCGCTGACTCCTCACCTGACACAGTCACAGATGTCCACAGAAGGGCAATTGTGAACTGTACTCGACGCGATGCTCTCATTGCGTCCTGACTAGAACACGGAGAAGTAGATGCTAATCAGCTGACACGTGATTTCGGGTTGCAGCTGTGCTATGCAGAACGCGGGATCGCCCAAGGCGAAGAGTTGGAAAACCTCAAAGTCCTCAACAGCCTTAATTATTCTACCTACACAACTGTGAGATCCGATGAAACCGACCCACCTTCTGCTTCTTCATGAACGTTCTCTGCACTAGTAGATCGAAATCTTATAGCAATTTGCAGCGACGCAGAATGTGGTCATATTCTGCCCACCGCTAATGCCTGGCTGGAGAATATGAGTTGTGCCATGAATGCTTATGCTTAGGATCAGTGAAATCTTGCGTCCGGCTAACCGACCCGAGCCTCGAGGACGCGACATCCATCCTGATTCTGTATACTTTCCCTTTGCGCTTCGTATGATGAAGAACCTCAGTCAGGCCAAAGAGCAATTTCAGACAAGAAAACACGAGCTGGGAAGACAACTCTATGATGATGCGTCATTTCTCCTTCTCATCTCTTATGTCAATAAGTTCCATATCTGGACTTTGTACTGTGTTTGTATCGGCACTCTCGCCACGAGTTAGTTAACTCATCTCCGGGTAACGTGGACGGGATATAGAGGATCACAGGCCATTTACTGTTGATACTGTTGTGCAGAGAAGGAAGAAGAGGAAGTGATCTTTCTTCCGGCAAAAGAGAAGTCGCATGGCACGGGGCTGGAAGGGAACGCCTGCCTTTTAGTGTATAGAGTTCTTCTTGGAAGTGCTGTGGTCCCGATTGCTGCTATTTGAAATTCTTCTTTCTTAGTGGCAGTAACCGATCGGCCAATCTCCTCCTTCTTGTATGTTCTCAAGATCATTCTCACAATGCTTTTAAGTCGCCACAGAGTTGGAAGGTAAAGAGTACATTGAAGATGGAAGAAATGGATTTTGGAATTCTGCATTTCGAGAAAGCAATGTCTCGCTAGAAAGTCCGTCCACGACAAGTGAATTCCAAGTAGAAAATCATAGTTCCAATTCATAGTAGATATGTAACGGAACATATTTTTGTGCCGACCAATTCTTAGCCTGTCTAATTACACCATTGAATTAAGGTAGATTAGGCCAAATGGTCCGCCGTGTTGGTAGAAGCGGAAATTTCTTCCATCTGTAGCTCTAGTTCTCGTGCACGGATCTTTTTGAAAATCATTGTCCAGCAGAGGCTGTTTTGATAGGAGTGAGGAGAAAATAGGCCATGCTTCGATGCTTTGTACAGCCGGAGAAGCAAGAGATCGCTTCAACCACTACCTTGTGTGTATGATAGATTGTCGCATCCACATTTTGGACACTTGTAAAGATTCTGAAGTGCTGTTGTCAAGCACGCGACTTCATCTTCCATCTCTGCGCTCTGAGTACACTCTTGTCAAGGAATAGAGTGAAAGGAGTGACAAAATGAATGTTCAAAAGAAATTTTGTGGCAAGAGGAACCGATTTTCGAAATGGATATGATCTCAGTACTGAGATTTCCTTCGTTATGTCGTTGATCGCCTCGTTGCTTCTCGTTTTCTCGCGATCTAAAATTAGACACTGCAGCCAAATGTTGCGATCAATTTCCTCTAACCAGATTTTGAGCAAAAGGGCTGATATCAAAATATGACCTTAGCGGAAAGTAGGCTTATTGCTGATGTGGAGGTGAGGACAGAGAAAAAAAAAAGGTCGTACTGCAGCCAAATGTTGCGATCAATTTCCTCTAACCAGATTTTGAGCAAAAGGGCTGATATCAAAATATGACCTTAGTGTAAAGTAGGCTTATTGCTGATGTGGAGGTGAGGACAGAGAAAAAAAAAAGGTCGTACCTTCTCACTGGTTTTCTCAATTTCGCCATGGACGAACAGCAAAGATTCGCGAAGACCTTCGGTGGGATTTGATAACCCGTCAAGATCCTCAGGTAGCGTAGCTTCAGGAACCTCTCCTGATTCATGCGTCATTTAGAAAGTGTTGCCATTTCAAAGGTAAAGTAGTGGAAGGATGCAAATATAGTGATCATAATCCCCGCGGTTGCGGTTGTAATATTGACTGAAGGCTGAAGACTACTCTAGCTATCAGAAACCCGACGGAGAAATAAATATTTTTATTCCATGGCAACCAACCAACCTCCAACGATAGTCGACTGATTTTCCGTCTTCCGTTTCTTGCATCCATTGACATCAGCAGAATGTAGCCGTCTAGTATACTCATACATGTTACGGGTGTTTCGAATCACAAATGTCGAATAACATCAGTCCACAGATGAGTAGTCGAGTCACCCAATACAAAGATAAAGCAGTTTTTAGACTGCATGGCTAAGCACATTCAACTTCTTTACACCCTCCATACAAATAGCGGTATTGTGGGTGTGTCAACACCAATAAAGGGTGCGTAAGGTTTTCCATTTCTTTCGGGATTACTCCGTCGTTTCATAAAATTTATTACATCCTTTTCAACTCAGGTGCATTGCACACTGCATTCGCCTCAGCTATGACAATTCATCCACTCAATCCAAATATGGGAAAAGCCAGTTCCTAACCACCGAAATGTACACTTTTAGTGCGGATGCGAAGTAGTGTGGTCCGACTTATAGAACTGTGAAGGGAGAATCCACATCTGAGTATGGACCAGATCAGTGAAGGTGAAAGTTTCTCGAAACAGATTAAATATCACCATCTCATTCGGGAGCTTTAGAAACTTGACCATATAAGATATATCGTGAAGTCAATGATATCTGCTATTTTGATCATCCGACGAAGATAGAATACCTTAAATCAAGGTGAAGCTTTTGCAACGTCTCAATGATGATGTTTCTGTGGTTCAAAAAGGAAATATTTCAGCGCATTTGCATGGTTTCAAGTATCTGTCAGCTTCATTGAACAACATGATTGTGGTACCTCATGCTTGCATGTTCGGCCTGCGTATAGCCCCCAACAAAGCAGAAACAACCACAACAACCACAACCACGAAGACGGGTGAGACACACCGAAAAATGGTAAATTTTCGACCAAAGTCCATTGCCCTTCAGATTAATACTTGATGAGAACGGAAAACTGCACGATGCATTTTGAATACGACCAATACTGAATCTACAATCACAAATGGAAGTGCTAAATCCATGGTTCACGCCTAACCTGCATATTCTCCAGTTCGGATGTAGCTTGGTTGATTTGGGCATGAAGAAGACATTCCTTCTCCTACAAGTATCCACGGTGGCATTTAGATTGCGTGAAACATTGTTTCGAATCAGATGTGCATGAGGAAGTAGCAACACAAAGTTTTCTTTTCCGAAAGGTAAGTTGCTGGCTCCGAAGTACCTGTTGAATATTCAAAGCAGTTTTCACTGCAGTGCACTCGGATTTTACACTCGTGAATCGTTCCTCCGTGAAGAACTTCATCTTTTTCAACCGTTGCATCTCTTGGAAAGCTGACTCCACTTCGGATGCCAGGGCAATTTTCTTCTTCCTCAAATCTTCAAGTGTAAGCTCTAAATTCAAACAAGGTGGTAAGGATTCAGGATCCAAGAAGAAAGATACCATTAGCTCATTCGTCTTATTTTCGTTATGCGAAAAAAGGAGCGAAAACACACTTTGCTTAAGTCGCTCTTGAAGTCATAGTCAGACATCGTCAGTCGTTATTTGTCGCGTATGACAGAGTGCTGTGGTGGAGGTTGCAGATTTTTGACGCAAAGATTTCTTGATTTCTTGATTATCATCCTCTGGCTAGCTTCTTGAACTATTTCTTTTTCTTGATCACCTTCACTGATTAATCTATGTCTATGGACGGTTTTAATCTTACAAAATGATATTTAATGCCGGTAGCTTTGTTAACCGCTGTGCATAGGATCTACATACGGTGTGAAGCTTCTACACGCATTCATTAGTGAGTACGATTGCTCAACTAATCCCCGTGTTTTATAAAGGTGTGTTCATCGGCATCTCCTGGTTTATTTGAAGAAAAAGCATTAAATGAAATTGAAAGCAACATACAAACCCTTCACGACCCTAAAATTGCGGTAACATTTTAGACTTCTGACTCTATGTCTGAGACGTGAATTCTATGCCGAAGAAACAAATGAATATAGCTGTTCTGCAATCAGTCCATTCTCTGTGTGATTATTTGGTATTCTACTGCAAGTCCACAACATTCTCATCTCAAGTTCCAAGGAACGCAATCCACATATGACCCAAATTCAACGAGATGCAAAACGAAGGAGGATCGAACCACCAAGGCGTCCTTCGTCTCCAGAATATAGGACTAAGCTCAAGAGCTCCAGATGCGAACTTCTTTCAGATCCTGTCATGACGCAGATCCGAGAAAGAACAAGACGAGGTTGCGACAATCTTCGATGCAAGCTTCCCCAGCCCAGAAATGCAAGACAGAATGCAGCGAAATTTTCAGCCCAAAAGAGCTTTCGTGGTACAAGACGAGCCCGCCGAGCAAGCCACGACTGAACTTGAACCCATCTTTAGGGTTATTTAAATTCCCGCCCAGGTCGATAGCTGGGCGGGAATGGGATCGTCGTTTTCACATTTGGGGTTTATTTCAACCACTTCACTGCCACTCATTTTCTTATGTTCCAACTTGAAAAATCAAGTGCAATGAATGGGCGAAAGACATATACACTCATGAAACTGGCACACAGATTTTACTAGTCTGTGCCAGCTTTATATTTCTCTATCAATATAATCTCAAGAATTATTATTCACTTCAAAAGATTTCTTCTATGCATTATACTCTATAAGCACAAGGAAATTTAAATACAAATCTTTTACTATATTGTAATCCATAATTTCTTCTTTACACATCTAATTTTTTTACATACATTTGTGTCCACAAGAAATACACACATGCATCTACAATGTAGTCAAATTTTTTTAAGTGACATGTGATTCCAAAGAATCAACACAAAAATTCTGTCGTTCTTTTCAATAAATCTACATCCACCCAATACAGAGAATCATTTATTGAAATCGTAAAGTGTGGCATTGAACGCTATAACTTGTTCTTGTATACAGTAATATATAGATAGTTTTAATCATTCATGTTTAAACTAGATAAAGTTAAAGAGCACTTGATTTAACTCATAACAATCATAGTGATATAAATCACTCTTGAGAAAACCCAACATATTTCATCATAATCCTCATCTAACACTAAACTTTAATCATCCCATCATACAAAAAACCACCTTGAATCATTTCGTAGGGTTTAAGTATAAACACTTAGGTTTTTAGGCGTATATTTAAATCTCTAGAGTATAGATCTCAAATTAAAATCCTGGAGTTTAGGATGTAGAAATCTTAGAATTCGGTCACTTTGAGAGAGGAGCACGTAGTCCAAGCCCATTGTGTTTAGCTAAGCTTGGGTTAATCCAGTGCGCCATCTTTCTCTTCTTACTCTTTTTATCCCTCTTCTTTGTCTATTTATTTCGTTGCAAGAATGCCATAGATTCTGCTTCTCTTGATGCTTCTATGCTGATGCTGCTCCGCCTTGCTCAGGGCATAGGAATGCGCGAATTAAATACTTTCAAAAGGTCTCTCCAAAAGCAATTGCGCTCGAGCTACATATAATGCAGCAATTCTAAGCAGCTCTCGGTGATGCTCGCATCTCCTACCGAGTGTTACGCCAGAGAAATAGGTTTTACCAACAGAAACCATGCAAATAGATTGCTTGATCATCAAAGGACATAGAGTTTTGCTTGCTTCCATGCTGGATCCATGCTCGGCACGTCCTTGGCACAGATATTTAGATGATATATATATATATATATATATATATGATATTTAAAGTATCATCTAGATATATATAGATGAAGATTGTCCCAACCCTCGTCTTGTTCTTTCATCGGATCTGCGTCATGACAGGATATGAAAGAAGTTCGCATTTGGTTCGCTCTTCATCTACGTATATCATATTAATACATCTATCATTTTAGAATATAAAGTATATATTTAAGATATATAGTATCATCTAGGTCTAAGGCGTGCTGACTTGAGTTATTCTAATGCCCACAAATGCGTCGTGACAAAATCTTGTTCGCAACACCGGACACGCTTGCTCGGACTAAAATAACAAATGTGTGTTTTAGAGTAAATTGGCTCCGCGAGAAAGCACAAAGAGCATCTTCGACTTTCTTCTCAACTCGTCTGGAGACTGATGAAGATTGCGAAGGGAGTTCCTCGGTCACTCAAACGTCGAGCCAAGCTTTGACTTGGAAGAAATCTATTCATTCGGCAGAGTCACCATTCTTACAGCACCTAGTTGTCTGATGGTGAGTTGGCGATGTGATATTCTGAGGGAATGGCCAAACTAGCTATCATTGCCGATCTCAATCTCTGGTGCTGGAGTAGTACACGTCATCAATTATGACGATCTCAATCTCACCTTGTCCGACGACTAGGCCAGGTTCTCGGTACCTGTGATATGTAACACGCTGCTCTTGGTAGATGACATCCCGGTAATCTTGTCCTTGCATGCAATTCTGAGCGTCAAGTCCAACGGCCATATCACAAAGCTAAAACAAGCAAAAGCAGTCGAACTCGAATGAAAGAAAAACAGAAGACGGCGACAATTTGCTGTACCTTTTTTCTAAACTAAATGTCATTTTCAACTGAGAATTATGTTTCCACATTGCAGCAACAATAGTTGCGTTGTGGTAGAAATTCCTTGTTACGGACAAAAGCATCATTCTGATATCAATCAAAATCCGAACAGATCAAACACAAATAGTAAATTCAAAATGCACTCATGTAGATATTTCACATACTTGATTTGACACGGCGGGCTACGTTCACGGAATACAAAGGTTTTTTCTTAGAGAAAACTCTAATTTGGGTCATTCATAATTTTATTGAGCTCTTTTAGAGAATGATTGTCTGCGTTACCAAAAGAACCTGAATTAACTTCTAACAGTTACTACAAGCTTCTTCAATGAAAGAAATGTGAAAGAAATAGCTGATTAGATGGAAAGATACTTTCTTTTTTTAAAAAATCTCTTATGATTCTTTGCATAATCATGTAATTTTTTCTTCGCAAGATATGATATCATATCTGTTTGTGAGTGCACAATTCTTATTACACTAGATGCCATGATGCATAAATTTTTCTAGATATTGTTTAGTATATTTCACACAACGTCTTTTCATTGCTCTACTCCTTGCACTCTCATTAAAATATAATCTTATCAGAAGATGTAGTATTAGATTTTCTTTGTGTGTGTGTGTATATATATATATATATAAAATCTAATCTTGACAGTTTGAGATGATATGAGCTGGAGGATATGCATCTCCTCATCACTATACTCTCGAGGCCTAGCCCACGATCTCCCATTGGTTTTGGTTTTTTGGTGGGTTTGATAGTATCTTCCAATAGGCACAAGATCCATGTGCCCCCATGTACAAAAGGTAGACGTATATTCGTCACAAACCAGAGTGGATATAAGCGCAAGGAGTAAGAATCATACATTTCGCATGCGGAGAGGAGACTACGATTCTAGATAACCGTCGAAAATGTCAAAAAGGTTTCCCTTCGCTACGCAACACGTTTCTTCCAGCCAATACGAAACAATCTTCAATTGTTCGAACATGTCCATAATGCCACATTACCAACTGGATTTCTTCCTAAAGACAAACCACTTTGTGTCAGGTACTCTTTAGAACCCATCTTTTCTCTTGTCCTTCAGAAATCCCGTCACCTAAAGGTACCCTTTCTCAACAACCACAGCAGTTACTTGACGTCCAAGCCACAATTTAATATAGAGACATGGAAAACTCCACGAGGAAAATAACCGGAAAAGTAATATTTATCTCAAAACCTAATACTAGACTGTACATAAAACCCTAAGTCTGGCTGGCAACCATCACATATAGCTTGGGCAGAAACATTTATATTCGGCATTGGGACTCGATTTCATCAACACTCCCTCCTTCCTCTTCTTTGCTCTTCCTTCCTTCGTATACTCCAAGGCATGAATTCATGTGGAGGACGGGTCACATCCATCTAGGAACTCTCTGAAGTCCTGGCTTCTCTATCCTTCTGGTCTGCAAAGGTTTCTCCTGATGCGGTTTTTCTTTGGACTGGTTGATCGATTTTGAGTGAGTGATGGTGCTCAGTGGCGTTGTTGGGCTTGAGTTCGTGTAGTGGGTGGTGTGGTTGGGGTCTGGGGTCTCGGAAGGCGGACCATTTGTAAGAGTGTCTGGCATAAAGTGGTCTCTATTTTCGAATAACATGGATGGAGCCTGTTGTGGATGCCATAGTTGGGTCCACGGTCTTCCTTCTCAATCAAAATACATCTGTTATATGTTTGATCTCATCCGATTGCTTTGATGCAGAGCATTTCACGTCATTCACGATCCTTGCTTCAGAACAAAGGTTACCTCAAACATGGCTTTATTTGGGTTGATCTCTGTCTGAAAAGTTGGACTGGCTTGCTCCAAACGCATGTTGAGTATAGTCCACTACAGGTCAGAGCAGATGCGTGTAATCATTTATCACACGTTGCAATTGAATGTGGGTGATTTGGGCATTTACCCCATGGGAATATTAGATCGCAAGTCAACTATATCAATTTCGCATCATCTTTGATTTTCAGTTGTAAAAGCTTCAGGCTGCTTCGTAGCCTTGACATTAAACTGCTCTTGACCATTTCTGTGAGCCCGGCAATCTCCTTGTTCAGGAAATTGGTACATTGTAGACTTCAGTCAGAACTTCCTCACGGAATGAAGAGAGGAGGATGGCTGCAGAGGTTAGATCGGGAATAGAGGTGTTTCCTCTATTTGTCAGCAGTTCATATGTGGACTGGGAGGATATAACTTCAAGGAATGAAGGAGAAGTTGACATCAACGTTTGTTGGTCCTCTTGGTTGTTTGGCTAAGTTTTGCTCAGCAGTGCAGGATATTGACATGTTCGGTCGTTTTAGCTTCGAAGGACGTGATTATGGATCGGGACAGTCTTCTGTTATGCTCATATGCGTTTGAAAGTGGATGAGTTGAACAAGAGTCCAAAATAAGCGCTCGTTTTGAATCCCATGTACTTCACGTTTTGAACTATTCGTGAAAGGGAGTGTCTGAGAGGAACGTGTACAGTTTTATCTTTTGACTTCTTTCATCCGACCCTACAGGTCGATTGCAATGGAACTGCAAGGAAATGGTGCGATTGGAAAGTCTAGGAAGTGAAAAATTGAACGTTCTCGATAGAAGATTTTCCAGTTCCTCCCTCTCCATGTAAACACTGTACGACATGCTGACAACGTCGTCTTAAGCTGAGGTGCACGATGGAACAGGTGATCCTTCCTTGAATAGTTTCAGTTGATAGGTCATCGCTTGTACCGAGTATCAGAAGCAGGAAAAGATCGGGAAAAGCTAACCTCTTCTTTACAAGTTTAGTCGATTGCTATATGGTTTTTTTTTGCATTTCACTTCCAGATGATTGATTGATTCCGAACTATGCTAACAGAGACTATGGGGCATATATACATATCTGTTGGTTTATGTCATCCGGACGTGAGGTGCAATGGAATGAAAAGGAAGGGCTGCAATTGGAAAATCTAGGAGGATAAAGTTTGAGCGTTCTCTTTTAGATTCTCCAATTCCACCCATTCCAAGTCTTTGCTACACAGCGACTTCGTCCTGTTCTAGAGATGAACTGCTGTCGCTTACTTACTTCATTTGTAAAGAGATCCAGCTATCGAGTCACTGCCTGTATGATTGTGTAGAAACAGGAGAGCGAATACAGGTATTTTTCGTATGTACAAGTTAGATGGAATCTATAGACTAATGTATATCTGATGGAAGACATCATTTTCAATGTTATTACAAAGAAGGGGTGAAATTGGAAAATATACCCGGGATTATTCAAAGGTAGCTTTTCCTATTCCACCCATTCCATGTAAGCTATTCATTTCGACGAGGTAAAGAACGGGACAGGAGGTCGTGAAACGGTCTATTTTCAGATTCATGAAAGGCACAGCTGTTCAAGCGCATTTCGAGAGGACCTGATCATTTCACACTGACGAGGCATCAACAAAACTAGTAGACAGTTGGACATGTACTGCAGTTCTATTCAGGGTACACCAGGTGCTGTGTGCAGAGTCGTTTGAGTTTCATTTTGTGGCCGCTACTATTTAAAGCAAATATAATGTCTTGTCTGAAAACGTATGGGCATTCTCACTAAGTTGCGATGTCGAAAGACAGGAGCCGGATTTGATTAAGTTCTCCTCAATGTGGGTACGGACATTGAGTAATATTCGAAGCTCCTGTCCTGTTTGGAAGTATTCCATAATAGTCAGGTACTTTCTCTAAGGCATGGAAAGGCAATTTTTCTAGTTTATATGTTTAGACTTCAAGGCACATGTTTATCAGGAGAAAAACGCTGGTGAGTAACTTCTCAAAATATGCTGTATCCGCAAAATACGTTGTCTCCTTTAAACATTGTCAAATAAATTGAAGCGGTGAAGGACGCTAGAAAAAGATGAGTCTCGGCTCTCACTGAGGCTCACCAGGAGCATTTATTGGTCCAACTGTAGCATTGAACCACAATCAAAAGAGGTTGTTACCTTCATCAAGAGAATAACTTAACTTCTGTAACGTAGAGACTTAATGCAGTAGTAGAAAACACATTATTATGACCGTAATAATAATAATTCTATATTTCACTCAAAGAACCATTTTGATTGCATCCAATGTCACTTGTGAGGATATGGAGAAGAGGTGTTCGTTTTCAGCCGGAAGAAGATGGCAGGAGAAAACTACAATGGGATTACAAGGCAGGGGTGGTATTGGAAGATTCACCTTGTATATATACCCTTGGGTGGACATTCCAATAACGGGCAATATTATATGGTAGCTTTTCCAATTCCACCCATACTATGTAAGTCTTTCATTATATCTCTGGAGAGACGAGAACGATTTCACTTGTGAAGGAGCAATTACAAAAGCGAAGGGAGGAGTCGATTATACAGCAGAGAGCTCAACGCATAGCTTGTCAGTCGGAGCGACAAGAGTTTTCCATTTTTGCACCGTCGTTTGTAGACTGTATTCAATGTGCACATATATTGTTCACATTTGCACAAGTTATCACTACAGCAGCTGCCATTTGTCATGGATACTTATTCAACAAAACAGTCTCGTGACTGCTGTTTCGCAGTTTCTTGTTCTATTGTTTGGATTGAACCTCTTCTTGTTACTCAGTATCATATTTTCTGCGGCATATATGAGTAGAGAACGATCCACAGACTACTCAGAAACTGAACCTTCACGGTCGTCATTAACACCATGCTTACTCATCTCCATTCAGCTTCTTTCCCTTGACTTCTTTCCATGTTATTCATCGCATGTGCTATAAGCAAGGCTTGATATGAGGGCACGATCTCAAATGTCCATTGGAGTGAGTTTGACTTAGAACTTTAGATAAGTGACTTTTTGCACTGCTTATTAATGGCAGTCTTTCCAGCAGTTTCCAGCAGTTTTTTACTCCCAGGAAAGTTTTGAAGGACATGACTGTCCTGTGCAGTGGACAAGGAAGTTTTAGAAGTCTCATGCGTTTTGATGCAAACAGTTAACACTGAAAACCGCTCTTGACTTCGTTTGTGAAGTTTGTGAAGCATTTGGAAGACGTACTTCTGTAAAGGAGGCTGACCGGGACAAATGTCAACGTCGAACACTGTAAATTCGTGACATCAACAGATTTCTGGATCGATTGACAACAGCAACTTTCAGACCATCGCTCGGATTACTAGTATTACCACACATAATAACTGTACCAACTCCTCTCAAGTTCGTTCTGCGCTTGTGAGAATGCAAGGCATTGAGTAGAACTCTTGCGGCAAAAGACTGCTCAGATTACGAAGCTATTCATTCGCCCTCCTCTAAACTACACGTTCACAACAATAGCATAAGGAATAAATATATATTCCATGTGAATTTATGTCCTTGCAGATTAATCGTGTCACGTGTTTAATCAAAGTACAATCCAATATTCAATTATCAAATATATTTTTCTTGGAAACTTTTATCTTATTGTCTTTTCTGCTTATAGAATTAGCAGATGATAGAACTCTTATGATCCAGCAGGGCCATTTCCTAGCCTAAACTAAATTCTTGTCCATACACTATAACTAAAATATATTATGATAATTACATATCTCTTTTATTTATTTAATTTTGTATATGTAACATATGCAACGTAGCACAATGTACTTTATGTTTATTATGAAGAAAATAGTAACAGATTTGATTTTTTTGTAATTATCTTTTACAACCAATAATTTTTAAAATTAATAATCAATGTAGATGTGTTTCATTCTATTAATTATTTTTAATTCAAAATGTGATTTAAATTCCATTTTAAAATTTAAAATTTCATATGTCAACATTATTTTGTGACAAGATTGTACCACCAAATCATTTCTTTTGCTATTTTTCTCTCTATACTTAATCTATTTTTGAAGTAAAATAACATACATATTCGTGAAATTAGTTCTTCAAGTTTGAACTCATGTATACTCTTTGATATTTATTTTAACAATCAAACATATCCATTATGAGTACATATAATATCCAGAATTATTTTATCATCTTTTAATTTGGCATCAAAAACAAGATAAAAAATTAACATAATTTGGTATATTAAATTTAAATTTTAAAAATTTTAAAAATATTTTTAGTGTTATCTGCATGTGTATTTTATATTTTTCTATCACTACAATCAATCAATTTGAATTATTGATAAATCGATCAATTTGATTTCTTGATAAATCATAAAATAAATTTATTGATAAATCATTAAATCAATTTATTGATTTATTGACATAATCAATAAACATGAATTTTTTACTGCCTTGTCATTAGAGAAATTGAATAGTCAAATCTATCTATACAATATTTGTTAATCAAAACAAATTTAAAGTTTAACCTAAAAGTTTCTCACATTCTTGAAATTTTACATTGATTCTTGTAATTATCTTCCAAACATACATAACTTGAGTGAAAAATGTAATGTTTTCAAGATATTTAAGTCCAAACATCTTTCACGTTGTATCAAAATATATTTCTAATAAAATTTCACTAGAGTTTTGAACTCTCAAACATAAGATCAATCTTTAGCTAATCACATAAAATCTGAGTATGATAAAAAAAATAAAATTGTGTTAAAAAATTTTCACACATATACAAGATTGAATACATTTAGTATAACATCATGAATTCTCATGATAGCACATGTCAGAGTGTTTCATGGTTTCAATAGTTTGTAAACAAGGAATTTATAACAAATTGCAAACATGATTGATATAATGGTTGGAAGCTAGGATTGGTATAAAATTTGTATAATTAATAATTTTCAAAATTAAAATATCACGCAAATAGAAGAACTTCAAAATAAGATTTTAAAAAGTAATAACATTTTTATATTTTTTAATTATAAAATATTGATGAAATACATAAAATAATATTTATTCTTACATTGATGAAATATAATTTGAAATACAGTAAACAAATGGATAATAAGAATATGATATTAATTCATGAAGCTGGACAAACAAAGAAGGAATGGGGAAAAAAAGTAGATAATGTAGTAGACTTTTCATACACTTTACACAACTTTTTTTTGAAGTACTGTAAATCATGTGTAAACTAGATTTTAATAATCTTGTTTAACAAGTAATTAAACAAAATTATTTACTTGTTTAATAATGATTAAAGAGTAAATAATTATGATCATGATTTTTTATTCAATGTATTTTCAAATTCAATGATGTGTAAGTATCATAATTACGTGAAGATAGTATCTTGTATATTGTGTATTGTAGTATATAGTATATTATAATAGATAGAATTGGATTCAATATATAGAGATAAGTGCAAAAATTGAAGAAATTTTTTATTTATAGATAACATTCATGTTGGATAATATATAGCAACATTTCAAACCTTGAATTTCACTCAATTTTTTGATTTATACGAAATAAATTTGATAATTTTAATGCTTTCTAAACCAATTGTTTAACATGTTATTTGACATGCATAACAACAAAAAATTGAGAAAGAAAATCCCTCATGTAAAAGAAAGATGACTCAAGACTTGCTGTAAACGAGTATCTTGCATTATTTCAAATTCACATGGACTATCTTATGTACATGGAAATTATTAAAACTCATATAAAATATCTATATCGTACATTAAAAAATACCTGCGGAATATAGTTCATCTAAATTTGACTCTTCGTTTCCATCGCTTATGCTTGTGGTGACGAGACACGAAACGATTTCCAATTTTGGCATCGGGAGACAGCACATCAAAACTATTACACAGTTTAAAATCCTGCATACACCTGTAGAAAACATCCTTGGAAACGACCAACTACAATGCGACGCGTGTGGCGGCTTCAGGACCGGTGTCGCATTCAGGCAGGACCAGAATCATACGACTCGACAAGGCAGCCAGATTTACAAAGTCGACGGTTCCGTGAATTATTAAATGTACGGTGAAGAGCAGTACGTCAAATTACCAGCAGCTCATATTCGGTGTCCATGCACTTCTCATACGGCGGCAGCAGCAGCAGCAGCAGCCTCCTCCTCGAGTGTCCTGCACATTTGGGGCGTAAAAGTAATAATGGTTTTCCGAAGTGGATCGAGGGCCAATTGGTGGTGACATGGCATCCTGCCTGCTTCTTCGGCACCCGAGTGACAGCTGACGAAGAAAGCGCACAGTGCGGATGAGCATCGGGTCTTCCGCTTCCCATTGTCGACACCTCGTCGATGTGCATTGTGCTGATTGTGCACAAAGACATGACAGCTCGAGGCTCTTTCGGAATATGCGCGCTCTCTCTCTCCCAAGGGCAGCGGCAGTGAACCGGCCAGTCCACTTGTCGCCTTTGCCACACGAGAGGGAGGGAGCGGCAATTTAAAATACACTAGGTGGCAAAAACACCCATTGCTGCGAAGATTTCCAGCGATTGCTGGAATCCGAATTTTACGGTATTATAGATTCCACGTGTATTTTCACGCCTTTTTACTCATCGAGGCCTAAGAAGATTCCTCTATGTGGCAGCGGCCTCAAATCATGTTTTAGCTCGAGACTCACGGACAAGTAGCTCACGCCAGCTGTTCCTTTGAGGACCAATTGGTCCTGGGATTTCAGCCAGTTTCAGCTGCTGTTGGGTACAAGAGCTTCGTTCGAGGACTGAGCTTGTCATTCTGGATCTGTGCATCGAAGTGCTCCAGAACTCAAAACTCGCTCGAAGCAGCTTCTTCGAGGATTTGAAAGAGGTTCGTTGCATCGTCTGGAACGAGCAAGATGGGCCCAGCAAGAAAATTAGCAACAGGGCGTCCGAGGGTGTTCTATGGGGGAGCGTACCGTGGGAGAGGCAACTGGCAACTGTATCTGGTGATTGCTTTTGGTTTGTGTGGGACAGCATGTCTGACCTCCATTTTGGCGAAAATGCGGCGAGGCAATATGGAGAACAAGAGGACTTTAGTCAAATGGTCCGTCTTTTTCGCCGTGGCGACACTCTGCTTTTGCCTTCCCGCCATCGTTGTTCTCTGCGGGAGCCCGTCGAATACTGTGGGAATCATTGCCATCGTTAGTCTCTGCTTTCTGCTTTTGCCGATGGTCGTGTGGATTGTCATGGCTCTGAGGAGGGCTCGTCGTATACACGAGAAGAATTTCGGGGTGGTCGAACCAGAACCGAGTGATGATGCGCATGCAGCACCCGCCGGTACCAAATTTGACAACAATCAGTATCCATCTTTCGTGCCGCAAGCCAGCAACCCTTCGACGGTCGACGTCGATGGCAAATCCCACGTCTCAGGCCACACGAAACCCTACGGCTACGGTTGAAGTGGTTTTTCGAGAACCTCTGGGGCTTAACCACGAAGAAAATCATCGTTTCTCTTTGTTTGTGCCAGCCGCGAGCGTCAGAGCCAGAGTTTTCACTTCGTTGCGAGGAGAATTTTCGACAGGTCTCTCTCACATCGTCGTCCGATCGAGCCGATCTTTCTTTCTCAGCCACCATCACCAATTTCTGCCCGACCAGGAGCTTGTGGAAAATTCTCCTCACTTCGGTCGGTCAGAAGAGAAGGAAACGACAGAAGCGGAGCTTTTGAGGCCTGGCTGGCTTCCTTATTTATTACTGGGACTCGTCTCACGGAAAAATTGCATTTGCCAAGAGATCTTTCATTCTTGATGGGCAGGTTGCTGGGAGATGCTAATGCTCTCAGATTACCGTAGGCAGTCCTTCAGTTACAACATCCTCGTGTCTGGATAAATGTTTCATCGGCAGATGAAGATAGAAAGAGTCGATGCGTGCCTTTTGGTGATCGAGACAAGACAGAGACTCAGCTTTTCCATGTACATATGAATCTGAAGCTCTCTCTCCCGATCGTCACTCCGGATTTTACAGATCGCCTCTGAGAGCGAGCTCACAGACGACTCTAATTACACGTAGAGCTGAGACCCAAACTTGGCTGCTTAGCTTTGCTTGTTCCGAAACGATAGTTCTGTCACCACCAAGTATATATGTCGAGAAGAGGGCGGCGGCTCTTGCAATTAACTAAAAATGATTATAGAGCTTGCAGATCCCAATATTTGAGTAGAAGTGAAATTTTTTGGAGTCAACTTAGGTCTTGATTTAATTAGACAAGTTTAAGACAGTGAATTAGTCTAGATAGTGTGACATTATATAAGCAAAGCTGATCTAAACTCCAAGCAACACAAAAATTTGTGTTTTTGAATAAACTTGTGCTACTGCCCTCTTGTTTATTGATTTTGCGATGTGTGTCTGATGTAAATTAAGTTTGGAACTTCACATAACAACATGATATTAATTGAACCTTTTGTGTAAGGAACAAATAAGATCATAATTAGTAGTGTACGAATGTTAGCACAGCAGTTTATTAGGACTGACTTAGGTCATCCAAATTATGAAATGTTTTGAATGCCTTCGCTAGTGATATTAGTCATTCATTTATATCTGGTTTTATTTATTAAGAAATATGTTTAGATATACGGGCGGATGTTTGGCATCTTCGATATGCTGCGTGCAGAAAGACAGAAGAGGAGAACGATAAAACGGATCTTGCACATATGCTTACTTATATCGTGGTCTAAGTGCAGTACGGATGAATTCACATCAAGTTTCCGAAATTCGCATGAAGATGGAAGGATGTGTAATTTCCAGCACTCGCAAGTGATTTGTCAAATTGGAAGTGAAATCCACTCATTCTCAATATTGCTGCTCCTTCAGTAAATGGGTACACGCATCTATAAGCTATCTAACGTCGGAAAAATAATGCACTATTCTTGATCGAGGGCATAGCTCTAGAAGCTCCTAAATGTCTCAAACTTGAGCAACTTTAGTAATTTGTCACGTCGAGACATACGGGGAATGAGTGTTCTGAAGGCACCGGAGAGGAAATCTCGATCTGTATTCTTTTGCTGCTCTGCAAGTACCTCTCGACGAGGAGAAGCTATATGGCAGACCGCGTAAGCACCCGATGTATTTGAGCGAATCATATGTAATCCAGACACAGGTATACCTCTCGACAGATTTGCAGAGATTCAGGTTCTCAATCGGCTAGAACACAGAAAGGTGTACTTGGGTGGGTCAATAATTTCGGCCGGTTAAAGTTAGAGAAGTTACGTCCTCTCTTGACAGACCTTGGTGACACCGACGGTTCGAAAGTCTAATCCTTTCTTCGCTTCTGTCCATTATTCTTCCATTGTTTCGACTTTGATTTTGCAGATCACCTCGACGGAGAGTTGTGAATCATTTGGTCGTCCTGTCAACGGCCGCACGACAAGGATCAGATTCTGCATGGCATAAATCGATGCCACAGAACATCTGAACGAACGCCCCGCTGCAAATGTTCCAAGCGAGCAATAGCAGACGAGTCTCAAGTGCAGAAAATGATTGATGACAACAGATTTTTGAGCCTCAGTGCACGTCACGAAGACCCGACTGCCCGTTCGTTGACAGGTTTTGTGATCGCTGACATCTTCTCACCAAATGTGAGAAGCCGACTTCTCAATCCATGCACGTTCGATGGAACATCAAAATCTGTTGCAAGTTGGACAATTATTCACGTTCGGCAAACAGGAGCTCTTGGTTTTCGTAGCTCTTGTGGTCATCTGCAATGCATGGCATGCTCGGTTTCTGTATGCCCGCCATCCCTCTCTTAATTCCTCAGTCTTGACATATTGTTTTCGTATATAACAGGTGGTGGAAAATCCGCCAGTACTAGTACAAGGCCAGGATCCTAAGAAAATTCTGTCGTAACAAACCTATCTTAACAACAAACTTGCAAATCGGATAGAATAACGAAATTAATATCTTCTTAACCGGTTCAACTCAACAGATGTTTAGATCTTTAGTAATATTGAAAGTTGATATTTTATAGATACTGGTATATGAAATGTGTCATACAGCATCTACAGTATTCATATTATATTCATATCTACTATCAACATAGTGTTGGCAGCTACTCTTTGTGAACACTCTTTCTAAATAAGTATGATCATAACCTAGAAAAAGTCATATCTCTACGTGCTATGTGCACTATCTCAAAAACATGTCGAAACCAATAGTTCATAATGTCATCGATGCTAAATTTACTAAAATATTAGACTCTCTTCACTTAATCGTTCTAGTTATTGACGTCATACTTTCCGCCCATCCAATTTGATGGATTATCTAAATTTAATATCAACATCGTCTACATACATCTCAAGGATAATTCTATCTGCAATCCCAAAATAAAATAATAATAAAGTTTTTAAACCTTCCAACTGGCTAAGCAAATTGTAGATATAATCTCTTAAATAAAAAATATACATATCTTGCACATGAACGCAAAATAAATACTTGAGCCGAACTTCCAGTCATATACCCCCAAAGAAAATTTGATGACAGATTTTCAATGAAAAAGTATTAGATATTCCATTAATAAAAAACCTTCAAGGTTGATTAAGAACAAATGTGAGGAGAAAACCTTGAAGAAAACAAAGGTGTATCATGTGGCTAAATCAGAGTTCTAACATGTGTGGTATAAACATAATACTCCTGCAAAGTAGTGCAATTTCATGCGGAGAATGAACAAAGTCTCGTTGTTAACTCTTTATGTCTAGCGTTATTTTTTTTTAATTCATAATTTATGAGTTCAAGATGATTTATGACTCATAAATCATCTTGATAATAGTTAAGTAAACTAGTTTGTTTATCATATTGTGGTAAATGAAAAGAAGGTTTGGGTTCTTCATGAGTGCAGATTGAAGTGTACGGAACAGTTATGGACATAAATTTATAATCCTACTATATTTAGTCCTAAAATATTTTCATAATTATATCAATAAAGTTTAAGTTATCAATAATATATATTTGGTATTTTTTTGATCTCCGGTGCAATTATTTAAATGATTTTTCTACTCGTGTATACATCAATGTGATCCACTGATAATGTTATGCATCTTTCTCATCTAGATTTGTCTTAAAATTACTATGACACCACATGATGTATCACACATTACTTTGGAAGGCTCTATGAAGCAAAATGAAGCCATAGCAAGCACTGAGGTCAATATTTGCGAAAAATGTTCAGTATTTGTTTCACTATGAAAATACTCGAACTCATATTTCTTTGAATTTTGTTGATACTCATTATACTTTTTGGATACAAAAATTTAAACATCTAACTTTTAATCCCTATTTTTTTATAACTATTTATGCCTAAAATATGATTATGATAGCAAAAATCAAAATCTCTGCAATTTTTCGATTTTTTATATTATTATTATTATCTATTTTAATGATATAAGCTGCAAACTATCATTTGATTTATCTCATTACTAAACTCATGTAATAAATTTTTAAGTTTTAAAATATGCCAAAGTCCTTATTTCATGTGTTAAATGTCTATTTGCCTATATGTCATACCTATAACTTAATATTCTCCATTAATGAATTAATCCATTTTTTCCTCGTGCATTTTTACTTGAATACTAGTGAATTGATATATCACATATTTATTTCTAGTCAGTTAAATCAAGGTGAAATGTAATTCACAACCTTTGACAATGGTTTGGAAGATTGTCTTGGTGCATGCTTATGAAGTGTCATAAGCACTTCTGGTATGGAATTAAATTTATTTTTTTTAAATCACCTTTTTTCTCTTCGCTAAAAACACATAATGATGAAAAATTATAGCAAGTGTTTAGATTTTTAACTTTTCATTAATCTACTTATGATCCAATTTTGAAAGAAGTAATGAAGAAAATCTGTAACTCTATGTCTATATGTACTGACTTCATGTAAACTAGAGTTTACGTCTGAATTCGTACTATTCTTTATCAGCATATTATCTATTGAAGGTTTTTTTACTTTAAGATATCCAATTGTAGAGAGATGAATCAAGCTATATTTACTCTTTTTTATCAAAATATCATGTATTTAGATTTTAACATCCTTGTTATCGTTTAAGAGTGTGGAAAACTATTTCAAACTTCATTTGTTTTCTTCTGGCTTTCCAACTCATCTTCCAGAAAAAAAACGTCAACACTATGTTTACACTTTCGATAGCCTTCAGTTTCACCGTTTCCGACTGATCATCTTCGATTACATATCTCTTACCTTTTTAAAATTTGTCTAAAATTTAAGATTCATCACATTTGCTTATCACTTTCAACAATCAATATACCCAATAATTTATTTTTAATTTTCCAAACCACGTAGAGTATAGTTGAAAATATTATAATCTCCTAGTTCAGTTCTATTTTCATAAGAGAATGATGTACTAACGGTAAGCATTCAATACCAAATTTGACAAGAAGTACAAGTTTGTTATTTAGACTAATTCCTGAATCATCTTGAAAATATAAAATGTGAATCAAACTCCTAGAAGTATGATGAACTCATCGAAATTTTGGAATTTCCTAAGATAAAATACTTACCCGAAATTCGCGACAGATTTGCGGCAATGAAAAACTTGTTAGGGGTTTGAGTACATCACCGGGAAATATTCGATGGGTCGATTTCGAAACACCCAGCCGGACAATCGGCTTCCGCAGCATGGAGCCTGATCTGTCAGTGCACCGACGGGAGGGACATGATGCCCTCGAGCACCCGGTGGACTTGGTGCTGATTCGTGGAACACGGCTATCGTCTGCTGGGCGATCGTTGAGATAATCCAAGGGAAACGGCTCCTTCGTGCTCATCACTGCCGGCGATCCGGCGGCGGCCGTCCTCAGCCAGCTGCCATTCGGGATCAGTAGCAGGTGGACGCTAGCAGCCGTTTCCCCTCCATCTCCCGAAAGTCACGTCGCCAGGACGTCCGCCCGGACGGAGCTCCAGTCGGTGACCGGCGCTCTGACCGGTCCGAGTCCAAGCTCCAGAGCCTTTCGTATATGGATGGACTGAAACTCGCGTAGCACGCGACGCGACGGTGCTTTCACGGGCCGATCATGACTGTCGGACTCGATGCGTGACGTGGGCGTCATAGCCGCGACGTCGTGAGCTCATCCACATGGACAGCTCTGAAGAACATTGAAAAAGGGCACCGGATGGATGGATAGATGGATGGATGGATCGGACGTAGATCGGCGGCACCCCAGCCAAGTTCCCGACCCAACCTCGTAGGTCAGAGTTGCAGAACCACATCCTCCAGAGCTCTGTCGGTGATTGAAGCGGAAGGAGGCAGGAGGCAGGAGGCAATTCGACGTGGTGCAGAGGGTACCACGTAGCTGAGGAGCAGATGACCGTGGAGGGAGTACTGGGTTTTACGAGAGTCACCGGCTCAAAAGTTTGCTTTAATGGCTCGACAGCGAGGAGAGGGGTAATTGAACGGGGTAACAGCCAAGAAGCAATCACATGTACAAGTCATGGACATGCACAGACACCTCGTCGGTGAACTTGATCTCGTACCTGCTTCAAATCGAGCGAAGCAAATGATCCAAGACTATCATTGTCTCATCCATCAATTCCTCAAAATTTCGAGCCATCCACCAGCCAAGTTGCAGCATCCGGTTGAGAGTACAAGGCGTAGCAAGTAGTCACACCCAACGACTCACGACCACACTGGACTGGACTGGACTCTGAAATCTCAAGCACTCTGACACAACCACCATTCGATAAGATAAGGTGTGATGTGATGGGTGAACTTGTAGTGTACGTACGATGTGCCTTTTTTATTTGCATTCAAACCGCCTGGCTATGCCGAAACAACCCCCAACAGCAATCCGATCGACAAAGTCACTTGTGTCTGTCTGTCTTCTTCACTGCTCCCTCATATGAATTCCTGGGTCGTCGTATGACTGAGTCTTCTTCTTCTTCCGAGACCGATCTATTTTTCACAACTCCCACCTCACAGGTCCAGTTGAGGTATGACCAACCTCTGAAGCAGATCCTTGTAATTTCAGGGCAAACTTCAGAATCTCTACTACTACTACTACTAACTGAGTTTGCTCGCAAAGAATGGATGGATGGTGATCAGTTTGCTGTATTTCGAGAATAATTAACGTCTAAACTACTACTGCCGACCCCCTGTCTGCAGCCAGCGAGCCAGCGAGCTGCAGAGAATGGAGGTCTGAGACTAATCGCTTTATTCATGATCGACCGAGAAGCAAGCTATCGAGAGATCATGATCGCCTGTCAGTCTATCAATCTACGTATCGGTGTACAATAATACGTTGATCACCGTAACATGTTTTTTTGTCTACCACTCCTCGAGCCCCTATGATTCCAAGTAGAGGTCCAAGATAGAGGTGCAGCAGCTATCTATGGTGCCAAGGTCGATGGACGAATCATGCTGGCTCTGATCTTCGACTCCACACGTAACCAATTGAGCTGTGGTTGATCTGGATACTAGTATGTGCACACTCGCCTAAACGATTTCCCAGTCCAGTTGTGGGTTGGGGTGGGTTGGGATGGGGTGCATGGGAGGGGCGGGGACGCCCTGTTGCCGTGCAGCCTGCCTGCCAGCCAGCCAGCCAGCCATTCGAGTGATCACGCTCACCAATCGATCGATGCCTCGGAGTCCGAGTAGATCTTGTAGTCACTGATGCTAGTTTCTCATTCCGACGAATCGATCAATAAAAAACTGTTCGAGCTGAAACCTCCTTGTCTCTCTGTCTCTCTCTCTCTCTCCCTAGCTCCCTCCCTCCCTCCCTCTCTGTCTCTCTCGATCCCAGCCAGCCAGAAAAAAAGCTCCAAGTATTGTTGTTGTTGTTGTTGTTGTCGTCGTCTACTCTGAAGCCTGCATATTGAACTGAACAGACCTGTGATGTCCTGCAAGAGTCTTCTAATCCAAGGCCTTGAGCTCGCACTCGTCGGTGAGCCTGGGGAAGGGCTCATCGAAGTACTTGCCGGTGAGAATTTGTTGGGCCACGTATCGGTTGCCAGCGTCGGTGTTGTGCACTCCATCCCACACGGTGTACTTGTTGGGGTCGTCGCACTTCACGGCTGTCAATGTCACTCCGTTGATGGTCTTCGTCTTTCCGCAGTTCACCTGCAAGTTGTAGTTGTACTCCGACGGCACTCCGCAGCAAGCCTTGGTATTGAACTCGAATCCTGCAACACATTCCGCCCCCGCCTTCCCTTTGTTAGCCTCCCCACACCACACCACATCACACACACACACACTCGTCCCACAATTGCTGCCACTCTCGTGTCCGTCCAGTCCTCGCCTTGAGAGGTTGATTCTGAAACGACCCCATGGTGTCAAAACTTACAATCAAGAGCAAAAATCTCTCTCCCACCCACGCATCGACCGTATCAGACCATCGATCGGAGCTATATCGAACCAGAAATGATGAGCCAGATTCTGATTTCGTGAGCAATGAAAGTCAATGCAGATGCAAAGCCATCGAGAGCATGCTTCTCTGATCTACGAATTGATAGTCTGAGGACCACAAGGAGCTAGCATGGACTCGGATACACGGGTGAGCAAGTTGTGTCAAAGAAGATGAAGATGAAGCGATCGTTGTCGAGAGCTTCTCTGGTGATCGGAGAGGTTAGACTGAAACAGGAACCTCGGCAGCAAAATCGAGTCGAGCGAAAACAAACACAAGGAGATTTGAATGGAAAGGTGGGAGTACCGGCAGCAGTGAGGTTTTCGGCCAATTCTTTTTTGATGGTGTAGGTGGACAGCATGTGGAGGCTGATGCCGGGAAGCGAAGCACGAGCTTCGTCCAATTGTTCCTTGAGCAGTCTGTTGAACCACTTGGACGCTTCGTTGTAGTCGACCATGCAGCCATACTCGTCCAGATCTTCGGGCGAGTGAGGAACCAAGGTGAGCATGTAAGGCAGACAACCGTGCGGCTCGATGTCGTGCACGATGATGTTCCTGGCTCCCGCCGAGTACAGCACGTTCACCGCTTGCACGAGACCTGCTGCCACTTGCGGCAGAAACTGCTGCACCTGGGTGATGTTCTGGCCCTTGGTGTACCCGAATGTGAAATCATTTCCTCCCATGCCGATCATGTACAGCCCCGTGCTGAACGACTCCAGCGTCGGAATGCGCCTCAACAGCGACGGCTTCGTGGCTGCACGAGACCACATCTCTCGCCTATCAGTCGGACCCGAAAACCAATCCAACCCAAAACCCAAACTCAAACCCAAATCCATGTCCAAATGCAAATCCCACGACATTAGCCCAACAAATCGAACGCTGTCGTGCAGCATCAATCAGGTCAGACTGCCTTGACCCACGAAAACGAGCACCCGATGGATCAGAAAGCGTCGAGAGCCATGGCGGCTGTCGGTCCTCTCGATCGAAAGACTGGGCCACATGAATTGGTCCAATCGCTGAGCCCCGACTCCAGATCACTTCGTCCTCCGATTCCGTGGGCTCCGGCCGGGGGTCAAAGATTGGACGAGAATTGGGTGGAATTCGATATGGCGCAGACCGAAGGACTCGGACTCGGACTCGGACTCAGACCGGCTGGCTGGCTGAGCCATGGCGCCATTGATAAGCAGGAAGGAAGGAAGGAAGGGCGGGATCGATACCTGGGTTGTTGCGGAGGGCGATGACATCCTGCTGGAAGCGCAGGAATTGCAGATACTGGACGGGCAACGGGAAGGGCGAGAGGTACGTGATGGGCATGACGGTGGCGCCGGCCGTGGCGAAGTTGGCCCCGTGCGAGTAGTCCGAGTCCACGGTCTGCATGGCCGAGTGCAAATTCGGCAGCCCCATGGCTTGACCTGAATCAAAGTTCCACGCATCAAACGCATGAGTCAATCAAACATGCTCGCAAACATCGATAATCTGATCGGCACGGAAAAAAGCAGAAATTCAACCCAATTCACAATCCGCAACCAATGGAAGAAACATTGATCCCCTCCGGAAACTGGAGCTCGATCGATTAGGAGAATTGGCTGGCGGGCGAAGCGATGGACTTCGGGGAAGTCACGGATCGATACAGCGGAAGCGAAGGAAGGGTCAGACGGACTCACACAAGAAGTCGACGAGCAGGCGGCCATCGCTGTATTTGTTCGAAGGTCGGCCGTAGTACGTGTCGCCGTAGGGGGGGAACTCGGCCGGAGTCTGCCGGGGGAAGGTGGCGTGGATGCCTCCCGAGTCCGAAGTGGAGTCTCCGAAATTGAACAGCGCCGGGAAGCAAGCGCCGTGGATCAACGGAGCGAGCAAGATCAACTGCACGAGTCCGACCGCAACTCTCGAGGTCCCCATCTCTCTCTCTCTCTCTCTACTAACACCTTTTCTGTCCCTGGCCTTCGATTTGGTGCGCTTCGGAGGGAGAGACGAGCGGGCTTCAGCTCTCGGTCTTGCAGTGGTGGCTCGAGGTCAATGTCTCAGTCTCTCGGGGCGAGGTGAGAGACGAGATGGCTCCTGGAGAGGGCAGCTGCAGGAGCTTTAGGAGGAAGGCGAGAGTTTTGGCACGAATGTTTCAATGCATGGAGAAAGCAAGCGGCAGATCGGAGCGAGCAGCGCCTTCCAAGGGCTCGATCGGTGGGCCCGCACGCAGGCTACGACGCTCGCTCGCCCGTCTGTCTGCAGATTCGCAGGCGGCCTTGGCCTGGCCTGGCTATGCTCGGCTCGGCTTACACGAGCAGCTCTGCAGAGTTGAGTGCTGAGCACCCTCGCCTGCAAAAGTGGCCGCCTGCAGACATGCAATTGTGCGACGAAAGCAGACAACCGCAAGGCCCTCTTTGCATGCTAGCTGCCAAAGCTATGGCGGCCCCCATCTCCTTCTCCCCATCATGTGGCCTCCACCTCTCTTCCTCCTCGTCCTCGTCCCCCCCCAGGCGGGCCCCACCTTCCCTCCCTCCCTCCCTCCCTCCCTCCCTCCCTTTCTTCCACAGCTTCAGGACCGAGGGGAGGGGGAGGACGAGGACGAGGACGAGACTCCTTCCATCTCATGCTCGATCCATGCTTTGACTTTGTTACCACTGCCTCTGCCTGAAACTGAGCCAGCCACTGATCGCTCACTGATCTTCCTCCGTCGCTGCATCGCAGCCGTTTCCTGCTGATTGACGGGATGGATGGATTAATTAGCCTCTTGCTTTGACCCCGTTCTCGTTAATGATCTTGACGATCGATCGAATCAATCATGACTCTGGCGTTGCCTGCGATCTCGCTGACTTAAACATGATCTAACAATAATCAGGCTATTGACAATTTCTCCTCTGATTCTTCCGTTTCTTCACTTGCCTGCCAATGAGTTTGTTTTTGGCTACATTGCTTCAGAGTCACCTCAACCTCGACTGGAATTGTGGAGCCATGCACATTCGTGGAGTGCTTTTTGTGGAAATACGCCAGCTTCGAATCACATCGAGGGAAGGCTTCATCTGAGCTGCTCTTGTGCTGCAAACCTTTTGTTTCAGATGATCTAAAATTGTTTTGTGTGTCAGACTGGGTTTTGTGGCGTAATAGTAAGCTGCGGTTACTGCCACGTGGATTTCGTTCGATCACCGGCACAAAGACTAGAAGTTGATGTTTGAGATAGATGCAAACGGTCTAGACCTTGATGATGCGATATCTTCGAAAGACCATAACTCGGATGAATTTTCTTGAAATCAGTGTGTGCAACTCGAAGCCTTCTGCATCGGCAGCACATAGCTTTGGAGTTAAAATATCGCAATCAAGCAACTTGCAATTGAAACGAATCGCCTCGACAGGTGAAAGGGGCGACAAGTGGATGGCAAAGAAGAGTTCAAGACCCTATCAAGCCTATTCAAGTAAAAAAGGAAACCAATGTAGATTTCATCTCCAACAATATCTGGATTCATTAAACACATGAGCGTTACTCTCCTTCGTATAGGTGCACTATATCGAAAAACGGAAACACCAATTCTTGACAAGTTCACTTTTTATATTACATTGATACAAGTTGGACATGATACTAGTCCCTAATCATTTTACACCTTAAAGGGAAGAGTCGATTTTCAACTGGTAGAGAGTCTCTCGGGCCAACATGCAAACCGGGTCCATTCTTGGGGATCAGGCAAAATGTCGAAACCAACTTCTGTGAGTCCGAGTCCTTGGTTTCTACAACAGAGAGCTGGACAACAGAACTTGCTCGTTCACAGCCCATAGCACTCACTCGCTCTAGATCTGATGAAATGACTGACTGCTTTCCGTTGCAGGAGTACTCACTGACTTGTACCGCGAAGGGAATTGGATCAGATGTAAGGGTACGAGAGGAATAACAGTTCTAGTACAACACTTTTGACATTTATTGCATACCATAGAATTTAGGATTTAGCATTCCTGGTACAGCAAGAGGGGCATAGATTTCCGACACACCGAGAGACACAGACAGTGTGCCACTAGTTACCCCTTGCTGCCATTTCGTTCAGATGCGCATGCGTAAGGACTACTGTTGCAGCAAAAGTAATGCGCTTCCATGCTTACTACAAAACTGGCACTGCCAACTTGAACTCTCGATGATCCATTCTTCTCCCACAGTCTCGCGATTAATTATGTCACCTCGCATTCAAAGGTGGTCAAACCATCAAAAAGCGACTGAAACAAACATGTGGAGTCTCTAACGAGCATGTTTGCATCCTGGATAGACTCCTTTTCAAAGGGCAGAAAGTCATACTTTCTTGCAGATTTCTCTATCTAGTCAGATTTCTCCCGTCTCGATATCTACCGTCGCACCTGGCTACTTAAATTTCCTCGGGAGCAAATCCATGACTTTCATGTAATAAGTGTCTACACTCTTCAAGTGCCGAAATGTTTCACTTATTCATTCGTGGCTTTAGACTTCATAGGTGAGAAGAAATCTGAAAATTCAGTTAACCATGATTTAAATGGGGTCAGGGTTAGGGCACGTTTCACATGAGATGGATAATCATTTTGGTCCAGTAGGTAATCTTCTCTACATGAAAACTTGCTAAAACATTTGTCACTAGCTTCCAGGGCCTGCAGTAAAACGTATACTATTTCACTACGGGGAAGCTATCCATTAAGTTTCATGTATCAAAGGATTTCACTTAGCCTCGTTCGAAAGTAAACTAAAATATGGGCCTTGCTTACATCACTAGGGATCTGCACTGCTCTCGCCTTGTGCACGAAGGCTCTTTCAACGGGAGGAAGGAACATGGATGAGACGAAGGACCGTTGTGATGGATCTCTCACCCCTAGCACGCAGAGGAGTGAGGCCATCAACGGACACGACAATCTATGCAGTGCCCGTATGAACTGATAATTACGGATATACTATTCGCAGAGCATCCAGGAGGACCGAGAGATCATGTGCCGAGAAGGCTGGATTTGAGGCGTACTCAACGCAATATGTCACGTCATGTACCTCCTCCACAACATCCAGTCGGCTGTATAGAATCTAGATACTCTCCATTACAGGCCCTATGGAACAGTCAACCAATCTCTTTGTCTCGTGGTTGCTCGAACTCATGTCAGTACCTCTCCATCTTCACTTTCCAGTTCGCTCCAATGCAGCTTACGATTCTCCCTCTCATCCAGCTTGATGTGCATAAGAACTCATCGATGGTAAGCTCGGTTGCTCGAAATTATTCTATATCCTTAGAAGTATGATCGTGATTGACGATGTAACCGTAGTTTACCCTTCTTTCAAACGGAGAAAGAGGGTCCAAGTGGAAAGCAAAATCACTTCTACCCCCACACCCTTGATAACCCTTCTTTCAAATAATCCCCCTACCCCCTCCCCTCCCCTCAACCCTCCCCACTAAGGTCACACTTTTTCCATAAGCAGATTCTGCTCAAAGATTACCATGTTAGGGTCAGACTGTCTTTGGATAGATGGCTACTTGAGAGGAGTAATCAGAAAAGACTATGTGAAGTGCAAAGTGTCACGATAGCTTGTTGTCCACATAGGGCCGGAAACTGCTTAGACAGAATCAAGACGTTGTGGAGACCAAGAGGTGTCGATGCAGGTTGAATGCAGGCAACGGGTGAGGCGGGACTGAGCTAATATTGGGAAACAGAATGCACAATATTAACCAATCAGAGTGCTGGTTAATGAAAATTCAATGCTCATAATGTGGCTCTCGCAATTCAAGGACCTACAGTTCTGTAATAAGCATTTTAAATTGTACAGTTAAAAATAAGGCTTGTGGCCTTGGACCTGGAATCTCCACAAGTCCACCACCCATGCACGATGATTGATCCTTGTCCATACAATGGGCCCGACCGAGTCATGGTTTTACTCGTTTCCTCCCACCAGATGCTTGAAAGTCACCTCCGCATCGGAACTCTGTACAGCAAAGCTTTGACCTTGTTCTCTAGTTGACGTTACTGGTCCTCTGCTTTCGCGAAGGACCTTCGGAGGTTTCTCACACAGCGTCCCTTAGTCTCCCAAGAGTTCGCGGGTGACGGAAGCCCCCGCACCAGCTGTGGCCTGGTGAGCAGCTCGCCCGCGATTGGGTTGAATCGAAGGTGCCGGTGGCTCCACAGCAGTGCCCAACTGGATTAAGAGGACTCGGTGGTCTGGACACAATAGCTACGGAAAAGAATGTCACTGTCGACGATCCACAAGCTGAACAGGACGTGTGTTTTGGTCTATCAAAAGCACGATTGCTGTCATAGGTTTGACGCTGGCGGTCAGATGAATCAGAGTTTTGCGGAGAGTGAGAGCCCCGCGAGAAGTACGGCAGCTTTCAGTATGTGTCTACACTTCTCGAGTAGGGGGTAAATGTCCTCTGAAATACAGAGAGAATGACTCGATTTTAGGAGCCGCATTCTCTGGTTAGTTTGGCGAGAATTGGAGTCAGAATTGAGATTCCCTCCTGAACGCTATGAATAAGTATGTTTCTATGCCTGACGCTGATTCGACACCTTGCCGATATCTGCAACAGGTAACAGCATACATTGGATAAGGATCCGCTTAAGGCCAAGCTTCAGAAGCAGATAATTTCGGGTGCTCGTGTGTCATGTGTCACCCTAAAAGCAATGAACACTATTTTCATTTCCGCATAGTGCATCTGTATATAAAATTGGCTCACACATATCTTTGTATCGAAAGAAACCACTGACAAGAACGTGACGAAGACAAAGTTGAACAAAGAATACATTTCCAGTTTCCGTTCACATTTCCGACGCAATGATGTACCCACAGTACTTGGCTCTGGATTACAGTAAAGCCCTCCCTACTAATTCAAGGAAAGGAATCGCGAAGAAGAGCATGAAACACACCAACTGGTCACAGAAAGTTTTAGGTTCAAGGAGGCCGTATCTTGGCCTTAGAAGAGCAACCCCAAATCGTGGGCCGATTGAAGGGGGGAAAAATATGTTCTGTGAGTGAAAGCAGATGGTTGGCTGTTTCTGTTTCAACTTCGACTATTGACCCAAAACCAACACGGAGGGAACAGTAAAGCTTCTGTTCATTTTCCCAATTATATCCTCAATTCCAAGTATTCGAGACTGTAAGAAAATCGCATGGCACCGCACTCACTTTACATCATAAACAATGAAGCGAGGTCTACGCACCCAACATGCAAACTATTCCAAATACCAGACCTAACAGTTTATCATGAAAAGAGTGCAAAGCTATGTATCTCATCTGATCTCATCCATCCGAAATCTTTTAAATAGCATCACTTTCCTAACTGGAGGATGCTGTCTCCAATATTATAAAGAATCCAGGAGCAGGACTTGGGAACAGCATTTAGTCCAAATCGCTTTCCTTGTGAGTTTTTATCTTTGTATTTAACAGTGTTACACTTCTTGTAGACCTTGTGCTTCCAGTCTAGTGATAGCCGTACGCGATGGAAGAAAACAAGCAAAAGAGAAAGCAAATCACCAGGCTTAATCAAAATATGAAAAATCTTTTTATCACACAAAGAAGAGAGATTTCTTTGACAAAATACGTCTTCTACTCTAGTGTACATTTCTGTGGAAACCTAGAGCAGACCAGCAAAGCACTTACATGCATGTAAGTGCTTTGTAAGAAATAGAGTTTTGAGTACACACTTGGGTGAAGGCTTTCGTCCGTCTTAAGCTTCAAGAGCAGATCCGCAGTGAAGACCCATGATTGATCCATGCATGTAAGATCCACTGCACTTTGAATAAAAATTTTAACTCAAATGTGTGGTTCTCTCTGGTACCACAACCAAAGCATAGCCATAGCATAGCATGATTGCTTAATATCAACTTTTGAAATTTCCATGTGGTTCGAGGAGCCTTCAAAAGATCAGCAGCACCAGCACCGTATGCTTTTGAGATCGATGGACGTGATGTCCATCCATTGCCAATAGCAGTACAAAGAACAACGAATATCTGCCCCCAGGAAGCAAAGGAGCAACCCTTTTATATTTTATACTCCAAAATAATCTACACAAAGGTCCATGCAACAGACTGTCGCCACAGGAATGTTAGACATACAAATAGTTAGACGGCATACCCAATTAATGCAAAAGGAGGTAGCCTGAAGGAAGTGTGATAGGGATTGCGATCCAAAAGTTTAGGATGTGGTTAAGTTAGGAAGTGGGCACGTACCAATGCAGATCAGGTCATCAGATTGGTGAAAATAAGGTCTACAGGATTGTCGTGCTCACGAATCACAAAGTAAAGTGATTAAGGAGAATGGAATCACTGGAGAGCAATATCTCACAACTCGTCCTCCTTCCACACGTTTTGACAAGAGCTTTTATTTTGCACAATTGATGGCGCGGTCTGAAAGTGGGAGTGATGGAGCTACTTCATGGGTTCACGGGATTTTGAGGAGGACCTCGTCCATTCCAAATGTACTGTCACCCTGATACCGATACCGCACATCGTACAGTGGCGAGTGGATTCATGACCGTATGTTGAAAGAAAAGTCCCGATATCTCTCCGATATCTTCGGTGCCGTAGTACGTCTTTCCCATCGCTGAGGAAGATGTACTACACTGTTTCCACTTTTGAGTACTAGGCCCTGGTTACCCGTTTTTTTTTATCGCGGTTCATAAGGTCTTCCCATCCTTTTGGCTATTGACTTGGCACCCAGTTATAGGCATTGTGACTACTGCAATGTTGAGTTGTCATATTTAGATTCTATGATTTCATTCCCTCCCGTTCAATATCCTTCCCTCCTACAAGGCATCGAGTTTATCTATTGGGAGAAGAAAGATACCAACGCTTTCGTGTTGGACTTGTGGAGCTCCACACATTTTTACTGGAATATATTCCATTTGTACAATTCATAATTGAATACATTCCACTTGTCCTCGCGAGTCCTGTCTACATCAATCATGAACAGATTTTTGATTCTCTAGAAAGTCACTTGATTTGGAGCTTTTGCTGGTTTCTCTTAGCTAGACCTCCTATAGCTATTTGCAGCATTATAACTTGGAAGACATGATCCGTCCAAGTCTTCAGGGTTGCGTGCATGGTAGTCCTTAGAGAAAGACCAACAACACAATCAATTCTCTTTACAGTTTTAGGACCAAATCATAGTTCGAGTCACTAGCAAGAACTTTCCATTTATAAAATCCAATGGCAGAAAACATTCTAAAGTGAGCTTACACTGGCAAGTTTACAATCCAAGAAGCACTTTGAACTCCAAAACAACAACAACAACAACAACAACGGAGTGAGATCAGTTAAAATGTTGTATGAAGTCTTAAAGCATTCACTGGCTTCTTGTGCAACTTCTTGTTAGAATGTGGAACAGCGATCCAGAGCTCCTACATGGACGGACGACCTGAGGTGGGAGCGAAAGTGGAAGAGCAAACTAGCTGAAAGCGGGTGTAGATCCCAATGTAGAAGTCAAGGACACCAGCATTTGGAATTTAGGAAGGGTTTGTGGCGATGGATCGAGATCATCGATGGCGAAAGAAGAACCAGTGTCATAGATTTGGGAAAGGGGAAGCTTTTGCAGACTTGCACTTTTCGTTGTTGTTAATCAAAGGCCCACATACCTTAGGAGCGAAGGAGCAGCATAGCTTTGCAGTGGAAGGAAGGAATTTCCGCCTTCGACATCCAAACGTTGCATTTGTGGTCCAGATGATTATCCACATGATCTTTTGTCCCCCCCGTACATAGTAAATTCTCAATGATTCACGTGTCAGTTCAAGTCCTTCCGTTCCTGCACTCCTATCAGCACTTTCCTACACTCGTCCGGTCCGCTCCAAGTCGGAAGTATGTCCCGTCGTCCGGCCGACCAACTATAGTCTTTTGTTTCAACCTGGCTGAAGCATATAATGGAGCATATTTCAACCGGTGGACATTATACCTATTATAGTCATTCCATCCCCATGGGCAACGTTGCGAAGATGGCGGGCCCCTTTCATACTTCATTCCAACAGATCTGGATGGCGTGAATGATCATGCAATTGTATATTCACTCATTCTGCAGGAGTGACGGACTTCATGCATGCGACCGACGTCTTGGGCCCACAAGTGTCAGAACATGCATACTTTCCACTCTTTGTGTCCCTAATCACGAGCTTGTCATGATGGAACTTCCTGTGATCAGCATGAGCTATCCGGGTAGAACTCAAGTCCATTCCATCATGTATATCCTCTTAAGCAGGCTTGGAGCTCTCTAGACAAGCAAACCGTGATCATGCCGTCTTAAGGCTCCTTGAGCTTGTCCTGGAGTACTCGCCCATCTATCGGCCTCCAGAGTTGCTTGAACGACAGAGATCGATGATTGCTGAAAGATGGAATTTCCTCCTCAGTCCTAGAGTTCTAGGACTTATGTGACCCGTAACACGAACGAAGCAAGGACTTGGCGATTAGATATCGACATGGCGTTTCGCTATAAGATGTATATGGTATAAAGTGGTGGGCACCAAGGTCAGCCCCGAATCTCAGTCTCGTCGCCAGTTACTGCACACGCTGACGGTCGAAACGCTAAAACATATCCCGGCGGTCGCCCTGCAGATATCCGCTCCATATTTCAGAATCAGTACCGTAGTGCACTGTATTCGTCAAAAAAATTGGCTACCGTCCAGAATATAGGGCTCAAACTTTGAAGGATTTTCACCACCTCTGACTTGGTAAATCAGAAGTATAGATATGACTATCCACGACTGGAGCAGTCATATCCGGATTCACCGAACTGCTACCCTCAGTGGGACGATTTTATCTTCACTGATGGTAATCGAGCCCAACCATCGATGACCGATGACAGCAGTCCAGTGTATGCACACTCGACTCGTCCTGTGCTGTCCTGTAGGCCGCACCGCACAGACAAACGTGTCTGACTCGGGATCCCGTTGACCAGACCGCGAGGTTTAGTCCCAGAGTCCATCACCTCTCCCACATGCCAGGCCCTCCTCGACCTTGCGCCTTCCATGCCGTTAAGAACGGCGTCATACGAAAGAGAAGCACTAGCAGTCTCGTTGCCTGACGCAAAATTTATCCACCTATGGCATGCATGCGCATTCTTGGTCGACCAGCTGTAATCGCTAGGAAAACCTCGAGGTAATGGTAAACTTTTCCCTGGCCCTACTTTTTCGTGAGCCAATCGGGAGCATGGCGATGTTCTCCGCTAGCAGCTAAGCATGTGGAAAGGGGCTCAGCGCTTTTCTCCCAACGAATGCAAAAGTTGGGGCTCGCTTGGTTTCCTGTCCGCCCAAATTTAGCGCGAACTGCGCCACTTTTTTTTTCTGTGTCGGCTTGTTCTAGATGAGAGTATTCAACAATGCTGTAAAGTTCTCGTGCTAATTACACCTCGAAGGAAAAAGAGTCGCACTTGGATATTGGGTCCCAACCAGAGGCTGGACGACAACTGACGCTGAAGCTCTTTCATTATTCTAATGCTGACGGTCTTCCTCTTCTTATATATTTCTGACTCCTTTTTTCCAAATCATTTTCGCCTTCGTCCACTGCCTACAAAAATGCCACGGAGATGTGTGTACATCACATCTTCATTTTGAGTCAGACGAAGCAGCTGTACGCGACCCTCGAGGAAGCCTTCAGAACCCTAAGCGTGCAAAGTTGCGAACGCGCTCAAGCAGCAGAGCTCGAACATGCACAAGGTCAAAGCCGTCGGTGCCGAAAATTGTCTTTCTCATCTCGGAGTTCCACAAAAAAAAACCCCATCTAGTCCCAGAACCGCCTTTCTTACCTCGGTGGGATTCCGGAGGGCCAGGCTTGATGAAGGAAAGAACGAAGAAAGATAAATTGTGCGCGCATCATTCACTCGGCAGGACTTCGATGCCATGGAGCAGCCCTCCTCGACCACATAGAACAATCTTCTTCTCTTATTGTCACTCAATCGATTCTCCTCTTCTCTTATTGTCACTCATTCGATTCGATTCCTGATGTTTCAAGAACGAAAGGAAGTGCAAGTGCACGATGCAAAAATCAAGATGCTTGAACACTCTGCGGCTTCAAGCCTATCAGCCACCAATCAGCACGTCACCGTCACCGTCACCTCTATTCACAGCTCACATGAATCTCGCTGTCCGAATCTACAAACTTCGTTCATCGGCCAACCCTTATCCAGATCGAAGGAATGCAACCTCCCCCGTCACAAGATCTTCCGCACGCACGATCGGACGAATATCCGCCGTTCCATTCGAAGGAACCAAAAGAAACGAGAAAAGAGGCAGAAATCCTCGTGCCGAGGTTGTCCCAGAGAGATCCGGCAGCCGGCCTGCGGGCTTTTTTCGATTTCCGGTACTGTCGTAAAGTGCGCCGAGGATCGTACGGCAATCACCGGTCGATATTCGCGTTCACAGAACCTGAAATTGTGCGGACCCTGCAACAAATTGTCCGGAAACGTAAACCTTTTGATGCCATAGCTTTATCGGTAAGTGTACCGAACCAACCACCTACTTCTCGGTCACATGAACATATAGCGACCGGGTGACCGGGTCAGAGCAGCTGTCCAAACTTATCTAGCCAGGCACCACTAGTTATTTTCTCTAGGACTTTCCTCTTTTTAAATTGTTCGAGTGCTCAAATACTTCTCGCGTGGAGATATTTTATGCCCTTTGATATTACGCGAGTTATATTTTCGAAATCCAAGAATCTAGAAATTTGAGTTCTTTTGGGGACGGCCAACTTTCTCGTGCGAGAGTTCAATAAATGGCCCGTAAGGTAGAGCAAAAACCTGCGACGAGCCAGAAGAAAATAGTCTCCAGAACGTTTTAATAAATTGGGCAATTCCGCTTTCCTTTATGCGGAAATGCTCTCTGCTCCGGACAGTAAAAAGATTCGATTCCGGAAGCGACTGTCTACGTACAAGCACACGTACTCTATGCGTACAGGCCCACTGGCTTTACCATAGGCCTGGCGTAGCCCATAGCTCTGCGGCCGTCCGGTGCCAGAGTCCGTCGGACGGAACACCTGTACAGCAAGCTTACTTGGCAGGAACAATTCGGTGGAGGTGGAGATTCATGAAGCTCACGTGTCACAGACACAACAGCGACCGGGCATAATATTCAATGCCCACGAAAGCAAAGGCCGAAAATCAGAAGCGATTGTGTGCCCAGTCCTTTGTACAACGCTGGCGTACCGAAAGCGTGGAGACAAGACAATAATCGCGATAGAAGTCAAATGAGGCGAGGTCCGTCGCGCTCGCACCCTGCGGTCCCTCGCCTAACCCTGCGTATCGGCGGGGTGAGTCGAATAACCTGCACTTATTACCCAATCATGTCCTCGCATTCCTCTGTCCCGCTTCCATTGTCGATCGCATGTTCTCGACTCCTCTCCACAAGACGACAGACGCGCGGGGCCGGCTCACGATCCTCGGTCGTGGGGCCGGCGGTCTTCACATTGCGCCCGCTCTGCTCCCAGGTCGCCCCCGCGGAGGCCGCCCTGCGGTCCTTAGATTTGCTGCTCTCCCTGGGGATGGGGATGGCTCCAGGTCGCGACGGTGACCACACCCTCGGATTCTCTCTCGCCGGGCCTCCGAATGGGGAGACGGGGACTCGGAGCTCGGTCAGGACCGAGTCAGAGGCCGCGACTCGGGCCCAAGGTCGGGATCGAGATCGGAGGAGCCGGACTTGCAGCGGCGACAGCGGCAGAGACAGAAAGCGGAGATGCGGCAAAGTAGGAGGGAGGAGCGGGGGCGGGGCCCACCGTCGATACGGTCAGGAATCAGGAGCGGAGGGAGGAGGTTTCTGTTCGGGAGGATTTGTTTTATGGCGTCGGGAGGAGGAGGGCGAGCAGTAGCGAACACGTCTCCGTCTCCGTCCGCGTCCGTTGCTGGCTGGGCGTTCGTGAGGTTTGGCGATGCGGAGCGGTCGCAGACCGACGGACCCGACGCTGGCCTGCTTGGGCTCGTAGCGCCGCGCATGGCACCGGTCATCTCTTGCTTACATGATATGCCCGGCCCTCGAGCATCGATCTAGCCATCTCTCCGGCGCCTTCGCCTTCACCTTCACCTTCGTCGTCGTCGTCGTCGTCGTCGTCTTCTTCTTCTTCTTCATGTCTGTGCCCTCTCTCTGAAGCTCGCTTTCGTCTCCGGACGAGGTCGAGGAGCAGGAGCAGGAGGACGCTACTCCTCTCTTCGTCAGCCAGCTGACATTGCAAGAGAGAGAGAGAGAAGAAGAAGAAGAAAAAGTTACGAGATCATCCACAATATTTTTATATATCAATCTATTTGATAGCGAGACTGATCGATCGATCGATTGATTGTTTGATTGTTTGATCGATCGGGCGGGAGGGAGAGAGGTGTGGAGAGCGAGAGGAGGAGGAGGAGGAGGAGAGATCGGAGTCATTGTGTTTCGACTTGGAGCTGAGAGACGGCAGACATGACGAGGCTGCGGCGATCGGCGCTGCTGAGCTTGGTGCTGTTAGGTCTGGTGGCGGAGCGACTGGTGGAGGTGGAGGCGACGGGATGCTTTCCAGCGATCTTCAGCTTCGGTGATGGGCAGTTCGATACGGGAGGTCTGTCGGCCACGTTCCCCACCATCCTCCATTACGACCACCCTCCGTATGGACAAACGTATTTTCAAAAACCAACCGGTCGACACAGCGATGGTCGTCTCATGATCGATTTCCTCGGTGAGTTCTTTCATCACAATCCGACCCGGGAACTCCATAGGTGCCTGGGACGTCGAGCACTAGAAATTCGTCAATTTCCGCCCGAGCTTTCTGACATGCGTAGACTCAGATTTCCGATTCGCTCTTCTTTCTTGCGTCTCAAATATCAGAAACTAGTCGGGACAATTGGCCTCGAGTGAGAATCCTCGAGTCACATATGGTCCCCCACAGCTCGAACTAGCATGGTGGACATCATGGCATGGCTCTGACCGCTCCTGTGTGCGATACTCGTCTCGCCAGCCGTTGTAGTGTGGTGTAAGAGATCGACTTGGTCGACAACATTACTTTACTGTAATTTTGTGGATTCTACCCATTGATCTTTCTGTTAGATACGGATCTAGCTCTCTCTATTCATCTACTAATCCCGTTGGGAATGAATCCGCAAAATGTCATCGAGCGACAATTTTGGCAACTCAGTAAGTAAAAGGCGTGGCAAGTTGGTGTAATTGTATCCGACCTCACTGCATTCCGAGGAAAGAAAAGACACATTGATCATTTCTCTATCAGGCCGGAGCTAAATGCACTCAAATTGGTCAACTTTCCTCGTGGTTGGTGTCCGGTTATGCGCTGAGTGTAGAGGAGCGCACGGTGTAGCGTAATTCGGTGTCTGATCCGAAGTGCCGAACACGCCTCCGAGGGCACGGGCAAGGAATGTTGACCTGTGATTGCTCGTTAATTCTGGAGCGGGATTTCAGGATCTCCTGGTCATGACATTGAAGTTCTGATTGCTTGTGTTGGTTGGTCGGTTGGCTGCATGGCATCGACAGCGGAGGCGCTCGGTTTGGATTACACGCCAGCTGCTTTGCAGACAGTACTTTCGGATTACACGAGCGGAGGGACCTGGGCTTCGTCCTATTCCACAATTGCATCGGTTTCCAGCGGGAACACGGCAGGACCTGGTCTGTTCCTGTCGCCGTTCGGACTCAATGTCCAGTTGATGCAGTTCAACGAGTACCAGCAAACCGTGAACTCGGTGGTTGCCACACAAGCTCGTCTCAAAGCCAAGGCCGCTGCTGGCTTCACGGACGACAGCCCCTCAGAGAACAAGAAAAAGCAGACGAAGTCCAAGAAGACCAGACACATCCTACAAGAATTGGACGCGGAAGCCGACATGGAATCCCAGACCATGCACCCCACTGCCGTCAATGCCACCCTTCTGGAGCTCGAGGGTTCGTCACCATCCTCTACCTCTCCTTTCCTCTGTTTTTGACCTTGCCATGGCAATCATAAAAGCTAGGGAAATTTGATGTACCTCTGTGCTCGATGCGGCCTCGTCCTGACACAGATGCATGCTTTTATGCTGGTGACAACCATCAGATCTTGTGATGTCTTGCTTGACGTTTGTTGAGGTTAAGTCTGTGAACAAATCTTAGTGCTCTGAAATGGAGCTCACCAGCGCAAGGCCACTCAGCTAATTGCCAATTGTGAAGTGCCTCTGGCAATTGCAAAAGCTGCTTGGTAGTGGTCGGTTCTCCAGAGAGGCAAAGACCTTACAACACTGATCGTTTTTTTAAATGTAATTGAAAATGTGCAGCGCCCACTATGAGATTGCCGAGATCTGGCTCCTGGGGCAAGGCTCTGTACTTGATTGCTACAGGCGGTCACGATATTACCAATCAGTACAATAACGGCAAGAACATCGACACTGTGGTTGCCGGATTCCCCAGATTGATCAGTCTCATCGCCGATGCCGTGAGGGTATGTATATATGCTGGCGGTCAGGCAGGCAGGCAGGAGTGAATTGCCTCTGATGTATTCTTTACTAGGTCCTGTACTGATATACGATGAAGTTGTCGATGGTTCCGACTGAGGGGCGTGGAAGCTCAGGCAGACATGATTGCTGGACTAGAAATCGGCACCTCCGATTGAATCTGAGGAGAAGAACTGACGAGACTGGTGATCGTTGTGTTGATGGTTGGCCTGTTGAGCAGCAAATCTACAGGGCCGGGGGTAGAAATCTTATCGTCTTCGATATCGAGCCACAAGGATGCCAGCCATGGCTCTTGACCAGAATCCCACACACTGCTGACGATCTGGACTGGAAGGGTTGTCTGATCCAATACAACGCCGTCGTCCAGAACTTCAACAAGATGCTCAAGTCAGAAGTAGCTGTCTGGAGAGAAGGCTACACCGACTTGAACGTCTTCTACTTTTCGCAGTACGACGTCAAAATCGGCCTCCTCACCAACGACACTGCTGGTCAGTCCCCGATGTTCCACCATATGAGGCCCCCCAATGCCTTGAAATTTCCATTTGGCTGAAATTTCAGTACCCTTTCTTCTTCACACGAGATTTACAACCCCCCATCAAATCCGGGAGTTTAGAATTCAGCTTTGACAGGCATTTTATCCCCTTGTGGTGTTCCCAGGCTGAGACTCTGACACAAGTTCCCGGCCAAAGTGGCCGAGAGTTATCGGTAGATCAAAGACTCGGTGCTCAACTCAAGTCAGGTCCTGATGTCATTATCTGTGGTGGGATTGGGTGGACTTGGCAGGTTTCAATTCGACCAACACGGCATGCTGCGGGGTGGCGGGATCAACTTACAATGTGAATTTGATGGTGCCATGCGGGCCACCGGTGATGGACCCGGTGACGAACATTACCACCGTTGCCACGGTGTGTAACAATCCGGACGAGTATCTGTACTGGGACGGTATGTACACAACCGAGGCGGGCAACAGGTACGTTATGCAGCAGATGCTGACGGGCAACTTCTTCGACGTCCCGTTTCCTGAACTTACAGAGAATTGCCAGCTGAATCCGCTGACATGAGCAGCGGTGGCGGGACGAAAAGCAACCAGCCAGCCAGCCAATTCTGTTGAAATGCTATCGGATATCGACGATTCACAATTCATTTAGCTAGCTAGAAGATGAAGAAGAGGACGGAGATTCGGAAGCTTCGTGGACTCTATATGCCATGTATGGATTTCCAGTGCTGCTACCGCCGCCGCTGCCGCTGCTGCTTCGATGGATATCTCCGTGCGTGCGTGCGTGAGTGCCGTCGTACTGGAGTCTAGCTATGAGTGCGAGCAAGCAAAACCAGTATTTCGAGATTCGTCTCGACAGCTACAGCCCTGCACGCACGGACGGGACGGGGAGGGAGAGAGAGAGAAAGAGAGAGAGAGAGGAGAAGTATGCAATTGGCACAGTTCATATGCAGTCGGTCAGGTCGGACGATGTTAGCGTATCGATCCTGCATTCACTCGATAGGGTTGATCGACCAATCACACTTTTATCGGTGAAAGTTCCAGTCATTGTTACGTATAGAATACAAAACAACAACAACAACAACAATAGGATACAGTAGAGGATTCGAATGGGCTCCCTCTTATCTCGGACCAGTGGCATTATCGACCGAGTGCCGGAGTTCCCTGAGAAATTCATCGTTGGGGAGATTGTAGGCGAGGGAAAATTTAGATTTCTGACAGAATTCCACAGTCCGAATAGCACTTAGTCGAGCGCACGAGGTCGAATCCATCGGTTTTGACTTTGTTTGATCTGATCTGATCTGTAATTAGGCCTCTTTATTCTTTACAGGATTAATAAAATCACTGCCCATCCATACTGTGGATCAGTCGATCAATCGGAACTTATTTCTTCGTCCGAACATTTCTTCGTCGGAACTTATTTCTTCGTTCATCGCTTTTCTGCTGGACTCTATGACCTCCCTCTCCTCATCCGTGACTCAGATGATCAGAGAGTTCTCTGGGTCCATCTGCAATGTGGCAGAAAGCTTACACAATCGATGCTTGTCAGTTTTCGCGGATTCTGGTGACTTCATGAAGACTCTTAATGTGTGGTGCAGTTTAAAGTTGAGGATGCCATCCATTTCACACTGCGTTTTGCCGTTTCCTTCCACCATCTACTGTCCCCTCTTGCATCCCACCACCATTATTTTCAATGGTACACAATTCCACAACGAGAAGACATATCCCACATCGTATGCCACATTTTGCAACGTGTCCAAGTGCAGGCATGGTATCTCTTGAAGATTCCTGATCATCTACCAAGATTTATTACATGAACACGAGGGTTATGGGTTGTTAGTGAGTCCTTTGCGTAACTAAGTACGTAGGTTACCTCTTTGCAAGGATCTTGTGGTTTTTTTTTGTTTGGTTTAAGCTTTTCTATTATTGCTTGCGATTTCAGTCACTTGATTTATCATCATGGGTGATAGACTCTGCTAGCTAGCATGAAGGGTGTCGTTGCTAACAGCATTATGTTGCGTTCACTCCCCCAACAAGCATGGTACCTTGCGAAAGTCAAATTCATAATTCGTCACCGGCATCAATCAGCCTCACCATGTCTGGCTATGCTATAGATGGAGTCCGAAGGAAATTCCCTGGCCCAGTAAATAAAAAAGAGAATTGAATACCCCGTCAAGTAAAAATGGGCTAGATCTCAATGGAGGATTTTGTATGTTAATTATATAATGCACAGTACTAATATTTAGATCAAACAGTATACTTGATGTTCATTTTATATCTATGGAATAGTAAATACTTGTCAATATAGCAACTCTATACGTAAAATAGTGACTAAGTTTTGTAAGTATTATCTACTAATATTTTTTATATAGCAATGAAGCAGAGATATCTCTTTCGTCTATAAAAAAAAATATTATTATATGGAAATATAACAGTTGCTTTTTTCGTATATGTCAATATAACCCCACTCGCCACTGTTTTAGAAACTCTGTCGCATCTATGCAATATATCACTGCGAACAGACGATATACAACTCATAGCGTAACCACGTAACAAGAGGACCAAGTTCGTGGGCAGCTGGTTGGGCGTGGTCGGCAGTCCAAGCCCTCGTGCGGCTTCGCTCCCTTTGGTGATGATGCTGCTGTATTCAATGCCGAGAAAAGGGCCTCGAGTACACTCTGACAAGCGAGCAGAGCAGGAACGTGCAGGCCGGCCTCAGGACGCGATGGCGATCGCATTCCGCAAGTGGCTTGCTGATAAGATCGAGCAACGACGTCACAAGTGGTCGCTCGGTCCATCAAAAGCCTTCCTTTTCTCCGTCCATGGTGGAGTTCCTGACCTGCCTTACCTCCATGTCTCATGGAGGGATTTTTAATTTTTCATGGATGACGCTTTTCTCGCATGCCGCGACTCCATGACGTCCCTGCTCCGCCTGCTCTCTTCTGCTGACAGCCGGCGGTGTCGTCCTCTGTGCCCTTATGCAAACGGCAACCACAATCTGAACTTGCTCTTGGAACGTCAAGCTTCCCTCGTGCAATGTAGTCGCTGCTTTCCTCGCTCGCTCGCAAGGAAGGGGATGAATACTCGTCTAAAATCAGAATGGTCTCATCGTTCGTAGAAAATTGGCGAAATCCTTCTCTCTGACGTTGTTTATCAAATTGGCACATGCTTTGGCCGTCCTTGAGTTTTGAAACAATGAACGATTTTTTCCCAGAAGTGGATGATATAAGGACGAAGTTGGGTGCTCGATGCTACGGCATGGACAGAAGAGTTTCAGGTCACGCCTGTAAAGCTGTCCATGCCTGCAGTCGTTCGAGCCATTTCAGGGCCTTCGGCTCGCCCTAAAGAATCGGAAGTGGATCAGCCTTAGTCACATCCCTAACCCTTATTTTGACGTGTTACACTCTTGTCCTCGACGATCGAGAGGCCTGTCCCTCGACCCATGCATGAGTCAGTCGGTCACACCACTTATCCACGAGCCGATCGATGTGTTGTTTATGGCCACAAAGTCGAAGAAGTAATCATCCGAGAGCAGCGAGGTGCTTGCAAATGAACACCCACCATTCCATCAATTTCCACTAGTCTCCCATGAGCTTGTAGAGAGACTGCTCGCAGTGGTGCTGCGGTTGCCGACGTAGGTGGCGGATTTGTCAACACTCTACGTGAACCTGTGGTGAAGTGTTGTCGGCTGGATGTGGTGGACGATGGGTCGACGATAGCCCACTGCAATTCTCCTCGACCCGATGGCAGGGAGTAATGGGACCTGCACGCCGGGAATTTGTCTCTGTGACCAGTTTACCAGCTGAAGGAGAGTCAGGTAATCCCCGGAGTTTCTCATGGCTCTGACCTCCAATGTAACCATTTCGCGATCGATGCGGTCGGCCTCCACATTTCTGCTGCCCGGTTTCTTTCCGCGGGAGGCAATGGCTCTGAGGTGGCCAGTCTCCCGGAGCAGCATCCGTGCTGCTTCAATTTTTGACAGCATGAGGCTCTACAGAGCTGGGAAAACTGGGAGGGCACTGGAGATGGGAGGCAACATTGGCCTCGTCTGCAGGGCAGAAGAGAAGAGGCGAGTGGAGAATTTTGTCCCAGCCATCAAAACGGCCCCGGTGAAGACCAGAGTCCTGGAATTCGGTCTCAAAGCAAGAACTCTTGGGACAAATGGCGACCTCACGAGTAGTCGAGAGGGCGAAATCGAGAGCGAGAAACGGAAGACATGGTTTCCTCACAGTGGAGCGTTCAAGATCAACGAGGAAGGGACCACATTGAGCACGGAAGAAGTGTTAGAGATGCTGGGCGAGTACATGATGGACGACAGGAAGCAGAGGATCGAAAAGGTCGTGGCCAATCGGACCTACTCCGTGTCAGTTGTAGTTGAAGGATTGAGCGATGTGGGGAATGTGTCTGCCGTCTGCCGAACAGCAGATGCCTTAGGGTTCCAATCAGTTCATGTCATCGCCAACAGACGAAACATGAGATATCGAGAAAACCCTAGAACGAGCATGGGAGCCGAGAAATGGCTCGATGTCGAAAAATGGGACAGCACGGCTCCGTGTCTCGAGGCTCTCAAGGCTCGTGGATACCGAATTGCAGTCACGCATATCGCAGATGATACCGTCTCCATCCACGACATGGATTGGACGATCCCCACGGCGGTCGTCCTGGGCAATGAAATTAGAGGGATCACAGAAGAAGCTATAGCTCTTTCAGACGTGCGTTGCTGCATACCTATGGCCGGGATGGTCGAGTCCTTCAATGTCTCGGTAGCAGCCGCCATAGTTATGCACCAAGCTGCTACTGATAGGCTCAGACGACTCGGTCTCCACGGAGATTTGTCAGAAGAAGAGAAAAGAATTCTAGCTGCTGATTTCTTCATGCGACATAGAGATAGTTCTCAAAGTATTCTGGAGACCCTAGTGGCCAGGAGAAAGAAGAGATCTCGTAACAGATTGAAACCCGAGACTATCTCGGAAGCAGAATTGGAGTCGTAAAATTTTCGCAATCGCCAGTACTTTTTTGACGATCATTCTTCTTCCGGGAATCGATGTTGAGCTGAGCAAAACACGGAACAAATTCCTCTCGATGCAATGCTTCCACTTTTTCTCCACTTGTTGTTTGCTAAGAACAATGTACGTCGACCCAATGCTCCTCACAAATGAAGAGATGCCGATGCGTGCTTCCAGACTCGCCGTGAAATTCCGCGAAGGGTGACCATTCCTCATGGGAATCGGTGAAGCTGTGACTCATGACTGCAAATCAAGATTCTTCGGACTGCCATCGCCGATTATCTTCCCACTGGATTGTCGACATAGGGATCTGCGGAGAGGAAAAAGATCTAAACATTCGATTTCATTCACTTAGTTCGATAAAATGACCATGTCTCCTGACGCAAGGAATTGTCCCCCTTCATTTTATATTCCGGAAAGTGTTGACTCCACCGCGTGAATGAGCGAATGGTTAGAATAACACGGGTTTCCGACGAATACACATCCGTGACAGAGGTGTACAGGCTACGACAAGGGAACATCTTATGCCAAAACAAGTAAGCTAATACCTGTAATAGATTTTCCTCATATTTATAAGCTAATCTCTCTAAGCTAATGGTCAGCTTGACATCCAGGTCAATCTACGCTAGACGCGTTCATTGTTTTTATTTTGATATGTCGAGCATGGATATTCCAAGTTATATTGTAGTCTGGAGTCACCCATACGAAAATCCATGGACCCAGCAATTCTTTTTATATATTTTATAGTTGAGAAAAGTAGTTATTGTAGAACAGAAAATATTTGGTGGAACCCAACAAGGAATCCATCAAGCCTGTAGCAGATATACATTAAAATTTGATTTGAAATCTTGAAACATGATATTTGACGATTATAGTGTGAGAAGACTGTCACTATCACGCCAGTTACTCTCACAGGATTATTTCGACCATGAGATTGATTTATTTCCGTGAACAAAGGGTTATTGTTCGAATTATTCGAACAAGCACAAAGAACCACGAGGAGAAATACAATTATTTTTTTTCATCAATTGAATGTTATTAAATTTTTCTTTGATGAATAAATTATTTGATTTCTTGAACATTCATTCTAAGTGGATCTTATCATCATTTCGATATTTGTTGATACATGTTTATCATGCATAGAAAAGAATCAGTTAAACCAGTTTTAATTACTATAACACTACATCTATATCCTAAGTATTCACATATGACGATTTAGATACATGGTTTATATTATTGTTTTTATCCACTAAGGAGTACTCGTATATCTAACTACAATTTGAGTTCAATTTGTCTCCATGGATAATTCACATTTGTTGCATGTGAACATTTATATCTCCTGCTAATAACCGGAGTCGATCATTAGATTAAGAAGAAGAATGTCATTACTGTAGGCATGAGGATAAAAGTTCTTTTCGACACAACACATTATACAATTTCATTTATCATCAAACTTCATGAAAATCGAATAAAAGAAAATTTCCAAAATCTGCAACCATAGAAATATGGAAAAGGCTCCACTCCCTTTTCATCTAGTTTAGTATAAGATTACCCTCCGACTTATTTTGCACAACCAACAAAATCATAAAAAATAACATGCATTGAGCGGAAAATTTCTTTTTCATTTCTTCAACATGATCCCAATACTTCTGACAGTACAAGCTATTCCTCGTACTATTCCTCAGGCATTTTCATCTTATTGATGTCACTACCTAGTGATTTCAATAAAATCAAGTTGAAACATCATCGTGAACAGCGCATTTGATAATTCTACTCAGCGCTCACAAGTAATGATGTCCCTCTAATGGTTATCAAAGCTATTTGACTTCGATAACTGGAACTTTAGGCTGTGTACCATATTATGATGTTACTGGAGCATAGCACATGTTAAAGGATTGAATTCATCGCTCCGAGTTCTTCCATCGTTTTGCTGCCTACACTTATTGCGAACTCGAATGCCATACAGTCTGCACTGTTACAAAGATCGGTACTGAAGCCCTAAGAATGTATCAGAATGTACAAGTCTCCAAGCACGGCCATTGTCCACAATTAACACAGTACTTATCAACAGATAGCGCGAACAATTGAAGTGATTGTCGAGCCGCACAAGGAACAGACTGTACTGCCTCCAAATTGTGAATAGGAAGAGTAATATGAACATGAACAAGGTTGCGTACTGGTCCGAGGATGAGCCAGCTTTTCGTTTCCAGATGGTGATGAAAACCACACCAAAAGAACACAAACTCTCCCGCTGCTCAGAACCTACGTGAGCGTAATAGTCTAAAAAGCAAGCAAACATTCATGAACAAAAGATAAAGCACAAACCTGGTCCGTGACAAAATGAGATGGAGCCAGAAAATTCTCTTTATCCTCTTTAAGTCCAATGGGGACACTGACCGATCAGCCTCGCGGAGGGAACGGGCAAAAGCATATATGAGTGTGGGAGGCACATCGTCTCCCCTCGAGGGTGACAGTGCCGATAAGAATTGCAGAGATGCCGTGTACCTTCTGCTGTACGGCGCATGTGACGTTTCGATTGAAGTGGAACCTGGCAGATTGATGATATGTCGATGATGATCGAAGAATTTCTTCCTAACTTTTGATTCTAACAATAAATAAAGCTCCGAGGCCCGACACGCGGCCGGGGCCCCTGGGAGCAGATATTTCAATCGTCAGTCATGGCTTTTCCTTATCATACACAGATACCAAAAATTATGCTTCCGACGATCTACGCATCGTCAGAAGAGTTACCTATTAGACGTCCAATTATATGGAACAAGTGCCCGCGGGCGCGATCTTCTCAAAAAGGTACCTGAAACTCCAATTATACGTTACAACTGCCAGCCTTTTCTTGCCTTTCTTCTTCTCGAGGCACTCTTCCACCACCGCGCGTTTGTCGACCGGCAGCTGCACGGCCACCCACTCGAGCAGTGATTTGGCGCTGTGCGAGAAGTCTCGGGCGTACCACTGCAGAATCTTCGGAATTATGACCCTCCTGTGCCGAGTGAACCCGATGTGCGCCGACAGGTAGTCTCTGCACGCCTCCTGCAGCTCTGTGCGAACGTGTTTCGCCGTGTACGTTCTGACCTGCATCATCCGACGCAAATTCAAATTCAAATTCAAATTCAGCGTCGTGCACGCGAACTAAACTATTCGATGAATCGGAATGATGGAGGAGGAGGAGGAAGGGCTGGGCAGGCGCATTACCATGGGTGAAGAATGACTACCGCAGCAGAGAGCAAAGCTGACGAGAGGTTCAGGACGATCGAGAGCGTAAGCTTGACGAGCGTCGTGTTTTTTGTACTTTTGGACCGGTAGGAGGCTGGCCTGCTCAGAAAGCAGACGACACGTCAAGAATGTCAATCGAATGCCCCGCCAGATGCTGAGCACAGTTTCGCGTTTCGCCTCTCGCGTCTCGCGACCTCGGAAAACTAAAACATTCATCACCATGCAATATCCAAGTACGCGCAGTACACGGTCTCGCTCGATTGAGTTGGATTCTATGTGGACAATCCTGAGGCAGAAATTGAATATTGAAGGAGAGGTGGGTGCAAACCAAAGCAGGCCGATACGAGCAAGCGCGCAATATAGCGTGCTCGATGGCCAGAGCGCTGAAAAGATGTCCCCCAACGATGTACGCTGACTGATGGAAGAATAACGAATAAACACGTCATAAGTTCTGGTGCTCGATACGGATCTACAATCCTGGTCTCTATCCTAGACAATTTAATAGAACGTCCTAGTCGCACTTAATCAACCGTTTTGTGAAGAGATCGACCTCTCAGGAAGTGGCATACTAATGGAACCAGATATTTCAAGACTGCACAGACTCTTTCCTTTCCACTTTTAGTTCGAGCTGCAAAAAGTCCACGACATCAAAATGCTGTTTGACATTTCAGTACCTTATGCATAATAGTAATCCGCTTGTAGTGGCTCCATGGTATTCCACGCACCATATACGCCTGAGATACGACCAATACCACACATGAAGACGCAGCTTGGGACCCCGACGTCCATTTGATGGAACAAATGTTGGATCGAAATTGCTCACTTATGATTGACAGTCACAGCCTGGTCGAAAAATGCATCGCTCACGAATTATTCAGTCTACAAAATCCGAGGAACTTACATGCATCATGAGAGTGTTGTACACGTTTATCCAGAATGCCAGACGCTGTTCATGGGCCATGTCACGAGGATCGACGTGCTGCAGGCTTTCCACGAGACCCCTGTAAAATGCATGAAAGATTATTGGTGAGTCGAGAGCACACTGACGTTCTATTCTGCAATTGCAAGAAGAACAAGAACACGTGAGGCCGTGATGCGGATCTAGCGGAAACAGGAAATAGTTTGTGGACCAACCAAGACACATTTCTGGAAAAACTGAAGTGAACAAAAATGAAACGGCCCTGTACTCATGAAGCTTTCTTTGTATGAAGAACTCGTCATACCTGAAATGTCTATAGATAGCCTCGTATTCTTTCAATTTCTCCTCTTCAGGTGCAAAGTTAACCTCAACACATCTTGAGTAATTACCGATATCCCATGACTCTCGCATACCGTATGGATCATGCACACGTTGGTCCATGCAGCTGTGAAGATTATCTTCAGACTCTTGCACATCCACAGCAGACGAGAAACTCCGACTCCTTCTCCTGACATACGGTAGACACTGCCTTGAGGTGATGGCAGGAGCAGAGTATGACTGAGTCTCTGCATACCGGTGGTAGAGCAACGAAATTGAACGGACCATCTCCTCTGACAGTTCATTCGGACGAACGCTCAACTTTCTCCGAGCTGATCCATGTGTAAATCCACCCACCAATTTCATGGGAATCGTTGTAAACTCCTACACAGAATTAAAAAGTGGCAATCAGCAGGATCCAACATATGGCTTGAACCCAGACAACAATTCAGGCGTTACTTGTGATTTCTCACAAAATCCAATAGAAAGTTCACAGCTAAACTTACAAGTTACTTCCTGGAACGGCCTTCGCAAGATACACAAGTTGCACACCAACAAAAGAAAAAACCAAACCTCCAGGAGCACACATCTTGACTGGTCATAAATCGACGTAAGGGGTGAAAGATTCACTAAGGCAGAAAACAAGACCAGAGAGGAAGTGAGAGTGGAGAGTTTCAGGTGCCTAGGGGCCTCGGGACCTATTTATTCTGATGGGTTTTATCACCCATAAAACATGTCTCTAACCTTTCAGTTACATGCAGAGTCTGAGAATGAAATCTTAAATACTCCGAGTTTATTGTCATTGGAAGTCCGAAGACAGGACAAGAAAAATCAGTTTAGATGAGAAGCAACAAGTATGCCTCACATCCTGGAAACAGAAAACATTATTCTGCACATGCCCCGGTTCAAAGTCTCCTCAGGGTGAAAATGACATGTGCTTTCTAGTCGCAGTTAGCATTGTAACGATAACTGGCTGAATACACAAAAAGCACTTACTATGTATCAGGCTTCCGGTATCTGCTCAACCCAAATTTCTAGACCCTCATTTTCCAAATTTTCTCCTTGAGTTCAATTCATAATCCCTCCTTTCAATTGAGGACTATCTTTCTTATTTCTGTATCTCACACCGTAGCTGTGGAAGTCGTTTCTAGCTCAATGCACTGATGAACCGACGCTTTAGAGAAGCTAAGATCATTGTGCAGTGCACTCTGCAGTCAAAGTGCTGTGCTGGTAGATTATTCGTGGAGACACGTTCGAGCCAGGTATTCTTATGCTGGCTGGAGTCATCTCTTCACGTCAATAGCTAGAAGCAAACGCAAGCATTATTCTTTCTGCGAGACGTCTCTCTACCACATGTATAACACCCTCTCTATACAAGCTTAAGTGGCTTCCAGTCTGGATGGGGAGAGTATGTAGATGATTTGTCAACAAATTGGCTGCAAAAGAGAGCCATCCGAGCATCTGTAGAGGACGAGCACCGTAGTATCTTTTAGCGTGTCCATCATTTGGTCTACCGGTGGAAGCCTCTAGCTGATGTTCCACGCATTCGAGGCCCAACAACTGTAACTGTTGTATGGGTCTATCCTCCAGAGGCATGAACTCTTAACGGAGAGCTGATAGCCAAAATCTGGAGCAATCTGATTCAATTATCAGGCACGGTTCCTTCACTATTTGATCATCCTTGTATAGGTGCATGTCCTCCGACGCAGTAGAGAATCTTGCTCCAAACACCACATCAGACATGTGGTACTTGTTTCCTGGTATGACTCATGAAACATAGAGGGTGGTATAATAAATCAACTGATCGACATTCCTTGACATCATGACCTTACATTCCTCTCTTTGTACAATGAGTTCTATGGCATGCGCTCGAATGTCTTCAGCTTTGAAGTCACACAGGGCCAACGCCTGATGGGGGTGATTACTGTGGTAAGGTTGCTCAAATGTGCACACACGCCTTTGATCCAAATGGAGATACTTTACATCAGAAAGGACATATAAAGAATGGACAAGAGGAATGGGGCCAAACACAGCCGGGTGGACAACTACTTGATCAAGAACAGGTTCTTTGAAATAATTCTACACTCTTCCCATAAAATTGACCCATATGTTAGTGCAAGGGAGAAAAGCTATGAGAAAATTGAACCCAAGGAAAAGGGTGAAAGCTAGCCTACTTTCTACTCATACGAAGCAAGAGGTGTGAACTGGTTTGAAGCACCCAAGGAATTAGATGGAAGCAGGAGGATCATCCTGATGTAGTCAGAACTTTATATACGCAGACGTACAAGTCTAAATGAGGTTCTGAACTGCTCCATCCACATGTCCCTCAAAGCTTCACCTCATATTCACTGGCGGCAAAGGTACAGACAAATCGTCATGGTGCAACATTCTGAACAAAGACAAAACAGTATTAGAGCTACCACTTACCTGGCTATTCTCCAATGAATAATCCGGCAAAGAATTCAGTATTCTGTAGCTTGATTTACTCCTCACTTTAGATAGAGGTGCTGATGCTACGTGGATGTCTTCGAAGGAACTATTGAGCTCCTCCAACCACGACGGACCCTGTAAAAAATATTCATGAAACATTTGATCAACCACTCGTGAATATAATTTAGCAGATTAACAAGAAAATAACTTAATAATAATTTGGACAACCTGCTGACGACTTGCAAGAGTAACGAACGCTGGCACTGAAGAGGAAGAAGAGTCTTCAATGTCATACCAAATGTCGGATGGCTATTAATCATCCACATTGCAGGATCAATTTCAAGACGAAAATCGTACCCGATTATGTGAGGCTCTGCTATTCATCCTGCTTAATTGTGATCTCGATGTCTGCTCTGTAACCTGTTTTGTTACCGCTGCTGCACTCGCCTGAGAACATATTGAGTCGTCCTCCACATCTCTTTCTTCTAAAATTGATGTAATTGGTGTCTTGGGAAAGGGACTTGGTGGTAAGGTTGGAGGACTTGAAACGGTAGCATATCGTCTCGCATGCTGCCGCAGGCGAGGGGTAACATGAAACTGCAAAGAATGGAAGAAAGCGGAACTTAAGCATTAAAGCTGAGGCCGTCATTCGATCAGAAATCTACCGAGGCTAAAACCTACATTGTCCAAACGCCGTTGGTTCAAAACCAACGTCTAATTTGAAGAACTTTGAACTACATATCACTAAGAATTATGATGTTAACTTGTTCTACCACCACCCAGTCAATCCAAATCAAGATCTTGCACACATTCTTGAAGGAACAGAATATGCAATCGGATCCCGCTTGAACTTAGTCGCCAACTGAAAAAACCTGTGGCTTGGGTATCCACTGCCACAACTGGTTTATATCCTAATCATAAGTTGGGTAGCATGACGTAGACCGGCAAGCTTGCTTCTCCAAGGAAGTGACACCATGATGCAGCTCATCAGTTTCATAGGGCTGGTAACTAACCTCGGTAAAACAATCCTGGCAGAAATATTCGTTGCAAGTTTGACATAAAATATCTGCCATTTTGCACGTATTGGTCCTTGCTTGGCATACTGCACAGCTGGGTGGAATATTCCGTATTAGACGTTTCAAAGACAGCCCATGTAACGAAGACGATATAAACAGATCAAATACAAGAGTATATATCCATGCTCCTTCAATTGTAAGGCCAAGCAAGTGCGAAGGACGTCTTCAGCTTCACATGCCACCGCAGAAACAGTATGTAAAATTTCTATGTCGATCATACGATTGAAAGAGGTTCAATCATTCAAAAGAATTTGATTGGCCTTCTTTTCTTCATCAGTTGGCCACGAGGCAAACTTTGACAGAGCATAAGTGCATGGAAGTACCTGTCGGATGCAGTTATAATCTGCAAGCTGGGAGGTTCCCTGGATACTTCTGCAGTATGATGAAGTTTGTACGGATTAGAATACGAAAGGGCGAGAAAAAACTCCCTGACTGGCAACATGTTGCACGGGATGAATGTTAAAGAAGTAATCATAACACCAGAACTTTGACTTGGGAGTCTACCGGTTGTGAGGCTGTCACCAAACTCTTCGGCTTCCTGGGTTACCCACTCCATCTGTCATCAGATTTGGTCACGATTGTCAGCTCTAGTTGCTTCGGGCAATTCTGAAAAGTATGAAATTTGTCAAAATACATATTGTTTTGACGTCAATGAATATATGATGCTGTGGAAAATTCATGTCATCACCGTTGCTTCAAAGAATTCCACATCCGCATCGCTGTTTTCACTTTCATCAGTGGCCTTCACGTATTCGTCATCTGTCTCGATGACAAATTCCATTCCTGTGTTTGGATCAATGATAGGAGGTTGCTTGACAACTTCTTTCAGCCTTTTCCTGCCCTCTTCTTCCCGTGCACATATCTGGAAAGAAGTGAAGATTCACCCAAAGGAAGAACCACATAGGTGAGTATGCACAGTCTTCCAGCATGTGCTTTGAAACTGACGTGCGTGAAACGTGAACTGAGGTTCTTCCTGCCTGACTCATGTATTGCAGTTACTTCTTGTACTGAGGCTGGCTTGGTAAACAAAAATTTACACTGCCCTAATTTTTCAACTGGAAGCTTAAACACCTAGCAACCTCACGCACAGACATTTCAATGAACAAAGCTGGGTACACTCTTACTTGAAATTCCAAGTTCAAAAAGTAATGAGGGAAATTTACCTCGTCATAAGTGAGATCATACCATTCATCGATGTAGCAAAAGGCATTTCGATGGGTGAGCAGAATAATCTGACAAAATGACGACAACTGAGCAAGTAAGCTCACGCAACCCTGTTACCCTGGCACCAAGTGATCAAAAGTTTCTACTTCCAGGATATATTTAAAGCCAATGGATTGTTGTTGGAATAAACAACTAGATTGAACACGTTCACCAATCACATATACTTTGCTTTCTTGCATGTATTCAGCGATCAATCTGATGTATTCAGCGGTCTATCAATCCATACGAGAACTCTTACCTGCCGAACCCCATTGAGCATGAGTTTCTCCAGTCGATTCTGTACTCCCCAATAACTACATTCAACAAATGAATAAAATCAATCTTCAATCTACGAATGTTCAGAATGCACCAACACAAGAGCCAATAGCAATCATAATGTATGAAATATGTAAGGATTTGCAAGAATTTCCACCAGCGATACAAACTCTCAGTTTCTAGGCTCGCGATCCACAAAAATCCACCCCACCGTCCATGCAATTGGAGTCATTTTGGAGATAATATTACAAATTTTCACAAAAGAATCTACTTTTATTTGGAATCTATGCACAGAAAAACAAGGATATCATGCATGTCTATTCAGGGTTTACTGAAACACAAACAAGTAATGTGATGAAATGACTCTTCAGGTTTACACTGGACTTGGCTGGTAATTATAGAGACGATTACTTTCGTTTCACCCTAAACTTGTTCTTCATTTAGCATTTGCTTTTATGGAAAGTGCTGATCAGTTTGGAAAATTTGGACACAAGTTTGCTACACAGCACCCTATAAAGTCCAGTTTTGCTAACCAGCCGATTAAGTCTTCGACGCAACAAAACGAGAAACGAGTAACCTACTTGGCCTCCACTCTCACCAGCTTGTATGCACACATCATATTCTCTGCATTATTCTGCCAACCACTTCGAAGTGGTCCTAATCTGCACATATACCATTTAAAAGGTCATAATGTCAGAAAGCTCAATTGTAGTGTTAAAAGACATGCACTATTATTAACTCCTCTAGATCATCAAATTCCTCACAAGCCCATAAGAAGTGGTTCGAACAAAGAGTGTTGCGATTTGCATACCCAGTTTTAGTGGAGCTAAAAAGCTGAGGATCAAGCTTTTCCTGATAATCTCTTTTGGCGACCTGCTCAACGAAATGTGGATTTGTTAGGGTCACTTCGCCTCATTGCAACTAGATAGCACAATGCGCAACTCATATGCCTGTATTTACTTCACAACTTGTCACTCGATGACGAATTTAAACGCGAGTACCTTGTCCATAGCAATGTCCACCATATCGACTTTCCGAATCGCTAATTCGGCTTCACTAAGCCCATGAATGTTCTCCGTTGAACCATCATCATTCTCATGCAGGGTAATCATCTCTATTTTCAGCTGTTATTCAAAGCAAATTCCAATCAGACGCTGAGTCGCTATGAACCGACACAGATAGATCCAGAAAAAGAAACATGAAAGTGAATGCGACTGAGAACTCTCAACAAGTGTGCCCTCAGTGCTGGTCTATCTGATATAGAACGTGTCTTCAAGCATAGCGGGGATTGATGAGGTACGTGACAGATTGATTATACGAGACAAAATGTACTCACAGTAAAACAGAGAAAGCAACAAACCTTGTGAAAGAATGGAACCGTAAGTACAGAACGAATGTGTGGGTATGCCATCCATGTTTTCTCATCGATCACTAGGGCACTTGAAGGGACCAGCTTTGTCACCTGCAACGATTAAGAACCCCATACATCCACACCGTAAGTTCCCAGCATCTTCGCAAAAGGCTCAATATCTGAACACGACCAACACTCATGAACACTACTTCCGTCTTTTGAAATTCTTGAATGAAACAATTATTCTGTCAGTCAAGCGTGAATGTCAACCATGGTGTGGACCAAAATCACTAACTTAAACGGAGCAGTCACACAAATTTATCACCCTGTCCATAAATACGACCTTCTTACATACCCAATCAGGTAGACGGTCTCCAAGCCTATAGAGGCTGTGTGTGAAAATGCCCTCCCCGTACACCTCACTGACGTAAGGTGACGTTGAAACCAGCTGCAAAATCCAGAGAAAAACATATGTTTAGACATTGAATCTGCAATTTGAGCTATAAAGCAAACTTCGCATGACTCAGTCTCTATCGGCGTACGTGAAGTTACAAATCCTTCTCACAAACTATCATTAGGAACGTCCGTCGCTCCTTAGAAAGTTTACACTGAGGGTTAATAGAGGCAGAAAATTTGTAGCTAAACAAAACGGAAAAACTTCTCGGATGAATCATCGGCAGACACTGAGCCTTCTGGTTGATAGACAGAAGAAAGTAATCACTAGTTACATCGTCACATCTTATATGTAGACGTTCTAATTAAGACAGGTCAGAGCTAACAAGGCCATGATGGATTGAAACCTGCCCCCCTTGGCCCTCGGTTGTGTTCGCCTCATTGGTCTTCCAGTTTCCGTATCGTTGGCCTCTCTTGAATTCCTCGACTGCAAGTGAGCCACCACCCTTACGAGTTACTTCGGAGTACTATTAGTACTCTTGCGGCACAAAGTTGCTTCACAAATGCAATTTCGTCCAGACCATCCTTTACGAACTCAGACATGTACGTAGAGCTCGTCTTCTAGAATAATGACCTTCTCTGTCCTACTTGATCCAAGCAAGGTCGGAAATGAACAAGCTGAATTTATGCGTAAAGAGCATCCGATATTACATTCTTCGTTCTGATGCATCCTAGATCCCAATCATCTGCGTTCCGACGTCTTAAATAATGAACGGTCGAACAGTGGGCACATGCGTCGGAGATACCTGTAATTGGCAGCGGTATGCGCATTTCTGTTATGTGAACCATTATGAGAGAGATCAATGATGCTCTGGCGGATGCCACAAAGCGCGGTTGCGATGAAGATGCCAAACGAAGGCAGTGATTTCAGCGTTTCTGTTCAAATCAAGCTGATATCATACGCCTTAACTCAACAGGCGTACTCAGCAATTGTTCCGCACCCTTCGTTTGTTTCTCTAAGGAGTACTATGTGTCCTTGGTACATCACTGTCAAATTAGAAAACATCATCATGCCAATAGCACACTGTGAGCTGCATCAGTGACTCACTTCAGCAGATCACAGCGGCTGTTCACTTTCCGAGAACACCCCTTCAGCTTTCTTTCTATCTCCTCTGATTAACAATGGACGAATTGATTACATCTTGTTGCAATCTGCCGTGAGGTGCCACCTCGTAGCTGATGAGCTAAAAGTGGCTAGCGCTATCACTGCAAATTTCGTCCAGAAGATCACGTCCACACAGGACATTGAAGAAGTTTAATCAAAACCAAATAACGTGGATCACGATTCATACAAGGCCGGATCTGTACTCCATGATCTCGACAAAAATTCAAATCGCCATCCTCAACCTTGTTCCGCTCATCATCGGTTTAGTCGACGGATACGTCCACCTGAATCGACTGCCTTTGAAAGATCTCGGCGGACTTCGACAATGCTCGAAGCAAGGGGAACTCGCAGGTTCCAACTGGGGTTTCGAACGAGACGAATTTTGCTGGAGAGTTCAGCACACGGTCTCCGCAGTAGATACCATTCTCCGGAGTCGAAACAACTGATCCGTTGACTATTCTTCCAAAAATTGCTGCAAAGGACTAGTCCACCAGGTGCGAAGTTGACATACATCCATCCGAATGCGTTCTAGAACGCACTTCTTTGCTTGTGTCGCTGAGGCCTAGTGGAAGGGGTCATGCAGGCAGGGCGCCGATGAAAAAAGGCCTCACCAGCGCTCGAGCTCCACCGAAAGGCTGGCCAAGATGAAAAGGTGTGGAGAAGACTGGGAATAATCGTCTACGGAGGAAGTTATGGTATCAACCGCAACAAGACATGTTAACGAATGAAATTTACAATCTTTGACTGCAACAAACACTCACAATTTACGTAGCGTGGCGCGAGGGGGGTGGGGGAGGGCACGGAGAATTCTACAAATGCCCTGCACGCTGCCGACCGATTCTAGTGTTCCCCCGACGGAAATCAACCTAAACACTGTGCAGCTCTTGGAGATGGAGAGAGATTTCCGAATTTCTGCATTGACGTCAACCGAGTGGTTCGCCGAAAATCCACGAGGAAATTCGCTTCCTGGACAGAAAGCCTGAATTTCCCCAGAGCCGTTCGCGCCTCTCCGCGGAGAAATGGGAGCCAATCCAGACCCACTAAAAGATGGCAGCAGTGAAAAAGAATTGGAAACCATAGTCCATGAGAGGCACACCACGGAGCTGAAATTGGACTCGACTCTCAGACAGAATGACAAGCATGCATGCACGACAGGAAAGCGCTCGAAATCGAGTGGGCGGAGTTGATATTATCAAAATGCATTGCTTGTTTACAGACCATAATCCTCCTATTCAACTTCATCCTGGGGCTCCTTGGGGCTTTCCCCGGCGACACTCCGACTCCGACTGGGGCCCCAACGGCAAAGCCACAAAAGGCAGCAGAGCGAATTCCAGCCCGCGCTGAGGGATAGGAACTCCGAGACATGAAGGGAAAACGCACTCAGACAGACAGACAGACAGACAGACAAACAAACCGCTCGGTGGCCCAGGCCCTCACACCACCACAGACAGCAGATCGCAAATTCGTTCCGCTCTTCTATTTTTACTTTTCAGGTTCTCTCTCTCTCTCTCTCTCTCTCTCTCTCTCGTCCTCCCTCCCTCCCTTCCTGCCTCCCTCTTTCTGGAGCCGCCTGCCTGCCTGCCTGCCTGCCTGCCCAGCGAGCGAGCCAGGCCAAATCCAGGTCAGACCTGCGCTCCAGTCCCCCACGAGCGCTGTGCGTCCGTCCTCCCGAGATTGTGGACTTCACACACGAACACATCCGCCATTCCTCCGCTCTCTCCTCCTCTCATCTCTCTCCGTCTCGGTCTCGGTCTCGGTCTCTCTCGCTCGACGTCCACAAGCAGACGCGAGGGCGGGCGGGCAGGCCCAGCCCATGGGTTGCAGCGCACAAGCTGCTGCTGCTGCTGCCTCCTCCTTCGCTCGAGCTCTACAAGGCGACAGACGACGTGCTACTGTGTACCTTCCATGTACGACGGGCGGGCGACCACTGCCCCCTGAATTCCCGTCTCAGCTTCGGCTCCGCGGCCCGAGGCTCCTCACGTCGCGACCTTCTCCAGCGACGGTTTGCGGGTGGAGCAGGCCTCACAGGAGAATGTACAGATGGCCCAGAAAGCGGTCCTGAGTAGGGCCGGTCGACCCCAGGGCATCATTACGGTCCTGGAGAGATGGAGACGTGATTACGCAATTATTTTCGTAAGGTTGCAGATTTTGGTGGGTCTGGAAAAGTAGAGAGATTGAAACATGTTGAATCGGGTGAGGAAAAGTTGGAAGGAAGACACAAGTATTCGGATGGGAAGAACCAATCCAGTCCCAGGGGCTACCCTCGATAGAGTCGCATAACAACGGACAACATGTTGACCAGGGATCGAGAGAGAGTATGTTTGAGAGAGTCGTCGATTCTTGAAGATTTTTTCATCCCATACACCGATGCAAAAGGCATGCCCATCATAGGGTTTGCAGAGAAAAATTAATATCTTATGTACCGACATAAGTTTAACTACTCTTCAACTAAAATTCCACCTTGAGATTTTATCTGGCTTTATCTACTTCTTTTTCTGTGTGTGGAAAATAAATATTTATGTTTTTGGTTCATTTGTCAATCTTTCTATAACCAAATTTTGCACTTTCAAGCTCGATGGATCCCTTGATTTGCAAGAGTATTGTGATGAGCACGCATTCGGTACTCACTCCATTCATCTTCTTTATCGAAGGATTGGAATGTTCAACAATACCCGTGATATGCTCTTACGCGTTAATTCCAAGACCGAGTGAACGTGACCATGGTAAGTCCCACTTTCCACTGGCAGCAACAGTTGGCTGCCCGACTGCGTCGCTGTGTCTGAAAGAGGAGTCGTGGGCCTTGGTCGCGACGTTCTGGCAGGTCTACCTTCCCACCTCGCAACGAGAACCGATTCAGGGTTGCCTCCTCTGTGTCGTATGCGTTGGCTGCGTGATCGCTGAAGTATCAGGTGGATGAAGGTACTGGAGGCCCCACCCGCAAAGCCGGTACCTCGTAAGCTTTCCATCATCTGAACGCCGAGCGAGTCCGCAAAGGTCTTGCCAGGAGGTTATGTTTGAATCCTAGGTGTCAGATTATCAATGGCCAACACCCCTGGTACAACAAGCGTGCCAGGCGGACTTGCTATGACCGTATGAAGACGGCGCTGAAGGAGGTCCACGGAAGCTCGAACTAATCATTATCGTTGACGTAAGTGCGAGCACCGAGCTCCGGCGTACCACCAGTTGCCGTAGCTGCTCCTGAGACGCATCACACCGTCGATGCCGCACGCATCCACGTCCCGTGTGCACCTCTGAGCTACAATTGCCGCATGGTGATTGCGTCCCTACGTACGCGCCCGCCCCCGCCCTTAAAGGCGCCTGCTTCATTGCAGGTCTATCATGTACTACAGAGCTGCCTCGATCGAGATGCTCACTTCGCTGTGGGAACTCTTTTGCCAGACTGGATCGGGCGGCGACTCATGCCAAATTGCGAGGGTCGCTCAACATAAGAACAGGACGAGATCTCTCGAGGCTGGCTGGACGGTACAGGACAGGCAGTTCTGGAAGGACGGGCCGTCTGTACGAGCTCGATCAGCGATCACAGGATTCCACAGGGAACAAAAGGAGGATGGTGATATTTTGGACAATTTCGTGTGCAAGCAGAACAGAGCATGGGTGCAAATGAGTGGAAACTCTGCCGATCGGTCGATCCAAATGAGGAGTCTACGTAGGCTGCTATATGATATGAAGGTGACCCTATATATCGGACCTTCGTTGAACTTACCGAAGAAGTAGCCTTTGAGGTTCCACGACACTTCCAAAATCTTCCAGAACTGTCACCTCCTTCTAGATTCTCTGTAGTCATGACACCTGGATTCCAATCAGATTATCGAAAACGGAGTAGGTCGATTGAGGCCAGCATGTTGAATCATTCAACATCCTGCAACTGCATGCCGAGACATGTACACCTTTGACAAAATCATGTTCATAACCAGGCGTTCGCAATGATAAGGATCCAGGCACCTTCCCCAGTGATGACACAAAGTCCATTCTCTTTCAGTGCAGGGTTCGGGAGTAGCCCCTTTGGTTCAATTACGATGGGCTCGACATATATCCAGAACCCTCTACAAGTGCAAGAGACCCCCAAAATTTCACCTGCCACTTAAAGTACACAAAGTGCAGTTATCAGTCTTATTACAACTTTGGTTTACAAAGTTCAGCAGATCATGTAGTCTACTTATAGAAGTATATAATCCTACATTGTTGGTGACGTGATTTTCAGTGGGTTGAATGCACATGATTGTTGTTTGAGTGGGCTAGTGACTAAATAGGCATGAGGTCATCATATGCACACCACCACTTTACTGAAAGTGAAGGGAAAGTGGTCGCTTCAAAGTTCAAGAAGAGTGGAACCTTGGAGGAGGTAAAAGTGGACATGCACATTGAAATATTTTACTGCATCACTAAGTGCTCGACATCTCTATTGTAATCGTATAGGATGTAGGCATACTACCCACGGCATGCTACGAAGAGGAGCACCAGGAATGGTCTGACTCTCACGGGCCCACACTCCAGGACAAGATCTTCTGATTGATATTCTACAATCCTACTTGAGTAAACCGGTTGCACTGGGAAAAGTGCACCGGTTTGACTGAAATTTAAAACTTGTGCTCTACACCTCCAATAGGCAGCAAAATGCTTCAAGGCATTGTGTATTGAGTCCAATGATCTTTCAGCCACCGATAAATAGTTTTGAATATAGAGATGATTTGTTAACTGTCATTCAACTGCGTTTTAAAGGACGGGATATGAAGCTCGAGACGGGTCAAAGATCCGCTTGAAAAAGAAGAGATGTTCTACACCCTTTGTATGAATGTGGGTTGGGTTGACCCCTATCATGAAGTAAGCTGGTTGAAAACTCAACCTACTCATCGGACCAACTGTGTAGGTATAGTAGTGACTTCTTCAATGAGTGTTCACAACATTAATTAGCAAAGTTAATATCTTGTTGACGAACCTGGTTAGTGTGCACCTTAAGGGCTTGAAACACTATACAATGGGGGAAAGACGTACTAACTCAATATTCCAAACTTTAGTTGCCAGTTTGTTCCACTTCTTTATATCGAGACTTACCCGCCGGAAGGTACATCATGTTATCAACTCACAACCTGATCAAACTAACCAGAAAGAAACCTGTGACAAAAGATATTATTATTAATTGAGGTAAAAGATCAATAGGTTAAAGTTTGTGGTACGATACCTTCCTTATCAGAATTACGATTTAGTTACAATATATTGGAGGAGATACAATATCTCAATGAATTCACGATTACAACATATACAGTATGAAGAACCTTCCTTAGTTTTCGGGTTACAGTTCCTTAACTTCCAAAATGAGTTTATAACCCAATAAGTGTTAAACCTGTCTTTTCCCTTCTTACTCAATTTTCTTGTGTAACACACTTCTTGCAAAATTTTCCTCGCGATAGAACGATTAGTAGTTCTAATAGTAGAAGCCACTATAGCTCAGAACCTAAGTCGGTAGAAAAAGTCTTGTGCACGTTTCTCAAGAGAAATGAAACATCAACTTGCCATTTGGTGGTGAGACAGGCACACTTTTTTGCACACATCTCAAACATGTACGTAGTTTGTCTACTTACTTTACACTTCGCGGATATCTGCTGAGCCTACCGAATCTTCTTATCACGCACATCATGAGCAGTTGAAACCTGATCAATTATTATTATTTTACATCCGTCTCCTTTGTAATCAAAAGAATACAATACTCTTCTACGCAGTTTAAATGCCTAAGTTTACTCTCTGCCAATCCATCTTTCCAGCCTTTTACCCATGTATCAATCCTGGGACTTCAAACCTCCCGAACTGGGGGAATTCCCAACGCGAAAAGTGCAAGTAAAGACCAAATAAACCTCGCCGCTAATGAGGTTGAATGTTATTCCCAATACTTCAAAATATTGAAGTGTGCCCAAAACGTTGAAATAACATAATTCCAAAACAAGGTAACTGTAGTGAAATTAAATAGTATAGCAAAAAGTGAGACAATCAACGAAGTGAAAATTCTTGTGAAGTTGATTAGCCTTGAGTATAAATCTGCACTCCAAAGGAAAAACGGACGGACATTATCATATTTCTGCATCATTCAGGATACCAGTAAACTCGCAGCACCATTCTTGCCCTGATTCTGGAGAAATGAGCTTATTGCAAAGAAGATATGTTTTTTCATCTCCGGTGTAAATCTCAATTCGTCTTCAAGGAGTTTAAACTGAATGTATTTTCAGCGCAAATTGTGTTCCGGTCATAATTTTGCGTTATTTAATCCAACAATTTGAAGTGAAAAATAACATGAAGACATCAAGTCTTAACTTGCTATATAATACAATAATGTCAAGTTAGAAATTTAACCACCCAAACTGATAAAGGTTTCTTATTAAAATTACGACTTATCAAATCTTATTTTTTCATGATTTAAATTTCAATTATTTTCAAATCTATATATTTCACAGTAATAAATTTGATTATAGTTATTTGATTATCATATGAAATTTAAATAAAGCAAATAACATAAGAATGTTGCAGTTTTAATACAAACAATGAAAATATTACAAAGTACTGTACTGTACAGGACAACATAGACCATACCTAAGATGAGCCTAAACCCTGACGCTGCCTGGGGAGATGACTGGAGAGCCACCGCACCTTTCTTTCGGCAGGCGCATATACTTGGCGGGAATCTCATGTCAACGCCTTTCTCAAAGAGGTACAGTACGTAGAGAATCCGGACTTCGGACGTCTGTCGCACCTCACCCCTTCAACGGAGAACGACAAAATGGCGAAGTCAAACCGGAGTCCGAGCATAGCGAAGAAAATTCCGTACGCTCCAGCCGTCCACCGTCCGGCGCCTGGGCCCTGACAGCTCCGACGAATGGGCGTCGCCGATCGTTACTAAATTTATGGGCAGAGTGTGCTGGACCGGTGCTGGTCGCAAGCCTGGACTCTCCCGTTGTGCACGAGCCTGTGTCCCCAGAAGCCCCGGCGCTCGTTACAGTGTGCGGGTCCGAGGCTTCGAGCTGACAGGTGTGGCAAGCTTCGTGCCCATGGCCTGTTCCTGAGGTTAAATCTGACGGCCCACTACTCGGCTCTGATGGCCCGTGCGCGAATCGGGGCGACGCGGACGGAGGGGGGAGGGCTTGAGGCCTTTTAAGCTGCAGTCGTTCTGTACAGTGCATTACGTAGCGCCCTTGAAGAGAGTCACTGCTTTGTGTATTCGAACTTTCTTTCCCTTGGATTTTTGTTTTCATTTTGTTGGAACGAAGGACGATTACATGCCCACCGTGGAATTCGAAGTTGAACTCTAATTTGGAGGAGAGTTTCTCCCTGTGGGGAACTCCACGTTGGCCAGATGCATCCCTGATTGAAGAAGCAATGGAACAAGATGTTTTCAACTTTTCGTCCATTCTCTTCACCGCTTTAGCAAAACTTGTGTAGAAATTACACATTTGTTGATATCTAGCATTCTGAGATGTATATATATATATATATATATATATCAATAGCATGCAACATACATGTGCTATAAAATTTACATTACTGTGTTGTTGAATTGATTGTGTCCAAATTTTTACAAATAAGAATTTTCTAGTTTCTAAGAAAAATTAATTCTGTACTTTATCTCTAGCATGAATTAAATAGTCTAAAAAATCGTTGTGGAAAATTATTCAAGTTATTTTTTTCAAAATTATTAAAAATTATTCGTTCAAGTTATTTTTAACTTTATATAGAGAGCTTGTTCGTACATATGAAGCTGTGATAAAGATTTTGGTGTTTTATTAACCATTTTTTTAATTGTCCGACTCTTGTCAAAATTTATAGCAATCAGTTCATAATTGATTGCTGGAAATGATACAATCAACTCACATTTTTGCATAAGCACAACTTTGTTAAATAAAATGTTACAACAATCATTGCATGCTATTGTAGAGATTCTTTGTTGATTACAATCAAAATTCACATTTACTTTTCTAACTTTATTTGTCTCTTCAATAAGATAACATTTTTTGGAGAAATTATGAAAAGTACCACTTTAAAAGATTAATTCAACTCTAGATTTTAGACAACATCTCTACAAACCATTCATTAGTTGGATGATCATAAATTTCAAGAAAAATATAGTAATTACATTCTATGATGAATAGAGAAATCGATGATATGTCATATTTGTTAACAACACAAAGCAATATTATAAAGTCCTTGCTTTCAAACACGTAAACCTCGTAACATCCAGGATCATGACAACAATTGCATTATGTCACGTGTGGCGATCCAAAAACCTCTGCAAGCAATGTCAAAATCCATAGAATATATGTGGCAACTCGACTGAATAGATTTCGATAGAGATAGAACCTGTCTAAACTAATAACCTCTATAATCTAATACAAACGTATTAGATTATAGAAGGAGCACGTTATATCTGACCTCCATTAACTAATAACCTCCCTAATACTGACCTTCCGGTCTCAACAGTACTAGTTTAGACAGGTTCTACTCTAAAAGGTTTGAGAACATTCCAAGCACAAACCCCTACAGTGGATGATTTCAATTCTCCTTTTCTATGTCATACCAACAATTGATGAATGAAACAGCACAATAAATGAATTGTGACACATGTGATGATACTCAACCTGTGATGGTTTTAGTTTCATAATTCATTCACAATTGTGGATTTGTAGCTTAGTTAATGATTTTAAATCCAGATACTTTTAAGTAGTGTGCTATATATCTTGTGAAACTGAACAAGAACTAACGACTTGATATGAGGTCCTGTCTATATAGTCACGCAAACTTAATAAACCACAGCAAACGCGAAGAAAAGGTTAAGAACTTGGAAGACTCCAAATTTCCCTCTCGAATGACGTAACCAAAAGTGGGTAATGATGCATATTTTTTCCTGTGATTTGATGCTATTGCTAGTATTGGGACATTTCTCGTGAGATTCCAGGATTTCTTTTAGTTACTAAACAGTACTCCAGGCACATGAATTGTACACTTCGAAAACCTGCAACTGGTGCTTCGTGGATGTCGAACTTGAAATTTATCATATTATCAATTAGCAACTGTTTACATTGTATTACCCACTTAAAAGTTTCAAAGTCTCAGTAGCACTTTTTCCAGTTCCCATTGGCGGGGCATCTTGGGGTCTTGATCTCCAGCAGACTTCTCCACCAATGCAAAGTGAACCCTTCCGTCCCAGGTAGTAAAAGTTCAACAAGTGAACATTGGCTTCACATCTCACGTAAGCAAGGGAGGTTGAATATCTATACTAATTTAAGCTCTACTCTCTAACATTCATAGGTGAACTAGACACTAAGTCTCAACCGCGACTAAATATCGTACATCTACCAGAAATGCCATAATTGTAGTTCTACCAAGGTGACTATTGTTGCGTGCAGTCTATTTGAGACTCCAAAACGTCGGTTTCTAATCGAGAATCTGCAGCTTGAGCAGGTAACCAGATCTCTACATGTGTGCCCCCAGCACCTATGGGTGCATCTACTAGGTACGGCGACCGGATGTTTAACACAGCACCAGACTGTTCCAAAGCTTCTCTTGCAGCTATGAGCTTCAACCCTGCTTCGAAAGATCTCTCATTATTCGTGTTACCCTTACCTATTCGTGTTACCCTTGCAGATCCAAGAGGTCCGAGTACACGTTCTTGCACCTGCATCCGGCGCCCCATTTGCAAACAGTGGTCAGAGAGATGGGCACCAACAGATTGAAACAATTTCTAAATATAAAAGACGTTCTAATTATACAAGAAACACTGAAGTTTATTAATACGACGTTCTTGGTGGTTTCCAGCCCGATTGCAGCGAGTACTTTTCAACTAGCACAAAACTAGCACCTATCCTTACCACAAGGCCCATATCAGGTCCATTATCCTCGATCACAACGAGAACACCACCGCCAGGAGCCCTTGCTGCGTCTGCTCTGATCCATCCGCCTGCGGGTGTGTGCTGTATCGAATACTCCAACAAGTTGCTCAATGCTTGTCGTAATGCGAGCTCCTCGATTGCTGCTATAAGCGGCAGAGTAGTGGAATTGAGCTGCAAAGTTTGGCTTTTCTGCTGGGCTAGACTACTTCCTGCTCTTACCAGCTGATAAAGAACCTCTGAAACGTTGCATTGTCTGCAAGATGTTTCGGGACAAAAGAAGTTAATATTCGAACCACGTCTTACATTGATCGCAGTGACGCTTGACCAAATTCGAGAAGCCTTGGTATTCAAACCAAGGCTTCTCGAGCTTTTCTAAACTTTTCTTATGAAGAAACCTCGCAGAAGGTCAGAAAGACCTTGCTCATAAGCGCAGAGCTGAGATTAACATGAAGATCATCACCAAATTGCTCGTCAAACATCCGGACAAGTTGAAGACAGCTGCGGATATTTGTATCAGGCTAGTGAGTACTTCACGGAGCAACGCCTCATTACGTGGTGTACCTCATTTCATCTTGAGGTGGTGCGGCGAGAGCAAGCGGGGGCATAGGGGACTCCTCATCTCTCACAAACGACGACGGCAACGCAGGTGTAGGCAACGGTCGTTGATTGTTGCTGATATCTTGCAAAGCGCCATCTCTTTCCAAAGAGGTACGTGTACTAAGCGAGGGCCTGGTATCTTCCACTCCCACGTCTCCACTAGGCATGACCCTCTGTTGATTCAGGTCTTTAAGAAAGATGTCATCGTACTGAATAAAATCAGCTCCACTCTGTGTTGACAACAAACAAACTGAACGCGTAAATAACAGCTACTGACAAACGTTGACCAACACAACCATGCATACTGCAACAACAACCTAAGGCAAGTTTCATAAGTGAACAATCTAGGAGGCACTTGATTACATTTAGTTGGCTTGGTCATAAGCTCTCCTGACAGAGTCGTTTACGATGGTATATGAAGACGAGTGTCTTGATCCATCTAATACAAATACATCTAACGAGAAAAAGTGAAAGAGTTCACATCATACATTTGTGAGATATAAAACCTTTTGAATCTGCTGAACAACGTCACTCATACGATCTCCCTGGACAAGTATATCCTCAAGAACATCACGAGAGATCTGCACACAGTAGGGTCTTATTAGGGCTCAAGTGAACCTCCCAAGATTGTTTCCTTTCTTTCAGGCATGTGGATGACTACAAATAAAATCGGAGAAGTCGAAATTCAAGAGAATGTCTAAGCAACAATTCACTACTTACTAGTATACACTTGAGCTGGTACAGTTACAAACACCTTCGTCTACAATTGTGATCAGCTCAAAAGCATGAAACAATTTTCCAAATATAAATATTCATCTGAGTCTTGGATAAGTGGAAACACAGTTTAGCGATAAAAAGTTGGTTGAGCAACCTCGCCTCTCTTTAAGTGTGGTAGGAGCATCTTGCCGAGGGTCCTTACAGCCATCAATGGTCCTCGAACCTTCAGACATAAGCAGTACAAATCGAACAATTGAGGCGAATTTGACGGCAATTCAAGATTCGGTGCAAGACAATTCACAGGCGCATTCTTTCAAGAAACTTATGTTCAAACTTCAATGATTCAGAATAAAAGTTGACAAGAGAGAAGTGCTAAAAACGCACTTGCTCTAGAAGATGATCAATGCGAACACCTTTCTGCCAAGAAGACTGTTGAAGCAGTACAGCTCTCTGCACGTTAAAAGCATTCATATTAGAACTCGTGCGTGTAATTGTTTCCAGCTGCCTTGAGAGTAACAATGATAGGTTTCCGCTAGCTCCTCACACCTCAAAAGTATACGACTTCACGGAGATCAAAGCTAGGACGCTTATCCTAGAACTCTCAGAAACTATTCTCAGATAGCAGCTCTAATAATTCATGACAATTCGGGCTTTCTTAAAGCTCATTGAAAGAGACAAGAAGCGGGACTTTCATATACTGTACGTAAAGACTCCACACACACAGAGCGCAATTAAGCATTTCAGCGAATCTACGAGATGAATTTACCAATTGGTCATGAACCAAGAGCAGAGACATAAAGTGAGGATAATGATGGCAATAAAAAGCAAGAAAGAGGTGAGAGACATTAAAAGCAGAAAAAACATATGAGAAAGAAGGACAAATATTTTCTTTCAGGATCTAAACTCATACTAATTTTACGTTGGTGGCAGATGATTTATCATCTGCCAGCGACGTAAGGCAATGTCCCATTTCCATCTATCTGGATGCAAGGCCTGTTCATCTCCGTCAAGTACAATAAAGTAAGCACTAGGAGGATACATCAATTCCACATTTATGAGGTCCCTCCTACACGTAATGAAGGGCCCGTCCACGTTCAATGACTCTGGTAAAATAACTGGCAAATTTGATGTACCTGATCCATGACGCAGGCCAAGGCCAGTGTTCTAGCGACTTTAGCTGTTTCCATTTGCTGTTCTTTTGAAAACGTTCCCAAAGCTGGATGTTTAAGATCTATATTCCCCTGATTCATTGACACGGAGTCAGTCTCTTCATTTGATTCCTGGTTCTCTGGTTCCACAACTTTTTCCTTGGGAGGCCACGACGGACGCATCGGCTTCAATTTACCGGGTTTAACCGTACGCAAAGAGACCTTTACTACGTGACGCTCTGCAACCAAAAGCCCCACCAAAAACATATCTTTCACCAGCGGAAGGACTAGTGCTCCTAACCCCGGGAGTTCCACAGCCTGCAGCAACCCAAAAAAAAAACTTCAGTTTCTCGCAATGCCAACGACGGGTCTAAACCGGAGCTGCAACACCATTCACGACATTCCAAAGTAGTTGAATCTTCATTAGCACCAAACGAGCTTCCGAAATAGTATAATATAACGACGACATCTGAATTGTCAGAGTTCACGTATTCACACTCTAACACACACACACACACACACACCTCAAGATTCACAAGGGCAGACTCCACGAGGCCTGCTGATCCTTGGCTCTCAGACCTGTCAAAGAGCATCAAGACCTCCTTGTAGGCTTCTGCATTCCGGCTTGCCAGATTTGTTGAAGACCCAGCAGCAAAGAAAAACTCCAACTGACCAGTGGCATAGCTTTCTGCTGTGCGTACATAAACCTGCAGGGTGACCAAACTAAAGTCTATGAGTTGATGATGTGGGCATATCCAGGTTGCAAGCTTAATGGAATTCTGCAGCTTAATAGTTCACCTTTTGACAATAAACTGAAGGATTTGTAACCAATACACGTACAAGCAACCTCATCAACTACAACAGCCTAGGACTCAGGTCGTCCCAAAATAATACAGACCGAAATTGCATCATACCGTTAAATTGGTTTGGGCGCCCACAATCTTCTCACACAGAGAGAGTTGTTCAGCACAGAGAGCTAGAAATTCTTCACTAGGAGCAGATACGAGCCTCTTCGGATCACCAATTTTGGTGACAAAGTCAAAAGGGGCCGAAGAGACAGATGCAGCGGCAGCTGCAATTGCCAGTGCTGACGAAGGTAGTTCTATCTCTTCCGTCTGTTCATCCACCACAGACCTGTACATGGACGTCACCCTAGAAGCGGAGCAAGAAAACCCGTGTTGCTCCGGTCCGGACTGAATGGATGCAAAGCCTACGAAGGGGAGGCAAGAAATTCCGCCGGGGTGTTGATGCTGAGGCTGAACCATAAACGAGAACCGCGGTTTCTTCGCTGAATTCCTCAGCCCGACGGGTGGCAAGCAAGCAGCAACAGCTGCTGCTGCTGCTGCCGCCATGGCTTATCGCTCCTCGATCCTCGCTCCACAACGGCGTGTGCCCTCGTCCCGGGGAAAGTTGGCCAAATTCACGATTATGAACCTTGCGGGGCCATATCCCCCGGCTTGCTCCCCAAGCCACAGAAAGAATCAGTGTCCACTATGCTCTGCTCTGCTGCGCTAAACTACGACAATTCTCCGGTGGGCGGAACTCTGTCGAGCCATTCATTCAATCATTCGTCTCGAGGAGCAGACACCGAATCTATTACGACCTGCGGAGCCCACTGTGGCAGATTCTGTCAACCGTTGTACGCATCGTATGGCAATGGCATTTTCGCCTTCTGGGCCGAGCAATCGTCGTCCAGTTTGCGATTACGGTGCTTGGACACGTTGGCCCACCTCCCCTCGTCCCCGGCACATGCATTCCCGCCGGACAAATATCATTTTGCGTTCCTGAGCTGAGACTCCTCTTGCCCTCGGGGTACCCCACAATTGAATCCGTGTACTTAACCGCAAGCATGCTGATAAGTGCTCTCGGTGCAAGAGTGTGGTGAGATGATTTCCTAACTCTGTCTTCACCGACAAGTATCATATACTATATTTGAATACAGTTTCCTGTACGATTTCGATTTTTGAGAATTAATCTCCAGACAAATTATTCACATGATTGAGTTATATTACTCAACCATTTTATGATCTGAACGCATTTATTTTTCTTTAGCAATTTCTTGCTTTGATTTACTCACTGTATTACGACTGAAATATTGCGTTTTTTAAAATATTAAGTTTATTTCAAAAAGCATATCTTCCACAAGAGCTTTTAGTTACTGGTTTCAGATCTGAGCTAAAACGCCGGGCTGTGTTTTCTCAGAAGATTGATCATTGCACAATATCCATTCAGTTCTTTGCGAGTTTATGGGTCATGGCAAGTCCTTTAGTTTCAAATCATCAGGCGAATAAACTGGATTAAATTCGCTTGGATTTTCACTATGACAAAAATGTCCTATGTCAAATATCCTTATTTGCAATTTACACCACAACGAATAAAGTGGAATATAGATTACTTTCATATCCATGAAATGCTAGATTTTTCACATTTACCAGAGTAACTATGAGATTAATTTGTAATGAGGTCTTAACTTCAGATTTATGCACAAATTGGAGATTGTATTTACATGTTCTGACGTATGATACAAGTTACTTCTAGGGATTAAAACATGCGTCTATTTTTTGATCTGTATACTTTCTCCATGTTTGACCATTGGAATAGAGTGTTATCATCTACCATCATACACAGTAAGAGTTCATGCATTCAGCCTACATCAAGATAATCTAACTATGGAGTTGAAAATTTAATGCATGATCGATATAAAAATAAATGTGATGTGGTCTAAAATAAGACTATTTGTGTATCTCGTAATCATTTTATATTAAACAAATTCAACTTGTATTTATAAGTTAATGTTTAATAATGAAATTCAACTTTGGTTTGATCTATTTATCTATATTTCTCTATATATCTATAAAGTGACGAATATATATTTAATGATGATATTAATTTGGACCTGTAACAATTCTACATCGATAGTATTTTATTAATGGAAGATTAAAGTATAACTATCCCTGATATCATTGAATCACAATGTATACTTTATATGTAATGAATCAAAATGTATGTGAAATTAAAAGTCATATGTTCAATACAGAATTCTTAAAGTCTACAAGGAAGAAAAATATTTCTTTGTTAATCGAAGAGATAATGCAAATAAAAAACTCATCCAAAAAATGCTTTTAAGCTCAATATCTATTGTAATCAACTCTAGTTAGTTACTAGCAGAAATAATATGTTTGAATACTCATATAGAATTGATTTATGACAGTAATCTATAATTGTCTCGTCAACATCAATATGCTTGTAAATAACAGTTAAATGTCTTGAGAACATGTCGACCTATGTGCTTGTTAAATAACAGTTGAATGTGTTAATTGAGAGTTACAATCAATATACTTGTTACATACAAGTTGAATATTTTATTTGAAAATAACATGTAACAATCAATGTGCTTGTTCAATGATATTTGAGAACAAGATATTAATAATCAATGTGTTTTATAGATAAAAATTTAATATGTAAATTTACAGAGAGACACTTTGATAATTAATGTCTTTGTTATGTAATTCTGCCATATTATTGATTATGAATAAAATATATGGTAAAAGCATGCTCGGTAGGATGTTTGGTACGTGTGAGCAAATCCGGCCATGACAAAAGTCAATATGTTTATTGATTGAAACTCACAAACGACCAATAAAATCATAAACAGAAAAATCAATTATCACGTGCAACTTATTCTTAATTCGATGGTCAACGAACATTCAGGGCATCCCCTCGAGCACTATACATCTTCTACAATACATATTTAGTGCTTGAGCATGTTTTGTACATAATTAGATGCTTGGTTGAGTTCACAGCCACCTTCAATTTGATGAACGTGAGAGGTATCAATAGAAGGTTTCATGATGGTGCAACCTTCCTTGGCCCTCGTACTTCAAGAGGTCCACTATTTTATTGCTAGAGAAAATTGTCAAACACAAGGTCCCGAGCATTGTAAGCACTAAACCAGCAAATGAACCGAAACTTCTGGTGTTCTCCAGGCTCTTCGACTGATGTGTTCACTTCCCCATATGAACGGATTTAACAAAGCAACCACCTGTGCTCCAAACCCTAACCTAAAGCAACTAATTATTAGGTCTCCTCGTAAACTCCCCAAGGGTGAGAATAATCGCCAGATGTTTGCGGATTTCTTATTCTATACATTGTACGAAAATAGGGACTCGATATGGATTGAGGTTGATGTCCAGTTCGAAGCGTACTGTTTTAAATCTTGAAACAAGAGTAAATCCGTTCTTGCGGATCTCAAAAAGGACGAGCTTTGATTTAATTGGTCTTCAATTCAGAGCTTGATGTATCGACGTTTATCGATATATACGCGGACAAAATTTACACAGAAACTTTTAGTATCTATCACTTATCTTTATCAAGCAAGTAAGCAGTGAGGCTATCTATAGTCACACATGGCGAGAACGAATTGGATAAGCTCCAGAAGTGCTTCTAATACTATATAATGACGCTAGGATGTAAGGAATAGCACGATGCAGAATAACTCGTGGACTAAAAATCACTCGGAATTGCCATCCGAATAAAACCTTAATCCTATATGGCTGTCTTGTAGAAGGTTTTATTTTGGGGCTAGGGGGAATGGGAGAGGTCGGGGAGGCTCCGCAATATGCTGAGTAAATACGGCTGAAGTGACAACTCAAAAGATTAGAGAGTCTGAACCTCAGGCGCAACTGAGACTAACCTTGAATATTATTCCTCAAGGCAAATAAGGCTACCTGAAGGCTTCCTTGTGTGAAATAGTATTAAACCTAAATATATGCCGTATTATCCTGCGGTCGTCCACTGGACTGTACTGTGGAGCTTTTGGCAGCCAGGTAGTTAACCCACAATTGATCTCCGGTTTTATCCCATGTTTGAACTCTTGATCCAATATGTGAAATAATGTGAAGGATCTTTATCAAGACTTTTTTCTCAACATAACTTTTCATAGTCATCAGAATTACATAAATGTGCATCACAATCTAACTAGTATTGAACTTCTTTTACTCACTGTGCTTGTTGATCATAAAGATGGGATTGGTCTTACAAGGTAGATTGAAAAATGTATCAAAGTTACGCATTTCATAAGTAAAGTATTAAGTAGAATGGATAATATATTTGTCCTATAAATCAACTTGTGATCACATGTTAAAACTTTAGCCATACTCCCTTTGATTGTTCAAAGATTTATCTACTTGATGGTACCCCATTGGAACCTACAATGTTCGATGGTATCCATCAAGATTTGTTTTACCCAATCGAACCCCACACACGACACACCGACGTGAACTTCTAAAATATTTTATTATACTCTAAAGCACACACCTTGCAAATCACATAACAATCTAAAATATTTTACTATACACTAAAGCACACAGCTTGCAAATCACATAACAATGAACTCTGAGAGATATTGTCACAAGTGCAAAGTGTCGGAAATTGACTCAGTAATCAACATCAAAATTTCAGAGGGAGGGAAGCGGAGGACTTGTGAGTACGAGTGTCAGGTAATTTTACAAATTTTGATGCAACGGGGAAGTCTTGGATGAATAATGTTCCGGGTCAGTTCTATTGAGTGGAGATTTGAATGATTCAATGATGGACAACTAGAATGGTCTAGTTTTCACAGTTTCAGTGTCTTGCAACGTCTGTTGATACTAGAATATGCATGACGTGTACCGTCGGTGGTTCATATCAGGTAAAACTAAACTTGATGGATCCCATCAAGCAATATAGGTTCCGAGGGGTACCATCAACTCAATAACTCCTGTTCAAATGGATGTGTATCATGATGTTGTTAATAACGTTAAAACTCAGAACCGTCACACCAACACCAGAGTCACACTAACACCAGATACACGAAGCAAAATGTGGTTCACCATCAAGGGCTACGTCCACGGGGAGAAAAGCACTAGAAAGTTTAATGCTTGAAGTGATCATATTCTGATTACCCTCAAGGTAGTCAACTACTCTAAGCTATAAACAGTTACATATGTTATTAATTTTAGTTAACTAACCTCAGTTAACTCTTTAATTAGAGTGAACTTCAACAATTGTATCTTAATAGAAATAATTAAATTTTTTTATGAGAATATATAATCTATATTTTATTTATAATGAAATATATAAGAATTTTAGATGATGATTTGAATGTCTCGGTCGCATTTATACTTAAATAATAAGTGATCTCATCGTTATATCTATTAGGAATTAATTTAAGTTTTGGTTAACTCTTGTAGGCTTAAGCCGTTACAACTCGATAAGAGTGTTGATTATAGCCGTACGTAATTTACATTTTCAATAAATCAGTTTGTGTTTCAATGTAAGTAGACCAAACAAAATGAACCAAGTATAGATGGTCAGATGTTTGCTTTCATGATTTTCGAAATCATAGAGATGCAAAATAAATTTGTAGTATGGTGATGATATTAGCTAGTTATGTATATATATTTGTGGAAAATCTATTTGACAACCATTTAACAAAGCTCTAGTGTTTTTATCATATGCTTTAAAAATCTGTTTCCAAATGTACCACACATGCAAAAAATGTAGACTCCCTACTCAAAATGTGGAAATGGAATCTACCAAATATCAAAACTCCAAAAAATTCATAATTTAATATTTTTAATTCCATACTTATTTTACTTCTCATGAATAATAAAAAAAGTCTAAAATTAGAACTAATCTGCTCCTTCTATTTGAAAAAAGTCACTGAAATATATGGAAATGAAAACTTCACTAAAATTCTACTATCTGGTTTTCATTAATTTTCAAATTATTCAACCACTGAACCAGCAGTATGATATAGTTATCTGATTACTAACACAAACCTTATGCCTTCCAAGAGTTCACCAAAGCACTCATTTACTCTGGTGTACTTCCAAAGCTTAATCTCAAACTTCGAGCGAGGGAGGGAGGGAAGGTTTGGCTTTAGGAGTCTTCACGTGCATTGTCATAGCGCAGTTGTTATTTGTTACTCGTGCAAGTGTATCCAGAACCGTATTCGTGTATCGGATAAATACCTTCATAAACGTTAATTCCAATTATCGGCTCAAAGAGAATGTCGAAATTCTTATCATGGTCACAGCAAGATTAGCCGCCAGCATGAATACCGAAGTCCAACACGGGTACTAGTACCCGTCCATCAACGCCTGTTCGGTGCGCTGGTCGAGGGTTTAACGGGTAGGACTTGGCAGCCCGACGAACTCTGCATTTTCCGGAAGGGTGATATCGTGAACCAAAGCCGGCGCTGGCGTCGTAGTTCTGCAAGTCCTCAGTGATCGATTCAGAGGAATAATCGCCGTGGTAGGGTACTCCTTGTCTTGTCTCGACCTTGGGGGGACTCCGGACGCTACATACCTACATCAATATCACCTGACCAGTAACTACGCACTTAGTCAGGCGCTTAATCGCTGCCACCTCGATAAGCAGTGAGTTAGCAAGGAGAGTTGGGATTCCGAACAAAAGTTGGGATTAGCATTATAGTACTGAGTGGTTCAACGAAATCCTAGCTTAATCTACGAGATTGATCGGGCCGTATTGTAGTATTTGCAGGAAGATTCTGTGCAGAAATTATACCAGGTTGCTGTAAATTGAACTTGGATTCTGTTTTCTGAGTACGGTTGAATTCGATGGTTTTGACGAAGTCCCGAAACCCTAAGCATGAGGGGTAGTCTGGGGCATACTTGGAGCTTACGCTAGTGGAGTTCAAAAGATCCTTCAAGGGAGGGCGAACACAGAGGGAGGAGCCGTCCACAGGCGGACGGAGATTTGAAGGTGGGGGCGCAGTGGAAGGAGGCACGGGAAAATGGCCGATGGAGGGAGGAAGGAATGTTGGTATGCAATTCTTGGAGTTAGCCAGACTGCTACAGCGGAAGAAATTCGGACTGCTTACAGGAAGGAAGCGCTGAAATGGCATCCGGACAAGATTCAGCAGAGTGGAGCCTCGCCGCAACAATGCCAAGAGGCCACCGCCCGATTTCAGAGTATCAACCAAGCGAATGAAGTTCTTGGTGATCCCACGGAGCGTGCATGGTATGATAAACACCGAAATGAAATTCTTAGTTCTGGAACAGCTTCTAAGGATTTTGAATTCAGTGTGTGGTCGTTCTTTTCTCCATCTATATTCTCCGGATTTGGCGAGACTGGGAAAGGATTTTTCAAAGTGTATGGAGATGTATTTAAGAAGATTCACAAAAAGGAGCAGGCATTTGCCAAGGCCTACGGGATGGGACCTATTGGTGAGTCACCAAGCATTGGCAGCCTTCATACCGATTACTCGGAGGTGGATGCATTTTATAAATTCTGGCTGGGATTCGCGACTGTCAAAGATTTTGCCTGGTGCGATGAGTATAGAATCTCCGATGCGCGGAATAGAAAGGAGAGGCGTTTGATGGAGGAAGAAAATGCAAAGATCCGGAAACGGGAGCGACGTGATTTTAATGATGCTGTCCGGCAATTGGCTACTTTTGTTAAGAAAAGAGACAGGAGAGTTTTGGACAAGCAGTTGGAATTGCAGATGAAGCAAGTTCAGAAGGAAAAGGAGTTGAAGGAGAGACGGCAACGATTGCAGGAGGAGAAGTTGGCCAAGGCTCGAGCATACAAGGAGCAGGATTGGGCGAAGCTGGATGATGGGATCGAGGAAGAGGATATCAATGAAGATGAGGGCAGCTACCATTGGAAGAATAACATCAAAAGAAAGGACTCAAAGACTGGTGATGGGGATAAAGAGGACCCCGATGAGTTTTACTGCATAGTCTGCAGCAAGCGGTTCAGGTCGGAAAAGCAGTGGACTAATCACGAGAAGTCTAAGAAGCATATAGATAGAGCAGCTGCATTGAAACAATCCTTTTTAGAAGAAGACGAGGAGGCAGATTCTTTAGTGAAGAACCTGGAGACAGAGAAGGGTGAGGAGCAGGAGGCGTCCAGAGGTCATTCTGTAGATACTCAGGATTTCGATGAGGTGAATGTTCATGAGTATGGTCGCGCCAATGGATCTGAGCGAGATGATGAATATTTGAGAAGCAACGATGTGCCCAACGAGGATCCTTCCTTCAAAGCGTCGGCATCAAGTTTGGATAAAGAAGCTGTGGACATGAACAAGGCCGAAGACGATGATGATGACGACGACGACGATGAAGCCAGCATTCTTGCTGCTATGATGAATTCGCACAGAAGTAGGCAGGCAGCTGCTCCTGCGGAAGTTGAGTCTGTCGAAGATGAAGAAAATGACGACATTGTATGCAATCCTAAAGTAGAAAGTCCGCCAATTGACGCAGCTGAAGACTCTGACGACATAGAGGATGAGGATGACGAGGATAGCATACTTGCAGCCATGTTGAACTCACACAGGAGCAGAAGGGCAGTTTCTCCTCTGAAATTCGGGGACACAGCGGAAAGGACTATGGAGGATGATGAGACTCAACGAAAGGTTGAAGACTCGGTATCATCAGTTATTACTCATGACGAGAATTTGAGTGCCCCCTTTGATGACGAAGAGAAGGTTTTAGAGTCGATGTTGGAGTCTCGACGGTGTCAGGATTCTGTGGGGATTGAAGGGAAAGCAGAACCCTTAGAAGAGACATGTGTTTCTTCCATGGGAGACGACATTGGGAGCGAAGAAGAGACTATGACTAACATGAACGCTGGAAAGTCCAAGCTCAGGAGGAGATCGAAGCAGGAGAGACAACACCTGGCTGCTCAAGAGAGACACGACGATATTTTGAAAGAATTGTCCTCCAGTTACGACAGTAGGAACGCCTTCGGGGACAACGTTGGTAATGGTAACTCGATTCATGTTGAGAGTGAGACCACTTCTCATCGAGAAGAACCTGAGGACTTGACGTCTTCCAGTTCAGTTGCAGGGAAGAAGTCAAAGCCGTCTCAAAGGCATAAGCAGGTGAAGCAAGATGTTCCCGTCAAAGGTGGAGCCTCAGATGCCAAGTTGAAGATCGAAGTCCAACAAAGTGAATCTTCGAAGAAGGGAATCAGAGCAAGGGGCAAAAAGGGGAAGGTAAGACAAAGCATATGCACTAACCCACTCAATGATGGATGTAATTCTTTCAGGTTGTGAAGCCCTTGTTTTAAAATGGTAATTTCCTGGACATGAAAGACTTCCAATGCAAAATTAAGCGCTAGCTTCATATAATCATAGAGAACCGCGATGATAATTATTTGCAACTTACACACATGCAGGCAGCACCGAAGGCGCCACCTTCCAATACTTGTGATACATGTGGGGAAGACTTCGAGTCAAGGTTAGTTGTACTTCATTGAACAGTAGACGTATTATTTTTTTTTGTTTTACTTTTGTTCTTGGTCAGTTTGGTGATTTACAGCGTATATCGGAATGGAGTATGTCTCCAGTTTCAGCTCCCTAAGTCCAGTAAGGACATCCTCCTGCGGTTTGCGACTTCAGAACAAGAAGAAGAATAGTAGTTTTGCTTTTATACACGCTGATTTGGATGCTGAAGGAGTATCATAACTGTCGTGGTACTTATTTTCTTGCAGGAATCAGTTATTTCGACATATTACTGTGACTAATCACTCATCTGTGAAATCCAAATGACTGCATCCAGTGGTATGCAGTCCTTTATAAGATCCCTATATATAGTTATCCAATTTTGCCTTATTTATTTATCAATGAGTTGCTAGAGAAGGGAATGTTGGTCCATCTCGCCCTTTAGACGTAGTGAAACTTAATAGCTGTAGTTCTAGGTCGTTTATCACTTTTTATGTGCAGTTACGTCTGATACAGCTATTGACTACTGAGAAAAAGCGAAGGCATCAACATGAGGATGCCAGTTTTGTATCCGGATGATAGTGTAACGTCATGACTTTGAAAAGTTTGCGTTTGGAGGTTGGTGTGATTGATGTAAGTATCACTTGTGAAGAGATATGATGAATACATGTACATTGCCACGAATTTCGGGCATCAGATGGTCAGCTGGGAAAGAATGTATATGATGTCTTATCGAGTGTATTACATGTATGTCAGTCGATTTTGGGAGTTGTATCCATAAGATTTCTACTTCGTGGGTATGTAATTTTTAGAAACTTAGAAAGTAGCAGAGGTCGCGAACTCAGTAGTGAGTTAGTATGCTGAATGTTTTACAAAGCTGGGAAGATTTGAAGGGAAGTTTTTGCATTTTCATCCGGCCTGCATCACCATTTTCATTGGAGAACGATATTGCAAATTACTGAATGTTAAGTTGGTTTCAGAGAAGGTGAGAAAACGGGTTTTGTCTTCTCCTATATTCTCAGTATTCGATGGGTGTTTTCTATATGTCTGTTTCATGATTACTTCTAGCTTTAGCAAGAATCGGAAGAAGGTGTGGATGCATCACATCTACGCAAAGTCGAAAAAGACGGCATATCACGGCGTCTTTTTCGACTAATAACACGAAGATGACCGGAGAAAAGGCTTATTGTTACACAATAATGTGATAACTCTTCTTGTTTTAGTGCTGATAACAGTAATTTATTTTCCAGCATTCTCTTTGCCATCAACTTGTCAAAGTGGCAGTTTTCATTACTTTACTCAACTAGGGCAAACGTACCAGAGTTTCTCAATCTCCACAAACCTTAGAAACGTACTGAAGTACCAAGGAACTAGTTTTGGATGTTGTGCGGGCCGAAAAACCAGCAAAGCCGTGTAGATTAAGTTTGCGATCTTCAACAATATGTAACAGTCACGCGCATGATGCTTAGGCTCTGCACATTTATAATGCACCGAGACTTTTCATCCTAAAATAATGCAAAGTAGTGGTACAAATCAATCTCGATCGAATTTTATAGTTAGTGACCTAAATTCTTCGCATTTATTTTAGATTGTTCATTACCCTGAACAGCATAATGACATTTGAGACCAATTCGCATTAATGAAGTATTCACTCATGCCTGTGAAAGACCATCAGGTCCAATAGGCAAGACAGAGTAGTCTATGAAGTTATACATTTATATTGCGGAGAGTACAGAGTAAATACGAGTTCTCGTCTTCCAGTTGCATTTGATCAGTTTCACCGCAAGTATACATTTACAAGTGTATTTATCCCTGGAATCAAACTTATTGGAGCGTTTCAAGACAGCTTTGTACTACCTAGAATCATCCCGTTCTTTGCGGGAGGGATTATCTTAAAAGAACCCGATAAATGTGTTTGAATAGTGTTTCTTGAAATCCGTAGTGTTCGATTTTGATAATTAGAGTCTTTCTTTTCAACACGATAGCTGTAACTTTGTTTGATCCCATACATATGGCCAAATTAAAGTTTTATGGTCCACAGGAAAATATTCTCCCGCTTGTAATATGAAGTTTTGTTCTTTTGTATAAGTTTTTCGTGTCTAAATATCAAATTTGCCACGGGTTTCCACGATGACTCTAAATATCACATCTCCCATCAGAGTTTCTCACAGTCTTTATTCGAAAACCCTCCATCTAGTTGTAAGCATTTTGCAACTAGACTAGCGGTTTCCAGTTTATGCAATGTATTATGTGGAAATAACAAATCACGTCTGATTTGTCCCCAGGTTGCTAAAGAAAACGGGGAAATGCTTACGTGTCAAGTTCTTGAATCCTGTCAAGTAACAGTTGCGCATGTGCTACTGCTAGAGAACGTGTTCGAATTGGACAACTCAGATTTACTTGCGCAAGTGTGATGATTATCCCGAGGGTCTAGCAGTTCGCCATTCGTGTTTGTGAATGAAAGACTAAAAGATATAAGAGATCATTAAAAATGTATATCTCTTTTTCTTGAAATTCGCGCACAACCGTTAGAAGCTTGTCAAACGTTACGAGGGAGATTTTCCTAAACATATAGTCGTAGCCGAGCGTAATCTAATACTAGATTGTAATCTAGATTATACGAAGGGTAATCGCGACCATCGATTTCAACCCGTGGTTACTATCTGCCGAAAACGTCTTTGGCCAATTTAGCACCACCTTCTTGTTGAGCTACGTTTGATGACAAAGCATTCGAAGGAGGGACGTTGCTCAAACAACCGGCAAATAACTTAACGAGCATCTGCGGTTGACAAGAAGATCGACGTTGTAACTAGAATGCAGTAAAACTTCACTGCGACTTCAAAGATGTAAATTCAAAGAGGGCCATGGTTACGGTTATAGTACACGTCCATGAGAATAAATTTCAACGTTTGTGGTCAAATACCGCTGGCTGGTTGCAAGCGTTACCGTTGGCTAAGCGTTGGCTAAGCGCCCGTTCCAAACTTTGAAAGCTGTATCTCTTCAGCCAAACTACAACAGAGAAGGAAGAGCTGGACATCTCACTTTTGTGGAGCAAAGATGTACGTGCTTGAATGATTGGTGTAATCAAGCCTTGGAGAGGAGTTTGTCGATGTCACTAATGTTGATGAAGTTGACTGGGTCCAAGGTTGATGCAAATCTCTCATTGAATTCTCAGTATTGAAGTACGCACTTCGTCCGCGTTGTCATTGGAAGTAGATAGAGTTGATATGGTACAAGGATGATCCAAGTCTCGCCTTGAACTTTCCGTGAAGAAGCACTTAGTTAGAACAGGTTTGAATCTGAGGAAATCAGGTTGTGTTTCTTTGTTATGACTAGTCTTTGGAAAGAGGTTTATATCTGACCAGCAATTGAGTTGTTTATAATCGGGAATTGCACATTTTTTGTCTCAAAGTGGTTGCAAGATTTTAAAGTTTTACCGCTTTTCTCATTCAGATTTCCATAGTAAATTGAAATAGTAAAGTACAGCGTTCCCAGTAGAGACAGCTTCCATCAGGAAGAAAGGTTGTTCTTCATTGTATCTATGTTCTCTGACTTGTGTAGCAGTTGTCCTTGCAGTTTACAGGAAAACCTTTCTGATGTTCCTCAGTCTTGGTTGCAAAGAACAAGGTGTCCACTCTGTTTCAGGTGTACAAGAAACGGTTAATTCAGCTCTTGGATTTGGAGAAACTATTGACAGCGGGCTTAGTTGAAAGGGAGGCACAACATGAAGTCGAAGAATAAGAACATCCCATTCGCTAGTGCAGAAAACCTTCTCAATCCTTTGTTGGCTTGCCATGCAGTATGTTCTTTACCTCCACAGACATTCAAATCTGTGTGGTTAGCATGTTCTGCTACTAAAAGCACAGTATTATCTTTGTTCATTTATACTATATGGCTAAACTTAGTTACAACAAGTTAGTGCATGTGCAGCAGTAGGCATGACATAGTAAGCTTACAACGATATCGTATTCGCTCTTGTCTAAGGAAGAGAGAGAAGAAATTACGTAACCTCGACATTATTTCTGTTTTTATTTGTTCATCTTTATATAATATTTGATTGTAACTTGAGGTTATTCTTGCAGTTGATCCAAGATGCTCTTCATCGGTGCAAAGAGTCGCAAGTTGCAACTCGCATCACCGTCACTCTTACAAAATTCGCAATGACAGATAGAGATGACCATGTATGTCGAATTTCAGGTATAAATCCGTGTCTGCAAATGGATGAAATCTTGGGAGATGAGACAACTCCTTGAAACACTTTTCACAGATTTGATTGAAGTTACAATGGAAAACGGAGATGCATGTGATAAGTAAATTTGAGATTTCGTTGTAGTTGTTATTTTGCATTTTCTAGCCTTTATTGTGGCTCGGCTGAACAATATATTTGTTTGTTTGGTGTGTGGTACGCTCGTAGTTGCTGATACAGGGTGTGGAGTGAGTAGAGATATGTTTGGAGATTTTTTTCCATATAAAGCTCGAGGAATTACTGCAGAGTTTGAGTCTACTAATGTAATTTGGGGTAAGAGTTGCCAATGTAGAAAAGGAATGGAATGTGAAAGTGCTATTTGTATCTTTCTTCTACTATTTTCATCGGAAAGCACAAGCAGGAAATAACAGAGGTAATTGTTTCTGATAAATTTTTTTACATATTCTGATGGTAATTCGATTTTTGCAGATGGGGTTCTATACATCACCACGACATGTGAGATTCACCATTTTTGGCGTTCTGAAGATCAATGATTGATTTAAATTTTTTTACAAACCTATGTCATGAACATTTGTTTCTTGTGTACTTGTTCAATCAAGAAAATTTTAAAATAATATCTTTCTATTTTATTTTCTAAGTTTGTCTTTCAAATAGCAAAGAATGTCACTAAAAATTGAATATTTGAAAATAATATCACTAGTTGTGGGTCATGCGTAGGTCTTGATGAGCAGATCATTCGAAATTATGAAATAAAGATAGGTGTCCATGATTTCAAACATAAAATTGTTCAAAGCAATGAACAAAGCAAACATACCTCCTTCAGGTAACTGAATTACTTTTGTGCAATGCTTGTGTCAAACTTTCTATTGAAATCAAAGATACATGTTGTTTTCATCATGAGTTAATACATGTATATAATATATATAGAATTTTTGAAATCCGCAAAACTACAGGGGTACAGAGATTTCGATATTGTTGGAAGGAAATCCGATCAATCTTCAGAAGTACGTTCAAGATTTGTGTGAGAAGGTATTCATTTGCTTTGCAAGAATAGCGCAATAGTTCCAGTCAAATTTCCAGATTTACCCGATCTTAATTTTTTTTAAAAAAAGTATTCAAGAGATTCTAGAATTTTTATGTTCTATACTGAATTGGATGTGATATTTTAGTTCGTAAACTTATCTCTATAGAGGATAAAGTTTGAAGTGTATGAACATAAAACATAGTAAAATTATTATTAACCACTAACTTCTATTTTCCTACTGGAATGCACATATTTTACAGATGACGATACTGAATTTGCAGGTAAGAAAAGGGATTACAGATTCATAGAGATCTTGGATCTATTAAAACTAGTCAAATTTTTGATCGCTTGTGAGGGATGATTAGAAATTTGTTCGACGAATAAAGTCTATGCATTAATTGAAGATGTATATTTTTCTTGGTAATTGTGCACTAAGTTACACTTTATGGTTCCAGTATATCATAAGACACCAAGGGCATTGTTCGTATGAAAGATCTATAACATACTAATGTAATCTTGGAGCAGGATGTGTTTGTGGAATTCTGCGAAGAAACACTTAATCCACATGACAAGCGCCAAACAAATTGCTTGTCTTTATGCGATGGAGGGAGAAAAGTTGATGAATTTTCTTCAACTTTGGATCTGATGTGTCTTGGATTGGAAGATTACACTTTCAAGTACATCTACAAGTCCATACGAAGATCCGGACACCTGAATGAACTGATGTAAGTGTGGGATATTGTCCAACAGGCGACAGCAAGTAATATGCAAGGATGTTGTACCAGTGGATGAGCCATATATACATTGATAGTAAAGTACCAAGATAATTATAGCAAAAACTATGGGGAGACCCAATCAAGCCGTGCATGGATGCACTCAGAGCAAGGGGAGATGCAATTGTACGCAAAATAAAAATAAAAATGATTCTTTACATGTGGCAGCTTGTGGCTCTGTACCATGATTCTAACTCTAGGAGTCATGATATTTCAGGCGAGACATCAGGTTTGGCAAAGCCGAAACTATCTCACAGGCAGGATCAAACAAAAGAGAGTGGACATTGCAAGCTTGTTTGATTTTGATTGTCAAAGAAATTCAAGGCAAAGAGATGATGAACTCCGAAGCTGAGCGTCCCTTGCAGACACAGGTGAATTTTTTTTCTCAATTGGTGAAGTTGGAAGATGACTCAATTCGTGAACAGGACATTGTATGGTTTTACTAGAGACTACTGTTTGGACTCCTCACATCATGGATTGGTTGTCCGTACTAAGCTGCTCATGCCATTGCTTTGCATTGACTCTCCATTTTTTTGGACTTTGGTTTTGCAATACAGATAACTTTTTTTGATAATCATTACTTACATTCGCAAATCCCAAAGTCTGCGCTCCGAGCTCTAAGTAGAGTGGATTGGTCGAAGATTGGACTTCGGATCAAGAAGAGATCTATCCAATTCTGCAACCAAGCTCCCTCTGGTGTCATTGTGTGGGATCAATACCCGAAGGATATTGAGCGCTTGGACTTGGTGCTACATAGAGTTGGAAGATATATCCTTATCAGCAATGTTATTTTACAGATCTTTCCTGGATTGAGCATGATCTACAATATACATTATTTCACAGAAGTGTATTTACTTTCATGTTGTCGTAGCCTTCAATGAAGTCACTCTCCTTAACAGGCATCACCCTCAAGTCAGACACTCTATAGAGGAGAGTATACGGTGACCAAGAAGACCATCGAAGCTGCCTTGAACGACTTGAAGTATAACTGCCCTCAAATCTTGTCTACACCACATGAAAGTCGTGTAAGTTCCTTGCCTGACGACCTTGTAGAAGGTACTTTGAAGCTTTTATGTGAACGATCACAATGATATACAAAGATGTATATATCTATGCTATTGTTCTAAGCCTCTGCAAAATTGAAGGATGTCCAGTGAAACTTGGCTTGTATGCAGGTGCAGACTAGCATTCCTGATCTGGCCGCTTGCATTTCAGGTATCATCAAAAGTTCCGAAAAAGAAGACTTTAAGGAAGATTGTGCAAGCATCCTCAACCTGCCTTCGGGCGAATTGGGTGATATGAGACAGGCCATTGAGGCTAAGCTGTTGGCAGCATTTAACAGGCAAATACATCCTAGTCAGACTGAGAAGGCATCCAGCATACTCAAATTCGAAGACATCCAAAACTTGCTGGATCATACACCAGAGATGGGAGGAGATGACTTCAATTCAGAATGCAGCAAAGTATGGAACTATTTATAATCGAGTCAATCCTAACTGTGCGGCTAGATTAAGCACCTTTGTTGCTCATCCAGCTGGTCATAAACCCGGGAGTCAGAATGAAATATTCTCTGCAAAATAGGATAGAAGATTTGATTGTGCTCCTTTATTCGGTCCATCCACAACAGTATGAACTTTAGGCTGTGCTTATTTGTGTAGCTCGAAGAATTCGTAGATTGATACGCACACCCTAAGATAGTCTGTCCACAAAGAGAGTAGTGCCCTATGATGGAGAATTCTGTAAATAAGTTGAACTACATATGATTGTGCAAAGCAAGTAAAAGGCCGAATTGAGCAGAGCGAACATCTCAAAGTCACAGCCTAAGCATATCCCTCGTAGTGAGGAACATATTGCACAATTGACAAGATTGTTGAAGTGAATGTGATTTCTGTGCTACATGACTACGACCTAAAATGATCGATCCTGGTAACCCTCTAATCTATAAGCATCTTTCCTGGACTGCTTCCCATTTAATGTACTACAATGGCACTAGGTTTCTTGATGTTGACAGAACTCCAGATTGTCAATAATTCAGAACGAAGTCTATTATCTGCTTGGTTTGCACATCAATTGGACATGTTGGAGAACAGTAAAATGAGAACAACCCCAGCAAGAGCAGCACTTGTTGTATAAACATCCACTAACGAGGAGTGCAGAGGGTAACCCGTTGGTATGAACCAGTGGAGCGTCTGTGACGGCAGAAATGTGACCGGCTGGATGCAGGTCCTCTCAGAATGTTGTGTCGATGATACATCTGTTTTTCTACAATTAACCATCACTTGGGGCATGGTGAGGTTCAATTGAAAGTAAGTATCTGCACTTGAAGGCGGGTACCGAGCATGCAATGGCAAAGCAACAGTCGACTGAAGTTGTCGTCGTTCGACGCCAACTACCTCCACGAAGGTCTGATGTATCACCACGATCGACTGACTGGAGGATCTCGCAGGCCGCTCAAGGTCCACATCCCCAAAGATCAGAACATTCTTAAAGGACTTCTGCTGCTTTAATCGCTGGAGCTGAAAAGGATCCGCGAACACCCCATTCGAAAGCTTCTCAATTAAAATCAGATCACAATCCTCTGCCGACTGTGAACTTTGATCCGCATCGTATTCAACTGTGATGTCTGTATGAAGTTCACGATGAGCCCCGTTGCCTATTAAGTTTCTCTGCAAGGATACGACTGTCGCCCTAGGGCCGATGGTGACGAGATTCTCTGCTGCTGCTGGCCTTGCTAGAGGCGAAAACAGAAGATCCTCCACCTGAATCTCGTTGATAGCAACCTTCTCCTTGTCGTTCACAATGTCGCTTAGCCTGCACAAATCCGTTCCCTGGAGCTTACTCGAGAGCCGATCATCGTTCGTCCACCCACTAATTCGTGTCGCGAAGGAGATGAAAAGCACTAAAACTGTGCAGATGTTTCTCATGGCGGTCTACACTACACTGAAGGCACACATCCACTGAACGAACCTGCACCTGAATAAAAGGTTTCCTTCCACGTTTCACAAAATCACCGGAATAGCAGTCAACATACAAAACCCCAAATCTCGTCGAGTCCCAGTTCTCTGTATTGTGTCGGGACGTGAAGCCCGGGAACCATATTCCGATTCCCTCCGATTCTCTCCGGTCACCGCTCGAGAATTACTTGTTCCGATTAGACGTCTTCCTTTCTTCCCGTCGCAGAATCCGAAAGTCGGCAACAGTTCGACTAAGCCGAATGTACCTTCCCGACCGCAACCGTGACCGTGATCGGCGCCGGAGATGATTTCAAAACCAGTTCTCTAACCAAAGTGAAGTGTTCTTCTGCCTACACTTGCCAGACAGAGGAACAGGGGACATATGAATTGGACGTGAGAAGCTCTGTTCTTCAACAAGCAGAAATACAGATATGCAGAAATTAGTATGACAGAATGCCGGAATCATTCATCGGTCGGCCGGTTTCATACATCGACACATGCTCCCCACCGCAAGGGTTCTCCTTCCATCAACCCGAAAAAGAGCCCGACGGAGCTCTAACGCAAAACTTCGATGCTGGTTTGTCTCTGGAAAGTCATAGAGTAGAAACTCTCGAGGGGACGAGCTCCTGTCGGGCCTTCCTTCCAGTCCCATGACCCAAACTTCTCTCGTCTTTTGTCTCATCCAGCAGCCTCCTCGCCAGCACTTCGATCCGAGGGAGATTTTCCGATGTGACCAGAAAAGTGCACTAACGGTGTCTTTGGTATGGTGCAGTAGTTGATCCCCAGAATTTCTTGTCTCTTTTCCTGTTTTGTTCCTTCTCATGGGAAAAAATTCTGCGGGACTAGAACTTCATCTTCCTAATGACAAGAATCAGCCTCATCAGCCCCTTACCCACAATGGCAATTATCACCCGTCCACAGACAAGCCATTGCTTCATACATTCTTCAATCAAATCCACACTTGTGAAGGAGGCAAGAGTGAATAATATATCCACCGGCTCTGCAACCAAAATGGATGACGATGAAGACCACGACAAACTCAGATATCATCAATCACTCGTCGTTCCCTTAGCATCCTCATCATCATCCCCCTCTCTAAGTTTTAGAAAAAAAATTGTTGAAAATAGTACATCAATAGTTGCGTCTTAGGTTGTCGACAAAAATCTGCCCTTAGCAAGAGTTCAAAACAGAGGCAAAGATCAGTAGTCAGTATGGACATAAGATCATACTGATGCAAGTCCGAAGGTCCAACAACTCTGACCATGCATCCTCATCATTTTCGTCATGTGAGTGCTATCCGCTTTCTACATTCAAAGTCATCAGTATCTAAGAAGTGGGGAATCGAATTGAAAATCGAAGTGCCGAATATCGATGACGAGATACGTCCTCCATCGCCAAAGTTGCCATCGACGATCCGCGCTCCGAACCAACCAGCACCGACATGATCGAGACGCAAGCACATCCCAAGCAGCCAGCCCAACGCGGTACAGCGAGGCGATCAGGCTGACTAGGAGACCACACGTCAGCGAGAGAGCGTGCCACGTCACCGGGAGGTGACGCGCCAGGATGGCATACATTTATACACACACACAGAGACAGACCTGTAAGAAAGGGGAAAGGAAAAACGGAACAAGGAAAAACGGCGATTCGCTTCCACTCGAGAGTTCTTGTACGAAGAGCAGGGCCGAGCGGGTCCCGGGCACGAGGCTCTTGTAGCGCGGGGCGGAGGGCGGGGAAAGGAGCAAAGGGACAGAGAACGGGATGGGAATTCGCTGGTTGCAAGAGGAGGGGGGCCGGAGGGCCCGGATGTGCTGCCATTGGATAGAGCAATGGATTGCAGAAAACGAGAGAAGGAAGGACGCAGACCGACAGCAGACAGCAGACATGGAGATCGCCGTCGTCCACTGCAACAAATAAATCGGACTCACTCGGCCGAGCGGATCGCTGGTCCATTGACAGTAGTCTGTAGCAGTAGCGGTAGGAGTCGTAGCTCAGCAGCAGCAGCAGAGTGAACGAGCTGGAGAAGAAGAAGAAGAAGGTGCAGCCCAATCTTCTCTCAGGCAGCTGGAACATTAGCAGCAGCAGCAGCAGCAGCGAGGAGGCTCGGACGAACTGACCGACACGGAGAAAGGAGGTCGTAGATGGTGTGGCGGATTGGAGCTGCTCCCGCTGCTGCGTCCGTGGGCTGTGGACTTCGTGTGGATTTTTTGGCGGGGGAGCAATGTGCTAAAAGTGTCAGTCAGCCTTCATTTCGGGGAGGAGCTGCACCAGCACCAGCACCAGCATCGTTGTCGTCGTCGTCATTGTCCTCGTTTGGGGGTGGCCGTAAGCAACGCATGAGAGTCCAGGAGGTTTTGGTAGGGGTTGCAAGGTATCGTCCTTCTTTTCGTGACCAGCAGCAGCAGAGGCAAAAGTTGCATCCGAATTGTTTTTTATCGCAAATGTTAACCCCAAGAGCAACTACCTTATGTAGTAGTAGTGGTCAGGTAGTAAGTTGTGCGAATGCATTCATCAATGCGCGGAATTTAAGCTCAAATTGTCAGCTTAGGAGGGATAGGAAGCAGGGCTATGGGCATGGGGCTATCCTGCGACAGGGCGAGAGGATTTTGGGCCCCAGGGGTCTGGGACAGTGCGGAGCTCTCGTAGTCGGAGGAAGCGGAAATTGGAGCTCTGTCAAGGGATGCAGATGGAAGCAGCAGCAGAAGAGATCCAGGATTAGGGTTCGAGGTGCCGCTGGTGATGGAGATGATAAAGAAAGTGGGGCATCGGTAACGACGGAAGAAAAGGAGCCAGAAGCGAAAGAAGTGAATCAATTGGTCGATTCCACTCCGTCCTCTTCATCATCTGGCAGTCCTCCACCGGGCGACGGCGAGGAGTTACCAATTCAATTGCTTCCGCACGCATTCAGCTTCGTAGAGCTCATCGGGCCCGAGAAGGTGGATCCCGAGGACATTAAAATCCTGAAAGAGAAGGTGTTTGGGTACACCTCATTCTGGATCACGGGGCAGGAGCCGTTTGGAGATTTGGGGGAGGGAGTGCTGCTGCTGGGGAATCTGAGGGGCAACCGGGATGAGGTCTTTGCGAAGCTGCAGCGAGGGCTCAAGGAGAAAATGGGCAACAAGTACGACATGTTCATGGTGGAGGAGCCGAACGCCGAGGACGAGGATCCCAGAGGCGGCCCGCGAGTGAGCTTCGTGCTCTTGAGACAGGAGGTTTCCGACACAGGACCCACCACATTGTGGCAGTACATCGTCGCCATCATTCTTTTCGTCCTCACGGGCGGCACTTGCCTGGAATTGGGAATCTCATCGCAATTATCCCGCCTCCCTCCCGAAGTAGTCCAGTACATTACCAACCCCGAGACCACGGTGCCCCCCGACCTACAAGTCCTCGTGCCATACGTCGATTCCGCGCTCCCTCTGGCCTATGGAGTCTTCGGAGTGCAGCTCTTCCACGAGCTGGGCCACAGGCTCGCTGCGGCGCCCAGGAACGTCAAATTGGGCATCCCCTACTTCATCCCCAACATCACTCTGGGAAGCTTTGGTGCTATCACGCAGTTCAAGTCCATCTGCCCGGACCGAACGTCCAAATTCGATGTCTCCATGGCCGGGCCTCTCGCAGGGGGTCTGCTGTCTCTCGCCATGTTCGGCGTGGGGTTGATCTTGTCGACAAATCCCGAGGCCAGCAGTCAGGTCGTCCAAGTGCCGAGCCTCCTGCTGCAGGGATCGTTGCTGCTGGGCCTGGTGACGAGGGGTGCTCTGGGTTACACCGCCCTCCATGCCACAACTGTGTCGATTCATCCGCTCGTGATCGCTGGGTGGTGCGGATTGACCACCACGGCCTTCAACCTGCTGCCGGTGGGGTGCCTCGATGGTGGACGAGCCATCCAAGCAGCTCTGGGCAAGACGGCATTGAACATCTCCGGGCTGATCACGTACCTGCTGTTGGGGCTCGGTGCATTGGGCGGGCCCTTGTCCTTGCCCTGGGGTTTGTACATTATTATCGCACAGAGGTCTCCAGAGAAGCCTTGCTTGAATGATGTATCGGACGTGGGCTCGTGGAGGAAGGGGTCGCTGCTGCTGATCAGCTTGTTGGTGATTGCCACTCTTCTGCCTGTTTGGGACGAGCTGGCCGAGGAGTTAGGAATAGGAATTGTGAACACTCTTCAAGTTATGGACTAATGCGATCCGGTTCTCATCTTCTTACTGGCTTTGTCGGCCACGGATGTAATCATAGCAATTATACAAACTTCAGCTCTGGATTTAACGTAGGCCTGTCTTTGTCGAGAGGGTACTTTGCACATTGCAACTTGGTGTACAAATTGATTACAGATTCAAGACCTGAGCCGATCACCTGGTTCTGTTGATAATATGTAGAATTGCAAGAGACTGACAAGAAGGTGTCACAAGTCTGTTGCGGGTCGTATTCTTTTTCGCTGACAGTCCTGTGAATTCGGCATTTGATCTCTAGTTTTGTAAGCATCAGTTTTCGTCGACGCATCTCCATCGAGTTTAGACTGTGGGTTCAAGATCAGACAGTGGCCTAAACGGACTCCAACCCTCCAGTATAATTCTTGAGTTTTCATCCATGATAACATTTGCTACTAACTTGAATTCCAAGCTCCAGTCATACAGATATGAATTGACATCGATTATTGCATCAAATTAATTGCACGATAGCATCCTCGAGGATATCGCTAATGAAGTATTTTACTAGGACGAGGTCTCAGTACAGCCAGTTCTGTGGTCTTCAGGCAATGGCAAATGCAAAGACCGAGGACCGGGAGTTCTTCGAGGGATCAGAAAAGTGCACATTACAATTCTTGTTCGGCAATGGTGCAATTTTATAGTTTTTGGTCTTGGATCGTTGCACTTGCAGGGCGATTGAATCTGTAGGCTTCTTATATGTATTAAAATATACTGCACTATATGCTGATTCTTTTAACTATCTCAGTGTTTAGATCTAGTGACGTGAACAGTAACGGGCGGTAGGTTACAAAGGGTGACACCGTAGTGCAAGCCAAGGGTAATCCACGGGGGCTGAACGTTTTCTGCACTCTCTGATTCCTTTATCTGATAATCTCGCACTCTCCCATTCTGCTCACCCCAGTCTACCTTACCTTGAGGAAAATGACATTGCTTTCACAGAAACCGAAGGCTATGAAGATAATGATGACCTCGTTTTCACTCCATACCCAAGCTTAATGAAACCTGTGCAATGTGCACAGTTTTGGATTTACCCATTCATTCAGCCGTCATAAATCCAGGCTGGTGCTACTCTGCAAGATGAACTCATGATGCAGCCCTTAGACATCTGAATGTTGGAATATTATATACCTGTTGTGAGAGTATGGGAACCTTTCGTCTTTCATTGTTTCCTTCAAAGGATAATTCAGTGATTTAGCTCTGTAGAATCTGTTCCGGAAGTTGTGGTTGAAATGATGTGTGCTATTCTGGGCTATGCGTATGTTCGGCAGTTCAGTCACCCACCCTCAACCGTACGCGTCAAGAACGATTTTCAGAACATTCCTGTGATTTCACTCATATCGAGAATGCACTACTTCTTGGTCTTTGCTCTATAATTGCCCTTTCGTTGCGAACTCGAAAGAGGAGGAAATTATGAGCATTCGCTTACAAGTTTAGGAGGACACTTTTTTCTGGACTGCTGAATGGACTGTCCAAGTTTTCTTCCTACTGCCACAACAAATGGAAGCTCGGAGCTGGTGAATACGAGAGATGCATGAACAGGAATCACACGTGAAGCATATGGGCATCTGATAACAGCAGATGGCGAATGGAAGATAGGTCAACAGTACCTACGTAGTTGCAATCATGTTCGCATCTTTGAGCATCTGGCACGAAGGATCAACGAGTAGTTGCAATCATGTTCGCATCTTTGAGCATCTGGCACGAAGGATCAACGAGTGAGTAGCACCAGCGTGATCGAGGATAAATCTTTTGAGTATATCATTACTGCAAGCATGGATCGGTCGATTATTCCCAAGAGCTTTCGTATCCAACATCGCAATCAGATCAACTGAAAAGCGGGAGTACAGATTGCAACGTTATGGAGTCTTGGGTTTAAGTTAAAATTCGACGAGACCCTCTTGGTCCTGGTCCTCTATGATTATTTTAGATATCTTGTACCAGACATGACTTATCCAATCCCAAATGTCACGCAAATACGCATCTCCTCACACAAACATGTCGCATCAAACAGCATTACCATATCACATAAGTCAGATTGTAATCGAGGTTCATGTTTTCCGACATTCCAAAATGTGCCACTGGGTACTCTCTGCCATATCCACATTCTCAAAAGTATCATTTGGAAGAAAAAAGCCTAATCCAATACCTGCAAGGTTTGAAATGGACCATTCGATGTGAAGGCATTTTCAGAGCTAACAAGGAACAATATCGACAAGAGACCAAGGGCTATGATCGAGGCGACCATACTGCAAGTACCACTTCTATCCAACAAGATTGAAACGAGACAAACATTTCCGAACAATTTCATCTTGGTATCGGCTTAATATGTTCGAGTGACAAAAAATTATTAGACAGAAATGAAAAATTAGATAGGGATCTTACGAACCCGAAACTCATCACATTTTTTCCATAATCAACGGCTGAGGAGTGCTCTGACGGCAGTCCCTATACGCTCACTTCGATGCTTCATCGAGGACACAACCCTCCGTGCTCTCTGAAAGAATCGTATCCCTTAAGCAACTGTAATTAGTAGCGCTTTGGAGAATCTCAAACCTTCGGCTTAAAGTTCACTGACATATCATCATTCGGATATTGGAACAAACAATCCCAAAAGCAGAAGGCGTACAATACGCACCGGGTGGAGGTCTGTTCTCAAACAATGAGCTTGGCTACGATGATAACCGCCACCCTTGCAAGATCGTCCATGTCTTCTTACTCACAAACCTCCACCGGAAAGACTCTCAAGTGGCAGCCTTGCCGACATTGACCGAACAGAATAAACTCTATTAAGCGAACGAATCGCCGTCGGACGCGCTCATCTCTCAACGATTAAGGTATTGGAAAGACAAGCCGCCGGTACTTTCGGCAGCTGCTCGATGGCACGCGCTTGATAGATCGGCTACCTAGCGCTCGAGGCCGAGGGACTGCTGCATAGCAGAGAATTTTCCATGTTATGGGGAATTTGAATCTACTAGTACATCCTTCACAGCAGGGGCTGAGCATGCAGTGAATCGTCTAGAGCTCACAATCGCAGGGGCTCTTGCCACCTGCGATTGTGAGGCAGAATCCATACAAAGCATGGCAAGATAACGAATACACGGAGCGAAACAGTGAGCTAACAATCATGTCAGGTTCAAACACAGAATATGACGGTGTAGAAAGTAAGATCTGCATGCGAGAAACGGAAGCAGGAAAGAGGCGAAAAATCCGGGTAGAATCATCAACCATGATCTCACTGATTTGCTAGCCGAGCAGGGTACAGACGGCCAGAGCTGCCGGTCTCGAACATGGAACGACACTTGTCATTCAGAGTCGTTGAAGGTAGTAATCAGAGAAAGTGTACTTAGTAGACTGAACATGTTGTGTGTCAGTCATTCATTCATTCACTCAAGAGCTCTGCGTAAGCTCCTACTCCTCTGCGCTATATCAAGTCAAGATACCGGGCCTCACTCACAACCTACTTGACTCTGAGTTTGCAGCGATCATGTATGTCAGCAGCCGAGGGAGCGAGCGGAGCAGTCTGTTGGGCAGCAAGAGCTTGTTGCAAAATGTCGACTGCGTGACGTCACGTCTACTGACAAAATTGCGAGCGGTTTACTCGTTCCGACCTTACTGAAGTTAGCAGAAGCGTGTGGGACGGCCTTGCTCACAAATTCCAGCATTTAGAAAAACATTCTGATCCTGCAGCCCAAGTTCGACCATACCTCCTGCCTAAACCTCCTCCTCCTGCTCCACCTCCTCACTTTGCTCGCTGATCACACAAAGCAAGTTCAGCTATCGCATATTCTCGAGTCCGCAAATTGCACTTACTCCTGGCCGATTTATCAACGACACACGGTCTTCATTGTCTTCGGATGTCATTGTCAGAAGAAAGTTTCCGCAAGCTCGAGTCACCGTTCCTGTAAGAAACATTCTTCGTGGCTTTTGGTGGAGAGTGCTAAAATCAACGGGGTGGGGCAAGACATGCATCAACTGGTGCCATTGTCCACCACCCGATACTCGCGCTTTACTAACAAACTCATGAGGGTTTATGCCAGTTGCATGCCAGTTGCATGCCTGGCAACTGGCAGCCCTACACACGTAGAATCATAGCGAAGGAATATCCGGACTAAGAGGACTTGATGGTGCGCTCGATATCTAGCGCCGTTTGTGGACTCCTGGATCAAGGTACATTTGAGAAGTGGCTTCGAGAGTGCTTCATGTATCTACAATGTATGTACGACGAGTGCGGAACGGAGGAGAAGGTACAAGACGGATCGCGAGCAGAGATGCCTTCTTATGACAGGCTCCAACTTCAACATGCGTGGAGTGCCGACAAGTGAGATTCATTTTGCTACTTTGAGAGTCCCAAGATCTTCTGACATGTCGAATTCTACCAACTATGGAGCTGCTGCGAGGGACTTGGAATGTTGAAAATTTAGCATTTTAACGCTCTTCATTTGGGCAAGATATAGAAACGGGAGAAATCTCTCAAAGATCGCATGTACAATAGTCACTCACGCTATCGATCACCGGACTTGATCTCCAAGCAAAAGTATCCCATTCTTCTCGTCATCGGTACAACCTCACCGAGCACAAACAGTGCTCACTGGAAAGCTCATCTTCATCGTCCCCGGACGTTTCTCGTTCCTCACCTTTTATTCTCTAAAGCATATGCGTGTCCCGAAACTCGAGCAACATCTCTCACGAAACCTCCGACGGCAATCGAGGGCTAATTCAGTGGCGATTCGGACACTGATGCGGACATTCGTCGTCTCACACAGAGTAAAAAAGAAAAAGAGTCAAATCGCAGCTGCCGCGAGAGATGAAGAGTGAGACGGATGTTCGAATCGACGCGCACTGGAATCGAAGCTCCCGCCGGCAGCAAGCCTTGGGATCAGAGAGAGAGAAAGAGAGAGAGGGGACATTCCAAGATGCAGCTCGTCGGACGCATCATCGATTAGGGTACAGACAACATCGCAACAGTTGTCCGTCGACGACGGGCACAACGGGCACAAGACTGCAAATCTTGACTGGGCGAGCGAGATTCAAACCCTCTCCTTCCTTCCTTCCTTCCTTCCTTCCTTCCTTCCTTCGGGCGCACGCCATCGAGAAAAGGCGCCGCCGCCCGTTGAGCCAGCCGGCCAGGAGCGTGCGCCAAGCAGGACCCAGCGGGATGTCACCACGTCGGGACGCCGGGGGAGGAGAAGAGGGGCGGGGGGTGGGGCGGGAGAATGAGTGTTCTCTTGAGAGCGCGACAGCGAAGATCGACAGCGTTCGAGCAAAGCAATCGTCTTCCATTGTCGTCCAGCTTGGGCAGTAGCGTCGGCAGTAATGCTCGATGATTATTAATTACACGACGGCACATCATAGAGCCTCATCCGTAGGCGAAGAGGGCGAAGGGCGAAGGGCCGAGGAGGTGAGGGTTAGGGAAAGGGCGGCACCGAAAGTGTGTTGTGAGTGTGAGTGAGGGAGAGCTCGGGATGCTCTTTTGGAGACGATGGACGGATTGATCCATTGATCGATAGAGGGGAAGGCGGAACTGGGAGGCGCATCCAATGAGGCGTGAGTAGGACAGCTAAACTGGAGGAGGATGGTGGCGTGTTCGCTGATCAACAGACAGTCAGATTCGGGCAAGCACTTGCCGGCGAAACAAGTGTTCTGGTGCTCTTGGTTATGGGACCGGAGATTACTACTAATAAAGTTCGATTTGTCGTTTCCAGTCCACCGCCATTTTCTCACGCTTGGCTCGAACATGTGTCTCGTCCTGCTTCGTGGCGAGTACCTTCGCATCTTCCGACTGGTTCTTCGAGTTCGGATTTGATACCACCAATGTACTCGCACTAGCGCAGGTCATAAAGAAAGAAATGTATCGAACCCGAACCCCGTCTCTGTCTCGTCCGTCCTGGTACCTGGCGAATTCGCATCAATGAATGAGCCCGTAGGCCAGTTCTGCCACGGTATCCGAGGTCATTTCGAGTCGTAAACTACCGCTCGCCGAAATCTAACGCAGAAATGCGTCACAGTGCGGAAAGTTGGGAGGTTTTATCTTGCTCGTAGGATGGATGACGTAAGAACTCTGTGCTCAGAGGGCCTGCATTTATCTTTAGTAAAAAATTTGGAGTCTTTTGAGTTTCAGGACCTCGTTTGCCACAGAAGAAATTTCCTTTCAGCAGCACCGGCTAAACTCGCAATCCGCCGGATTGGACGCGAAGAGAGCGGCGGTGACATGGAGGAACTGCATTGAAAGGGTCGTGTCTCGCTTTTTAGTGGCATCAGATCGACTAATGCCCATATTCCAAGGTCGAACATGTAGAGCATCGTTATTCCTAGCAGAGCTCATCCCTATCTTCATACACAAGATTTACAACTTTCTGCACTACAGGAGAATCGGACATAGCACGCACGCACCCTCACACAAGCCAGCCAGCCAGCCCGATGACTTTCCTCTTTCGTCCGCCTTTTGCTTCTTCATTCTCCTCCCTCCCTTGGTCTGATCATCTGATGCAAGTTTCGCCTTTTCTCCAGGGTACGGTATCATCTGCGAGCTCTACAGGTGGGCTTCCAAAGCCTCGCTAGCACAATGTGCCTGTGCCGATGCCACTTTACTGCAGCTCGGAAATTCAGTCACTTTAGAGCTGTGAGTCTCCCGAGCGACTGAGGATCCAACACCACATACACCATTTTCCTATCATTAGCTCTGGTAGGCGAGCATCCTTGGAACTGTTATGTTTTAACGTTTGCACTCATTTGCATGTCGCTCCAAATTGCATGCTGAAGTCAGATGGGGAACGCAGAGAGAGACACTTGTCCGGGCTCCTTGACCTACTGTTAAAGCGAGCCTGAGTGTCCATTCGACAGGACATAATGTGTGTCCTTTTTGAATCGCCTGATATTCCTTCGATTTGGCATATTACTTAGTCACATCGGGCTCACGACTCTACGTTCTGGTTCCGCCTTATTTCACCCGTTCTTGCTTGAAGACCTGTTGTCGATTTCGGGTCCGTATTCGTCCGATCTATGGAATGTCCGGCTGCCTGCAGAATGCTGGATAATGTGGTCCCCACGCCGGGATCTAATCTCTTTCACAACAGTGAGAGCGACTTAAGAGGAATTAAAGGTTGTAACCAGCGCACAGAATTTCTCCGGTTATATGTCTCCATCGGAACAAACTTTCCCGCCTTGTATGGTCCACGTAAAGTGCTCTGCACTGAAGGGGTCAGTCACTTTTGAGTACTTTCCTGAGCGACGGTCCACAGATAACGATGCATTCCAAATGTGACACTGGTTATGTTATGGTCGTCGGATTTGTGATTCTAATATCTACATGGGTGAGAGGTCGACTTCGATGAGAAGACTGAAAGCTTATTTCCCCGTCAAGCAACCATCTCTCTCGGAGTGGTAGGCTACCGCTGTACCAAGAAAAGAATCACCGACCATAATGAGATCGTACCGATGGAATTCTCCAAAATAGCGAACAGACAACCTACACCACGACACACCATGAGAATTTTGGAGTACGGTATGCTTCTCTCAAGCAGCTCTTGGGTCTCTGCTCACTCAATCCCGCACCGAAAACCCGAATAAGGGATCTTCTCTCTCTCCATCTCTAATAGTCTTCCATAGACTTAGAACATTCATTTCCAATCCACTTAAATAATGCTGAACCCTCATAAGCTCGCAATTTGCGAATTAAGTTCGATTAATCGACCCACTTTGCTCACTTCTTGACCTTCGACGCTGGACGCCGGGACGAAGTCATGTCGTGGAACAACGTTGATCTTTGCCATAGCTCCTTTCCTTCCTTCTTTTAAAAAGCAATTCTGTTGAAAATGTCACCAGGTGCCACCCCAGTGCTACGCCTCAGCCAAAGGCTAAGGCGTTAGGCGCAGCACAAGAATTCAACAACAAGATTTCTTCGGACGTCTTCGGACGACGTCTTGCAGAGCTCCAAGAGGAGGAGGAAGAAGACAGAAGAAACGAGCCCTCTCTGTCCGGGAGCTCGGGACCGGAAAGCGCCGCGGGCCACGAAAGAAAAAGCCGCGCGCTGCACTTTTTGGCGCGGCCTTCTTCCTTGCGAACCGGGGTCGCACCTTTACCGGGCCGCGTAACGGGAAAAGCATGACTGGCGTCCCGGGGACACGCGTCGGCAGGCCAACCGGGAGCACCCAACAGTCAACTCCCAGCCGGTCGCATCTGGAGGAGGTCGTCCGGGCTCGTCAGGGCCAGCGCGCGCGCGAGGAGCCTTCGGGCAAATCGGATGCCCACAGGGCCTCCGCTCTCCCTTGTAATTGGGATGCCATCCCTCTCGTTCGTCCGCATGCCGTTCCACGCGACGATACCAACGCTGCTGCCCTAACCGCTCCTACTTGCCTCGTTCACGCACATTTTAACTACCGCTCTAAACATAGAATAGTGTTCTAAACAGTCCACTTCTTATGGCGAATTGTTCTGACTCTGCATATATCTCTTTTTTAAATGAACTGCGAGGTTAATCACACCACCGCATGTATATACTGTATATGTAGATTAAATCCTTTAAATAATTGGACTGATTTAGGGATATATTTTTGCCAATTAAATTGATCGTGATCAAAGTTGTATCCAAATTGTAAGAGTTCCTCTCGGACATTGACGCTCTGCCTTTATGTAAGTTAATTGTGGCTTGAACGTTTTAAAAAAACCAAAACATATAGAAATAATTGAAAGAAATTAGATGGTCGAATTAGTCATACTTTTAATACTTACATCATTTTCATAAATTATGGCCATGATAAGGTTGCTCACGGTCAATCAAAAGAATCTAAATTCTTTCGCGAGAATAAATCGATTGATCACGCAACTCCTCTGAAAATCTGTTTCATCTTAAAGCTTATTAGCCTTTCCTTTCTCTGAATTTGATTATCGGTATAATAGTATCGGAAACAAAGATTTCTGTAGATTTACTAAGAAATTAGAATAATATGCTCATCACGATGAAAGAACATTGACCATCAGCCTTGCAGTGGTAATTGTTTGAGGATCGAAAGGAGCTATTGAAGAGCCAAATGATGTATTATTAAATCCATTCCAATAACAACATCAGTTCAAGAGCAGGAGACGTAAAGAATCACATTGAGCTTTAGTTTTGGTTCCGGTGGATAATTTTCATCCTCTTTTCACTTCTCCACATTCTTCTTATTTCTTCTGAAAGGTTCCAGTACGATTCATGGGGTTCTACCGAGCACATGCGGCCGTATTGAATTAACGGAAAATGACGAGTCAAGAAGAACGACCGAGCACGTCAGCACGTCTGGGCATTTTCGATACTTCTCCAGTGAATGAATTATCAACAAAGCACGTCGTGAGCCTCGACAGTCTAGAACATAATTGACGTGCAACGAAAAAAAGAAGAACGAGGAGACGATGAAAATACTGTCGACAATCGACATCGACATCGACAATTCTGAGGCCACTAAAGAATGCTTTTCTTTACTGCAGGAAATAGGAATTTCTCCGGCGAATTTGTACGTAACCCACAAACGTCCGACGTCCCTTTCGTCACTCGTGTCTGCATGCGTTCATTAGTTATGACGTCAGCCGCCGGCGCGGGAATCGCTGGACACGGTAACCGGGGAAGCTCGTCGCCGCTCACGTCGCCATTTCTAAGTTGGGATGGATGTCCTTCCGGTGCGAGGAGGGCACGGGCACCAGTCAAAGCGATAACGCCATCCATCCGAGAGCTATCGTTCAGCCGTCGGATCCAAACCATCTCCCCTAGACAGAAGTTGGTACCGACACTTGCCGAGCGGCCAGGCAGGCATACCGGGAGAGCCGGCTCACCCGCGGAGGTGAAGGAAGGACAGAAAGCCGGGAAGGCGAGGCGACCCGGGTCAAAGTTGGTCCGGCCCGGCCGCCAAAGGAGAAGCGCTCCCAGAGTCGCGCCCGATGAGCCCCGCTGTGCGTCGATGGTAGGCACGGCCTTCCGAAAGGCACGCGATGGGCCGACGCACGCCCTGGAGCGTCAGATCCCGCGATCATCGCATCGTCGGGGGTCGCTTTTCGTCTGCCGGTGAGTACCAGAATGCCGGGCGACCACTTTGACCGGGCCTCTCTGGCCCCGGTCCTACCCTCAAATCCGTGGGGCAGAGAATTCCATCGAAATCGATGAATTACATAATCCCCACTGGAAATTATCTCCCTCCATCACCGTCCGATGGCATGCCAGTGCCATCCTTACCGTCCGATTTGAAATTTGCATGCGCGAATTCTGAGCGATTATGAGAGAAAATGTTGGGGATAATAGCGGGGGACCGGAGCGAGGTGTCGCCCTGCAGGGGCAAGGGCGATGTCCGCGGCCCTTCCGCAGGACCGAAGAGCTGAGCAGGAGGAGGGGGAGGAGGAGCAGAGGTCCGCCGAGGGATGGGGGCGACGGGTACAAAAGGGGGACGGAAAGCGGTTGGCATTGTTCTCAGGCGGAAGGGGAATGGAGAACCAGAAGGAGGAGGAGGAGGACCATCGCTGTAGAGGAGGAAGGGGAGGAGGAGGGATTTGGACGTGAGCTGACTCACCTCACAGAGAGGCATCCAGGCATTCAGACACACACACAGACAGACAGCGAGCGAGAGAAGCGAGCCAAAGCATAAACCTGAGCTGCGGACTGTGACTGACTGACTGGTGAAGTGGACTGGTCGCTCGTGGAGTAGCTCGGATTACGACTTACTTCTGTACAGGAGGAAGATTGAGCAATTCCGTTCTGAATTCTCTCCAATGTTTCCGGACCCTTCGATTCAGAACTTCATTCGTGCATTCGTCGTCCTCGTATCAACAGAAGTGATAATGGAGTGAGTGAGTGAGTGAGTGGGTGAGTGATCGAATAATGGATCCGTGAAGACTCCGGGACTGAGGTGGCAGTAAGTTTCGGCGACGGTAAAGCGAGATTTTGTTTTACTTTCTGTATTTCTGTTTTCGCAGCGAGGATGAGGATCTCGGTGCCATAGTAGTGGGAATTGACAGTTGGCCCAGGTGTTGGACACAGGGGATTTTTTCCTTGTGTGCGAAGTGGTGGAAGTCCACTGACCTTGCTCGTTCCAGAGTAGAAAGATTGTGGCTGATTGGTAAAAGAGCCGGGAGAGGAGACAGAGAGTATCGCCGAGACATTGGGTCGCCTGAGCAGTCGAGCAGGATGTCGATGCTGCAGTCGGAAAAATCTCTAGGCAAAGAAGATTGCATATCGATGATGCAAAAAATGGCAGAGATGGAAGCGGAGCATGCCGATCTTAAGAACAGGCTACAGAAGTTGGCGGAGCTCGAAGCGAGTCATGAACAGCTGAGGAAGCGGGTGGAGGACGCGTTGCGAGGGACGGACCGACCAGCTCTGATAGCTCCCGCACCCGGCGCTTCTGCTGCCCAGGATCCGCTGAAGCCTCTTGTTCCCACCACTTCTGATATCGCCGCCAGGACGTCGAGGATGATGGTGCAGGGTGATTCTGCAGTCCCGGGTGCGATGCCGAGCGAATTCAACAGCTACATTCTGCAGTCTATGGGGCAGTCTGTACATGTTTTTTTGCCGAGCGGACAAATCATTTACTGGTGAGTTCAGTGGCTGTCTTTTTGTTTCTTAGGCAGTGGTTTTTGAAGCTCCTCTCGATTTTTAAACCCTGAGCAGTTATGCTTGCGACATTTGTGTGGTGAATGGGCTTAGTATTCAAATCGAACTCTAGAATCGTTTCGAGACGGGAGACAGAAACAAATCACATCCTCACGTGGATCACCTCTGTGCACAGTATATTTGTGGTGTACTGAGTTCCTGAGTACTGGGGACGGGCCTTCACTCCGAACAAGTCAAAACAGCAGATTTCCTTTTTTGATTTGCCCGTGGTGAAGGCCCGCTTTGTACAGCACGAAGGTCGGTTTGGGTCAATTCCGAGAATTCTGCCATCCGCCTTAGCCTCTCGTGTACACTGTTGAGAGGCTGTTCGTACATCCAGCGAAGTATCTTTGGATTTAGAATTGGCAGTTTTGCAGGACGTTCCAAACCGCACATCTTGTATATCTTGATCGTTACCTCCAGGTGAAGCCTCAAGCCTCCTGTTTCTTGGAAATGCTTTCACTGTCCGACATGAAGTCGAGCCCCGATGAAAGTTACGAGAATACAGCTTCTGTTCAAACGCATCCTCATCTCAAACTTGCATGCATCCCGGTTTTCGTAAAGGTGAGCCCTGTTCCTACTGTTGATTTGCTCGGGCTGAAGAACCACTTCCATGTCATGAAGCTTAGTTTCAGGCTTTGTTTGTTATACACTATTCCTTATTCGACTACATTAACTTTATACAGCTGTGACGGTACAACAGAATGAAGTCGGCCTTGCCTCCATTCAGTTCCCTGTATAGTCATCATTCCCTAAGAACAGTTGGATTTACAGATGATCCCATGGTACACAGAAGTACGGTTGGAAGGTGGAGGCCGGTTTAGTCCCTCATTAAATCGGTCATTCAGTTTATTACGAAGCGTTAGGAGGTAGCCCTTGAGCTCCTCAGGTTCGATTCGCGGCGTTGTTAGAAAGTGCCAGTCTTCAAAAGACAGATCGCAGCCAGGAGGTAAGATCCACTTGGAAATGAAGTGAATATTTTTAAGAAAGGTAGGAAACACCTGCAAATCTCTGACCTCATTTGTACATGCCTTGCTTTCCTACATTCTCTAACATTCCAGGTTTTCCGGTTAACCATGATGCTCAGTTAAGTTGGACCCAGTTGTGAATAAGTTTTTCATGTCTTCACATGACATCACCTGTAGTAACTTGATCGCTTCCTTGTAGTCCAATGCTGCTTGTATGTCGATCATGGTCAATTGGTGGTTGGCAGGTTGCTTGAGTATTAGTGCCCATCATGAATAGATCATAACGAAATCATACTTGAACGTTGAATGTGTACTTGAATTTGGGTTTTTCACATTGTTGTTTCTTAACAATATTTTACTGCTTGTCCTATTTCGTACGAAAGAATATCTCCTTTTTCCTCCATGCTGTAGTCTTTGTAATGATCAGAGTTTGTAAGTATATCTGGTACCGCAGTCAGCAGGTTGATTCGAGCGCTGGCTTTATTTACCGTCATACCTTTTGGCTTTTTGGCATAATGCAACCCTTTAAAGTAGCTCACCTTTTTTTATTTCCTTTTCTGTGAACTCTTATTTCATTCTGACGAACTAGCTAGTCCCGCGCCTGTTGTTTACTTCGTACCTGTGAACCATGTCTTGCGGAATATGTCTCATATGAAATGTTTGGACACTCACTTTCATTCTTCACTAGACCTGGGTTCAATTCTACTTTGTAAGTCTTAATTTTAAAGGATCTGATAACAAGGTCGTGTCCTACTGCCGACGTTCATATTCACATGGACAGCACGGATGGTTTTTCTTGACACATATATCTTCTACGGGAAGATTATCTACCCCGGACAAGAATGGTTTCATGGTCGTCCTCAACTCGGACCTGCCAAAATAGAAATAGAATATTCTTGAACTTCTAATGATTTATGTATATATTGTCTGGTTCTGCTCTAGGGACTTTGGGCCTAATTTATATTGTTTTGACAAACAGGAATCGCATGGCGGAGCAGCTCTTTGGATATACTGAAAGGGAGGCTATCGGACAGAATGTTTTGGAACTTTTATGCAGTGAAGATACTTATCAGGTTGCTTCTCAACTTGTGGCAAGGATTAGTATGGGGGAGTCTTGGACAGGTCAATTCCCATTGAGACGACGTTCTGGAGAAGAATTCATGGCAATGGTCACCGATACGCCTATGATTGATGACAGAGGTAGAATTGTGGGTATTATTGCCGTTTCCAGTGATGCTCGTCCTTACAGGAATCAGTTTAATAATTTGACCAATAGGGCCCTCGGATCATCTGAATCGTCAGACTCTGATTCACAATTTGGGCACAGACGTAAGCCGAAAGTAGAATGGCAGCAACCATGGCAGATTCCCTTTGCTTCGACAATTGCTGACTTAGTAAGTTTCTCTTCGCTACTACTTTCGAACAGCACTGCTAAATTGTCTTACTTCAGTAAACAGACGTGCCCTCCTTTTTCCATTCTTTCGTCGTCCCGTGTATCTTTTGACCTGCCTTGTATCTTAAGTTGGGTATCTCATCGGGTTCCACCCTCTTCCTGTCTCAACCAGTGACTTAAGTGTTTTTACATTCACATGACGAGCCGTCATTATCTTGCTTCACCTGCTAGTCCTTTCTTAGATTGTTTCCCTTCTCACCGAGCAGGGTAGATGGTAGTCTTTTTCCCTCTGATAGATTGAGGTTACTGCAGCATGCCCTATAGTTGAAGTTTTTTTCGGATTGGAGAATTACTTTTTAAGATTGGCATATTGCGACAGATTGTGCGAATAAATGTTTTCCGTTGTGCTGGCATGGCTATCATTGTGAGAAGCCTGCTTGAACATGAGTAAACACCTTGTGTCTTGCTCTCTACAAGAAGTTGTTCAAGTAGGATTAGGTTTGCATAGTTTGTAATGTGAATCCCTCATGTAGTCTTCTGGATAATGGTCATGTACTGCGAGGATGGACTTTCCGTTGTAGTTGATTTGACATTTAACAAGAGATTTTGACAATTTTGTTTTCCTTTATCCTGGAAGTATTTACAGGCTTCAAAGGTGATATCTAAGCTCAAAGTGAAAGAAGTTGGGGTCGAAAAGGAAGGAGGGAGTAACAATAGTCAGAGCTCAGAGTCTTTTGACCATCAACGCTTCACGGAGCAATCTGGTGCGGGAAACAATGTATCACCACCGGAAAGTCCAGCAAGCAAGAAATGCTCGACAGAGGGAGGCTCGGTAGGAAGTGGTCTTAACATACCGCGAATTCTCACAGGACAGGCAGAAGCATGGATTTCGAAGACGGGCCTTACCTGGCCCTGGGGCGGAGAAAGGTACAATAGTGGACACCAAAAGGAAGCTAATGATGATAGCGCACCCGTAGCGTGTAGCTTGGACTCCTGGTCGGAAAGAAAACTCTTCAAAGGTGGAGGTGATGCTAGTGCTACTAATCCCGACTCTCCGTGCAATTTCAACAGTGCTAGCAGTAGCACCAGTAGCAACGCAGAATCTAGTACTGCTGGAAGCAGTAGAACCGAACTTGAAGTACTGGAGAGCTCGGATTGTGAAATTTTGTGGGAGGACTTGGTATTGGGAGAACAGATAGGTCAAGGTAAGCACCATTTGCTTCAATTCATAATGATACTTTTTTGTTTCAACAAATGAGGTACGAATGTGCTATCAGCCATGATGCTTGACGTAGATACGGAGGAGCTCACTGACTGAACACTGGTTTGTATACGTACTCGTAGAATCATCCGGATCATTTTGTAATTCTTCCTTTGAAACGAATAAGAGAATTTCAAGATTGATTTAGCCGGTTCTCCACGTCAAAACCATGCTGACTGTTGGTTTTTATTTCATGCAGGTTCTTCGGGCACTGTATACCACGCTCTCTGGCTAGGCTCGGTATGTATGCTCCTCTTTTGTATTCTGTTGTCGTTGTATCTACTGCTTCTGTAATCATCGGTCGGTTTGTCTACAACCTTGTCTTTTGTCTCATTCTGGGTCCTTGTCGTATCGAGTAGTATCTTCATGGACTCTATTTATCCTGCAATGTTTCTGAGTAGATCATTGTGCAAGGCAGAACTATGCTGCGTCTCTTTATCAAGACGAGCATTAATTGAGGCACTGTAGTTACATGTCAGAACGCTAAGGTGAGAAAGTTTAGTAATGTTGAGAGAGCTGTCTGTCTCTTCGAACTTTTGCTCAATTTCACCATTCTTTGATGCAGGATGTGGCTGTGAAAGTGTTTTCGGAACAAGAATACTCTTTGGAACTATTGGAGGATTTTAAAAAAGAGGTATGTCTAGAGCTGGCTAGGTTTGTATATGTAGATAGAGCTGGGATCGATTATATTGGAAAGGGATGTAGTGCCTTCAAGGTGAAACACGGAGTCACCAGAGTCAAAAATAAATTAAATAAGGAAACATTATACATCCATTCATCTTACCACATCTTTACGCACATCTTGACCTTTACTCTGCTCTTGACGTTTGTGGTTTTTTTTTCTGAAAGGTTGCTATAATGAAGCGGCTTCGACATCCGAATGTATTACTTTTTATGGGGGCAGTCACAGCACCAGAGCACCTTTCCATCGTTACCGAGTTTCTTCCCCGGTATGTTATCAATAGTTCCCATAACAAACGTTGAATGTTTGCAGCTTTGCCATTCAATATGGGAATCTTTCTGGCTAGTTTGAGATTTAAGTTGAATACTAATTTTGGATACACAACACATCCATTCTTAAATATTTGCAATATGTAGAAAGTTATCAGTGGTGTTTTGGTAGGCCTGCTTTGTGACACTGGTGGTTCAGATCACATCCAATTCGATAAGTATTTGAAACGGATACCATACCTGGCACTTTCTATGTGGAATGTGATTTTGTTCGACTTGTTTATCGTCAGGTTGACAGACCGGGCAAGAGTTTTGTTTCAGTGCACTTCAACATCAGCTGAACATAGTGTGTTGTAGTATGCTTAGGTGAAATGAACCTTGAACAAATTGGCAAATTGCTACACCTTTTGATTGCGGGAAGAAATGTATTCGCCATTCTGAAAATCCTTGGCCTACGTACTTGGATGTGTGCAGGGGAAGCCTATTTCGTTTGCTCCACCGCAACACTCCAGGACTAGATTGGAAGCGGCGCTTGAAGATGGCCCTAGATATTGTAAGCTTCTGGGTCTTCTAAGCTTTCAAAGCTTTATTCCATGTGAAAGAATGTGTATCATATCTACGTTGACGTGCTGTGGTAACTGCTAAACTTGTTCACTTATGGAAGAAGTTATCGGTCATTGCAGGCGCGGGGATTGAACTATCTCCATCACACAACTCCACCTATCATTCATCGTGATTTGAAGTCTTCAAATCTTCTCGTTGATAAGAACTGGACAGTGAAGGTTTGTCAATAATACCGTTGTTTTTCATGAGGACGAGAAGAAGTTTTCAGTAATTTCTCTTGAAGCATGTTGTCACCACTTGTGAAATTTGGGTCTACCTTAAAAATTACACTGTCGTGAAGCGGAGTATAATTTACATCCCCGCGCAACGCAGTTTTGCTTTATCATTTAGCTGAACCTGACTGTCAGTCCAATCTTCATAATGTTTTCCTTTTTTCCAGGTCATCAGCTCACCACAAACAAATACTAATGAATACACTTTCTTACAGGTAGGAGATTTTGGATTGTCGCGGATCAAGCACTCAACTTTCTTGACAGCGAAGTCAGGGAGGGGAACGGTAAGCAAGTGATGCAGGAAGATATATTTTGAAATTTGTGCAGCTAGAAGGAAGACACACGGGGATAGATCCGGAAAGTAACCTTTGACACTTGAGTAGTGAGATATGAGTGGAAGGTGTACATACCTTCCTACTCTGGAGTCCTTGATGTGTCTAACTTAACGGCAGATAGAACAGAAAACTGCACGGGTTTTTCGTCAAAATTGAAGTATGGAATATATGAAGCAGCAGATACTGATGAATGGCAATGGTGAAGAGGGAATCTGATGCACAGTGTGATATCGTTTGCAGCCACAATGGATGGCTCCGGAAGTCCTTCGCAACGAACCATCCAACGAAACGTGAGTTTCTAGAGTGATTTCATTTTTATTTGCTTCATGAGGTGCTGTTGTTTGAGGAAGAGCTTCGTAAGACGATTGCCATAAGGCTTCCTTTTAATGTAGGAAGAGTAGCAGTCGCCACATTTGCATCAAGGCGGTTGAGAGTGCATGCATCGAATCAGGAAATTCACACTCACGTCAACTAACGTGTCTTATTAACTGTTCTGCAGATCGGACGTTTACAGCTTTGGCGTCATTTTGTGGGAACTTGCAACAGAGGAGATACCCTGGAATGGACTAAATCCAATGCAGGTAAAACTCGTAGTCGCTTACAGATCTTTCCGTACAAAATGCCAAGTATCAAAAGCGTCTGAGTAGGTTCAAAACCCTCATATTTCTTTAAAAAAAATCTGATATCTTACAGAGTTCCTCGTCACATAATTTTGTGGACCTTTATGTTGTCGAGTCCAAGTCGCGAGAGGAATACGTTGATTCACCATAAGTAACAACCAGATTGTTGTTGTGTTGCCTAATACTGCTAGGTTTATAATTCGTTTCCTTGCTTTCCCTGCCGAATGTTAAGTATTCATATCTCATGTGGATTCGACGTGGAGTGAATGCAGGTTGTGGGAGCCGTAGGATTTATGAATCGCAGGCTGCAAATACCTGATAACGTTGACCCACAATATGTCGAACTCATCGAACAATGTTGGGACAGGTGTGTTTGTCACCAGCCCTTTCAAAGCTGGTGAAAAGGAGTTAGAGCCTTATTGCAATCGCGGCTGAATATCTTTGTCTTTCTTTGAATTAGACTTCGTCTTTCCGCTGAATATGAGCATCTGGAGAATGTGTGTTGTTGGAAGAGAAGGAAGCTGATTCAGAGGCTTCTAGTCACGCAAGTTTCTCATATTGTGTGACCTTTCTGTCACCTTTGTGCAGTGATCCTCACGCTAGGCCTTCTTTCACAAAGCTGGTGAACATACTGAAAGATATGCAGAAGAGTGCTCTGGCTGCAACCCAGAACCCCATTAGTATGGCAAGGCAGACGAGGCCTTCCTGAAGATGATGCCGCAAGAATGGATCTTAGATGTACTGTAATTGTAGTTAGATAGCTGCTGCTGCTGATCCAGCTTCTTATTCTGCAACAAATCTCGATGCTGCTACCTTACGGCCATGAAAGTCCATGAGTAATTTTTTTTTTCACAGTGGTGGTAAGCAATCACCAATGTAACTTAGCCCATATATGCGAACAGATCTGGGCAGGTTCTTCTAGAGTGAAAAAAGTAGTGCAGAATTTCTTGTAAGTTATCGCTGCTGGATCAGTAGATGACATTTACATTGTATAATAGATATGACAGTGGATAGTGGATAGCGGATAGACGGCCATATCCAAGGGCCTTTCGACACATTGTAGAATTATACAGTACAAGGATTCCTCCTAGTCTTAGCTTGGGATTCAACATTATTTTGAGAAAGCGGAATTTGCCAACCATTCAGTCCCGTATCATCCGTGTATGTCATCCACTGCTGCTGCGTCGAGGCTTGTTTTGTGAGGGTTGACCATCTCTCACATGATATCATAAGAGTTTTCTGAGATTAATAAATGTCATAATCTGATAAATATCCTACGACTCAAAACTGGTCAAACATACTGTTGAATAATCTACTTTTTCACCATGTGGAAATACAGTAAGTATATTAAATGCGACAATCCCAGCAATTATTTACTTTTTTTTAAAATATTTGTATCAAAATATATATGTTATGCTATTTTAACCTTTTTTTGGGTGCAAACTTAAAAAAATCATTGGTACAAAGCGTGAGGTAGTGCTATACGTGTAGTGAATGTTTTATAGTAAAATGCGACAGGATTCAAAGGTATTTCATCTATAAATCACTTAACTATTAATTCAGAACATCGCTTAGCACGTTTATTAGATGATCAAAATTCAATGTATAATCGTACATTAAACTTTTCTATCACGAAGATTGTCCATGAAGTAGACCCATGAGATGTGCATAGCTGCGATTTAAAGTGCCACAAAAAATCAAATTTTGTAATGATGTTGGCAAAATATGACACAATATGAAAATTATAGTATCCATGTTAAACACCGTAGCAATTTATTTACAGTTATCAAAAAGATTATTGGGTAAAAATGAGTTATGGTAGGAAGATTGTCCATGAAGTACACCCATGAGATGTGCATAGCTGCGATTTAAAGTGCCACAAAAAATCAAATTTTGTAATGATGTTGGCAAAATATGGCACAATATGAAAATTATAGTATCCATGTTAAACACCGTAGCAATTTATTTACAGTTATCAAACAGATTATTGGGTAAAAATGAGTTATGTTAGGTAATTACTGAAGATATGATTGATTACTAGGCAAATAGGATTTACGGTTCTTAAACGGATTATTGGGAATAAATAAAAAAATAAATGTATGAACTGAGCTATTTATTTACGGTTATCAAATGGATAATTGTGAAAATTTGAATTCTGGCTTGTACATATTGAAGACATGCTTGACTACTAGACAAATAGTATACACTTATGTAAACTCTCATCCACTACAATGCTGAAAATTATGTATTTTATTGGTTTCTTTTTTCTTCTCAGGTAATTCGCTATATATTATGAATAAAAATAATACATGACAAAAAATTATAGATTTAAAATTAGAAATCAATCGTCCCAATATGATTCTCCATATATTTGAATATTAGAATAATATATATCGATATGATAGATTGTAAAATATTAATTTGAAAAACTGATCATACGTTTGGATATTCCGTTAGGATTATGAACGAAGCGAACATTCCACTAAAATTAGAATAGATTGTTGTGAATCGGATAAAGGACCGTGAGAGAAGATTACCCTAATAGCAAATTCGAATTACAGTCAGTCTCTGATAACCTCATCTGTGCACCAACGAACAGGAAATTTGATTTAAATTGTAATCGACTTTCACCAGTAAAAAACGAATGAACTGGAAAGTATGAAGGTTCACCGATCACCAATCAGGCCGTTTGTCAGGAAAACTTGGGATCGGAAAGGAGGCCAAACTAGCTCCAAACAAAATAGACAGCCTCATTGTGTTTTTTCAAGATCTTCATTCATTTTCGCGGCTTTCACAAATGTGCTTTTATAAATCTGTCATCAACAGTGTTCGCGGCTTTCACAATTGTGCTTTTATAAATCTGTCATCAACAGTGTTCGCGGCTTTCACAATTGTGCTTTTATAAATCTGTCATCAACGGTGTTCGCGGCTTTAACAAATGTGCTTTTATGAATCTGTCATCAACAGCGTTCGGGATTCATTGAGAGAATAAATCTTTCATCAACAGTGTTCCGGATTCATCGACAGAGTAACAGTGTTCGGGAATCATTGAGAGAGTGTACTCTACAAAGAAATTCTTGTTTGGAGATCATCGCAACTATCAGAGAGACATGGCTTCATATTTATTCCGCTTCCTAGACAAATTTAGAAAAAGGGATCCAGGGATATATTCGAGTTCGAGAGGACTTCCACTTCTGCTAGAGAGATGTACACAAAGCAGTCCAGCTATGTATACAACTCACAGAGATGTGGAGGTTTTTCACCAAGCCCGCAGGGTTTGGAACACAACAAATGTTCAGATACCGTCTGCACATATCACTTCTAATCCTGATGGAGAGGAAGTCAGTGGGAGAAAGATATCAGTGGAGGAGATTTCCGGCCTCAAATTATTACTGGCTGATTGCGAACTAGAACAAGGAAACCAATCCCCTAGTGTACAGCAGAATTTTTATAGGAGAAAGATATCCGTGGAGGACATTTCCGGCCTCAAAATACTAATGGCTGATTGCGAACTAGAACGAGGAAACCAATCAGGTGCAGGTGTAGTAGCAGAAGAAGGACGCTTGGATACCCTCAAACCCCCAACCAAATCACGAAGACGTAGAACTAGACGCAGAAAACTCGCCTTATCCTTGAAGATGGAAGGTGTCAGCAATAATATCTTTGTACAGGATTACACAGGTTTTGTACAGGAAAATAAAATTGAGAACTATGAAGGTTCTGGAGAATATACAGAACCTGGTTCTGAAGACTCTCCAACAGGAGGTTGTGAAGGAGGAAACATTCAATGTACAGTGTCCGGGAAAGTACGAGATTCTCTAGCAGCGGATGAAATTGAGAAAGATTTCCTCTTAGCTGATGCAGGGAATGGTACACAGGATTAGAATGTGGACATAGCAGGTGTAGAGGATGCTACACTTATGATGGTTTCTGTGCTCAGCAAAACAAAGACTCGACTAACTGTCCTCATCTGCTTGTCTGGGGAGAAGTTTTTGACAAGAGACTCGAATTACATCTTCACATGGGGCAACCACTTGAAGATTTTCCCACTCGCTGGGTTCGATCAGAACCTACCGATATTACAACCCCAAGCCCCGAGGACTGGACCACGAGGGCATGATCGACAATTTGAGAGCAGCACCCACTGGATCGGTGCTGTAGGTGCACGCTTGCGCGCACAATCCCACTGGCGTAGATCTCACTCAGGAGGAGTGGGAGGGCCTGCGACAGGTGATCCGAAATGACAAGCATCAGCTGCCCTTCTTTGACAGCGCCTATCAGGGTTTCTCCAGCGGAAGCTTGCACACCGACGCGTTCACGGTTCGCAGGTTTGTCGCAGAGGAAACCTTCATCGCCCAGAACTACGCCAAGAGCATGGAACATGGTTTGCATGGAGAACGAGTCGGAGCCCTGAGCATTGTGGTGAGGGACTCCTCAGTCGCAGCTCGTGTGGAAAGCCAGCTGAAACTCGTGATTCGACCTCTGTACTCCAGCCCACCTACCTACGGAGCTGCTATCGTGTCGACCATTCTTCATCTAATTCTTCATCTACTTCATAGCCCCGCTCTGTACGACGACTGGAAAGTGGAGCTGACAGCGATGGCGGACCGAATCATCAGCATGCGCCACCAGCTAGCTGTTCGATGCGTTGAAAGCCAGGAAAACACCAGGCGACTGGACTCACAATCTCAACCAGATTGGCATGTGCATGTTTACCAGAATGAACAAGCAGCAAGTGGAGTACATGACCAAGCCGATGCCATCCACAGCACAGCGATCAAGTTTTCCTCTTGAGTGTTGCTTGGGCCTTGCGAAAGCAAGACCACGTTGCAGTGAGAGTCAACTCCCTACCAAAACTAGTTCTTGATTCTTTCGGTTGTAATTGACGCCCCTTAGGAGCCTAATCCGACGGTTTGGCCGAGTGGTCTAAGGCGCTGGATTTAGGCTCCAGTCCGAAAGGGCGTGGATTCAAATCCCACAGCCGTCAATGTCTAGGGAGTAGACGTGGTCCGTGGGCCCTAACAATTGCGAGTTCATTTCAGTGCCTTTACATTATGTCCATATGTTCAAGAATTACTGCATAGAGCTCAATCTATAAGCAGGTTTATTTGCGAGTTGACGCCCAGTTATCGAATTCTTATGCTTTTGCAGCTTACACATCCATTGTTCATTGTGCACCAGACCATACTTCTGATTTCTTATGCGATCACGACTGAAATAATTTGAGTTATTTGAGTCAATCAGTACTGCTTTGAAAGAGATGGATAGTTTGTCCATGCAAAGTGTACTCTTCGACAGATTCTATATTTTTGTGAATGAGTATGGGAAGAAAAGACACATGCATGAAATTACAAGCTTTCGAGCTTGAAACAAGTCTAGGATCACATTCTTTAATCTCCATCGACTCGACTGGTGCAAAGTCGACATCATTAGAAGGCCTGCACGAATAAACTCGCCCCATTGCTTCATTTAATGTTGGGGCACTCACAACATGGGGCTAGATCACTACCGAGGAGAATTTCGAGTCCATGGTTGATGATTTACAGCCTGGTGAATCTGTGGATAATGTATAATATACATATATATTGTGTATTACACATACGACTCACCTCGTATTTGCTCGATGGGAAAGTGCCCTTTGTATTTGAATTCAAGGGGCTGTGGTGCACATCTAACTTGTGGAAGATATGTTCCTTCACCTCTTCGGCCCTTAATCAATACGAATAAGATACCCATGTCATTGAGTAGCAAATACGTAAACAAGCATCCCAGGTGGTGCAAGGATAAGCCTTTCTCGACACATAATTGGCATTCCAAACAATCTCTTTATGTTCATGTGCTATGCACGGAAACACCAAAGCGCTGGCTCCTGCTAAATATCCTAGTTTTAGCACCGACACTAAACCAAGCTGGAAGTTGGGCCATGAGTCCGCTCAGCTAACAATCTCCTTCAAAACTTCCTCAATTACGTCTCTTGTGGACATCTGAAAATGTTCCAACAAGCTGCTCACTCTCTACTCTCATTCCTTATTGCCATCATCCCTACTCCTCTCCCTCTCTTAGCTTCCCAAGGTGGAACAATTCGAGTAGATGTTGCGTCTCCAAAGACTAAGTGCAAATCCTGTAATCCTCAATTGAC